CCAAATTGCAATCAGTCGCGCCACTATTTCCTGTCAACGCGCAACCCCTATTTGAAGTTGCAGCTGTTATTATATCCGGAAGTTCATTTTCTTTTTTTTTCGAAAAAAGGGAGCGACATTATTTCCGAAGATATTTTCTTGAACACGTGGCCAACCGGAAAGAAAAAATGTCGACTCAAGTATTTTTTTTTTATATTATATATATATATAGTCTTTGATCTTCTAAAAATATTTTTTATTCTCTCAAATTATATTATGATACTTTTTCGAAAATATATACAACAATTTTTGCATTTGGAAAAAAAATTTTCAAAATTCGAAAAATAGATTTAAAAAAAACCCATGGAAAATTTTTGATTTTTAAAAATAAATAATAAATAAAAATATTATTACATATTAATATTATTATTATTATTTTTTTATAAAAAATCTTCCAGGTTCCTAAAAAGAGATTCTATAATCCATAGAAATTTTTTTTTTTATTGGAATTAAATAATTTATTTGTGTATTTTTTCGTTTCTTTACTCTAGGTGCTAAAATGAGTATTTTTTGCCCTAGAAGGTAAAAAGTACTGTTTTTAAGCCCTAGGGATAAAAATGGAACTAGGGAGTTACTATTATTATTATTAATACTATTTTTATTATTATTATTATTATTATTATTATTATTTTATAAAAAATCTTCCAGGTTCCTAAAAAGAGATTCTATAATCCATAGAAATTTTTTTTTTATTGGAATTAAATAATTTATTTGTGTATTTTTTCGTTTCTTTACTCTAGGTGCTAAAATGAGTATTTTTTGCCCTAGAAGGTAAAAAGTACTTATTTTAAGCCCTATGGGTCCAAATTACCCTAGAGAGTTACTGTTATTATTATTAATACTATTTTTTATTATTATTATTATTATTAATACTATTTTTATTATTATTATTATTATTAGAAAAAAACCACAAATTTTCAAAAAATGGATTCTATAACCCATAGAGATTTTTTTTTACTCGAATTAAATGATTTGTTCGTTTTTTTTACTCTAGGGACTAAAATTATTATTTTTAGCCCTAGAATGTAAAAAAAATGATGTTTTTAAACTCTAAGGGTTATAATTAAATAATTTATTTATCCATTTAAAGTCTTTGTCAAAAAAAAAATTGCTTTTTAAAAATAGCGTTTTTCGGGAAAAAAATAGAACCTTTTACGAGTAATTTATTCGTCGAGCGTTGAACCGAAGTGAGAGAGAGAGAGAGAGAGAGAGAGAGAGAGAGAGAGAGAGAGAGAGAGAGAGAGAGAGAATTTTCTTCAACCCTGCAGTAGTTTGAGCCCTGGGGATGAATTCTCTATTTTATTTTTTTTCAAACACACACACACACACGAAGAGGGGAAAAAAGTAGAACTTTTGATTACCGGTTTTTGAATGGCCGGTGTCAACTTTATAGAGAGTGAGAATAGTTTGGTTGGATGAGCTTTAGAAAAGCGGAAGTTACTAAACTATTATTCAGATAAAGAGAAGATTGCAATGGAGCACGAGGTTGACCACCTGCAGACTGCAGAGAGATGCACTTTATACACAACCTATATATATATATATATGTGTACTAACACAACAGCTGGAAAAGCCAGTTGCGTTTGAAAGGGACGCAATGCGGAATCTGCAACATTTTCTGTTAGTACAAAAAAAAAAACAGAGAGAGACAGAGCGAAACGGCTCGCGCCTTTCTGAATTAGATTCACACAATAAAGAGGCAAAAGACGATGGATTTCGTGCCTTATCTTGTTAAATCATAACAAAATTCCAGAAACACGTCTCAATTGGACGATTTTTCTCCATACTCCTCTTCACTTTCGTTATCGAGATAAAAAAAAAACGGCGAGAAATTGTTTGCTGAATAAACGCAATTTATTTTTTGTTTATATAGTTTTACTTTTTTTTAAAATTTTTTTTACCATTTGTACTTTATTTTATACGATTTTTATACTTTTTTATACGATTTTAATATTTTTTTACGATTTTTATACTTTTTTTTTACAATTTTTACACTTTTTTAAATACTTGTTTTATGTATTTACACATTTTTTAAATCAATTTTTTCGTGTATAATCGAAAAAAAATTATTAACAAATATTCCAGGCTTATTCTCGATGAAAAATTGAGAAAAAAATGTTTTAAAACAAATTCGATTGGATGCGATGGTTTCGAGATAAATGCGATTAAAGATGCGCTTCAATTGTTGACAAGGTGCGCACGCAGACTGGTTTGCGATTGGTGCGCGTTTCGAGATGCGCGCGCACATTGCATGGAATTGGAGCGCATTTTTAATCGCTTATGTATCTCAAAACCATTTCGGTCAATTTAATTAACTTCTTCTTCTTCTTTTTTTCTTCTCAAACTTTTGACAAGAAACCTGACATTTTTTTTTTCTTGATAATATATTTTTTAAAAAAAACTACATTTTTATATTATTAATACAAAAAAAAAATAAATTTTCATTACAAAATTAGCCATTTTCGATCATATATTTGAAATCGTTGACCCTAAATTAGTAGAAAACGAGTACAATGACCCTAGTGTTCTTTTTTTCCAAAAAAAAACCAAATTTTTTCAAATTTTTTTTTTTATTTTGGAAATTTTAATTTTTGGCAAAATATTGTTTATGGTATTTAATACTACAAATCCGGTAGATAGAAACAAAGGGTAACTATAGATAGTAACTAATAATATTTCCAAAAATTCAAAAATCGAAAAAATTTTCAAAAATTTTTTTTTTTTTGAAAAAAAAATTAATATTGTCTTGGTAGTCATTTCCTACTAATAAAAGGTCAACGATTCCGAATCTTACATTAAAAAAACAATCCCTTATTTATTAATCCAAAAAAATTAAACTTTTGCAAAAAAAAATTTTCATTTCAATAAAATATCAATGTAATATTGAAAACGAAAGAGAAAATTAATATAAGAGGAAATAGTTTACTCTGGATTACATATGTGGCATCTTGTAAGTGTTCAAGTAGGAGATAAAAATGAAAAAGAGAGAGGGATTTAGAAGAGGGGGGGGGGGTTTTGCACAGTGAGCAGGTTTTGAATGTTGTCTCGGGTATACGCTCTATATATATATATATATTTATTATTACCTACCATGCTTATTAAACCTCTTCCTTTCGTTGAATTTCGAGCCGCACACAAGGATGCTGAAGATGCCAAAAGGGAATCCCCTTCACTCTACACTTGAGATAAAAATCTCGCTTGCCATTGCCATTTCTCGTCGGTTCCAAATGATTGCATCCGCCATTATTTGAATCAATTTCACTTTACACTTTATTCATGAATCTCCTTCCATACGAATTTTATTCCTCAATTTTTTATTTTATTTATTATTATTATTATTTTTACAAATATAATAATATTAAAATAAATATAAAAAAAGACTTATTTATATTTTATTATTATTATTATTATTATTATTATTACTATTATTATTATTATTATTAGTATTTTAATTAATAATATTCCATCCAATTCTATTATAACAAAATTTTATCGCCTCTTATTTAGAAAATATTAGGAACATAACCTCAAAATCACATAACCTCAAATTTTAAAGTAATAAGTCAGGAAACCATTGAAATTTGAGGTTATTTATGGAAATTTTTTGTAACAATAACAATAATAATATAATTACAATATAATAACAATAATAATAAAAATTATAATTAAATGAATGCAATTTTTTTCAATTTAATTTTTTGTAAAAGAAATATTTTAGTTCCAGGTTTTTTATTTGTTTGTTTGTTTTTTTTTTTTTTTTAAACGCGAATCATTCAATAAAAAAAAAAAAAATGCGGAAATTGTCAATAATAAGGTGTGTAATAGAATTCTCCGGATGCTGCTGGTTCTAATTCTTTACGCTTCGAGAATTATTTTCAATGCAATGAAATAACAGAAAACCCCCTATTTTTTTATTTATTTTTATTTTTTGCGCTATATAATCTTGTTAATGATTTTTTTTTCATCAGAAGCTGTTGATGATTATATTTGTCATGTAACGCTTCGTTGATATTGGAATTGATAAATCTTCTTTTGTTTATACAATGACTGACCTACTCTATTTACATTCTTTTATGTGTAAAAAAAAAAATTCGAAAATAGGGTCAATATCCTCTTAGTATATTTACTTATAAATAATTTTTAATTAACTTTAAAAATTTTTTTTTAATTTTATTTATTATTTTATAATTTTTTTCAAATTAAATTTATTATTTCAATAAAATATATAATAATAATAATAATAATAATAATAATAATACAATATAAAAAAATATGTAATAATAAAAATTCTTTTGTTTAATTTAAAAAAAATTTATTGTCAATTTGAAAAAAAATTGGTAATTAAAAAAAAAATTTTGTAATTAAATTTCTTAAAAATTTTTATTTCATTGATAATAATTAGAAAAGAAAATATTTTTTTATATATTAATTATCGAAATATGTATAAGTATAAATTACTGAAAAGAAAACAATAGAAAAATTGTTGTTATTGTTTTATGTTGTTTGTTGAAAGAAGAAAAATTTCAATGAATTGTTGATGCAAGAAAAGTTTTTTTTTTATTTTTTTTTTTTTTTAATGGGATGACCGTGGGGTTTTAGTGGAATGATTAGGTTCGAATACCATACACTGAGTCATTGCTATTAAATGCACAAGGTATATGGAAAAGGATAAAGATGAAAAGAATGTGAACAGCCGGATACCGGGAGAGGAGTAGGTCGTTTATATACACACACACACACAAATCAAAAATGTAAAACGACGCTACCTTTGTTACCACCGTTTCAGTATAGAAAAAAATTCCAAAATTTTGTTTTTTAATTAAAAACAAAATTTTTTATTATTTTTTTTTTAAATTTTAGTTGAATTTAATTATTTTATTATTTATTTATAAATAATTATTTTTTGTATTTTTTAATAATTAATTATTTATTTATAAATAATTTGTTATTTTCTGTTTCAGAATCACTCCAAGAGCCTCGCTTTGTGACGCATCCGTCTAGTAGTGGAAAATTTAGTCCTGAAAATCGAACAAAAATTTTACAGTGCCAAGCACGAGGTAAGTTTATTAAAAAAAATTAAATATTTTTCCCTCACTTATTATTTTGCATGGTAAATTTTATTTTTTAAAAAAATTTTATTGAAAATTTTTTTAGTTGTAATTATTTTTTATAAATAAAAATTTGGATTGATATAATTTTGTAATTTAAAAAAAAATAATTTTGATTAATTTAATTTTTGTAATTAAAAAAAAAAATAATTTTTGATTAATATAAATAATTTAAAAAAAAATTATCGCGGAAGAATATTTTTAGCGAGGAAATTAATATTAAAAAATAATTTTAAAAAAAAATGAAGGATATGACGCGAAACATATTTTCTCACAATAAAAAAAAAAAAAAATTGAAAGCCCCTCCTCAGGGAATATTCATTGTCCACGTGAAATATCGTATGGCACAAGCGGATAAGGTGGTGGTGGCCAGGCGAAGCCCCATTCGTGCTGTAACTTGATATCGTGACCCTATAGTAATAGCGTTAGATCACTGAAGGGTGCATAAAAAGAAGCTTCTTCTTCTCTTTCCCATCATGATAATAAAAAAAATGATTTATAATTTCCTAACCAATTTACTTAAATTTTTTTTTTTTTTTCCCAATTACTCCCTCCAAAGGAAACTAATTTTTCACAAATTAAAATTAAATTCGAAAATTATTACTCATAGAAATGATTTTTTTGTTTTTAATCAATTTTCTACTATTTTACCAGTTTAATTATGTTTAAAATGATTTTTTTTCAATTTGATTCGATTATAAGGTAAAATTAATAATGGGAAATTATTCTCGTGAGTTTAATGAATAAAAAAGGTTTTGGAAGTATTTCAATACGTTGAGATTTAAGAGAGTTAGAAGGAATTTTAAATGCGCGCCAATGGATGGCGTGATGCGCGCGCAGCCGCCTCGCAATTGGCGGGCGTAACGCCGTTCTGTTATTGGTGCGGGTTTGTATCGCTTATAACTTTTTTGTATTATAACCTACTATATTGGTGTAAAAGACTTTATTTCTTATTTTTTCAAGTAGATTCCAAATATTTAGTGAATTATTTAAATTTTTATTTATTTTTATATTAAAAAAAAAATTTACTTTTTGTTAATATTTAAAAAAAAAAAAAATTGTCTTTCTAGGTCATCCTCAACCTCGATACAGGTGGTTTAAAGATGGTCAACCATTGACGAGTGAACTCACCTCTGAACCCTATTATCGAATTAACATAACCAAGAGGGAAGACACTGGTGTTTATTATTGTGTCGCTACCAACGAAGTTGGTTCGATATTCAGCGAACGTATCTCATTTTCCGTTGCTTGTAAGAAATTTCAAATTTTATTTTAAGTTTTCTTTAATTAATAAAATAATTTTTAATTATCAAAAAATTAATAATTTTTTTTTTGGGAGGAATAAAAATTAATATTTTTTTTCTTGATTAATGAAAATTAATTAATTCTTTAAGATATGGGAATATTTGAGGATTTAACGGAAATTCCATTGACTGTTGAATCGGGAAATGCGGCAATTTTACGATTGCCACCCATTGAAAGTAATCCAACACCAGAAGTTAGTTGGTCGAGTTCTGATGGCACAATTCCTTATACTATAAAATATGCGACCGCTCAACAGATGCTAATAATTCTTAACGCCTCTGAGGATGATGAGGGTTCTTACAGGTACTATTATTATTTTTTTTTTTTCGTAATTATTAATTAAATATTTTTATTAGTTTCAATTTTATTATTATTAATTTTGTACATTACTGTTAATTAGAATTTTATTATATACTTTTTTTTACTATTATTATTAATACAATAGTTATGAAAATAATTATAAATTATTCTCCTGGATTTTATGAATAAAAAAGTATTTGGAAATTTTTCGATCCGTTGAGATGGAAGGAAGTTAGAGGCATTTTAAAATCCGCTCCAATGGAAGGTGAGGTGCGCGCGCAGTCGACGCTTCATTGGCTCGCGTTGCGCCGCACACTTAATCTCGTTATCATTGGTGCGCGTTTCTATTGCTTATAACTTTTTTCCATTGCAATATAGAAACTTGCTTCAAAAGGCTTTTTTCCTCAATTTTTTGAGGAAATTCTGAATATCTATATTAATTTATATTTAATATTTATTTTTATTATTTATATATTTTTATTTTATATTTGTATTTAATATTTATATTCAATATCAATATTAAATATTTATATATTATTTTGAATTTATTTATGTTCTCTCATATTTTTGTTTTTTTTTTATTTATATTCTTTAGTTTTTTTTAATTTGCCTACTTTATTTGCTAAATAAATAAATAATTTATTATAAAAAATAATGTTGGCAAATTAATTAAATTAACAAAAAAAAAAATTTTTTTTATTCAGAGCAAAAGCAATTAATACTCAAGTGGCGAAAGAAGAAATTAGTCCCTTCTTCAAATTGAGAATTACGGGTGATTTAAATGTCGAGGTGCCGCCAACGATAATTGTGAGGCCACAGGATACGAAAATTATTAAAGATCAGGGAGTGACATTTCTTCATTGTATCGCCAATTCTAGGTAAATGATAAAAAACTGAAAAAATTTTTTTATTATTAATGATTATTAATTTTTAATTAATTAATTACGTAATATTAATTTAAAATTAATTTATAATTAATAATATTTATTTATATTATTATTCATTTCTATTATTAATTTAAAAATTAATTTAAAAATTAATTTAATTAATTAATTAAAATTATTGTTAATTTTTTTTATTGAAAAACAAAATTGAAATTTTGAAATACTTTTCACAGATATCTTCACGAATTGAGAACATTATGGACCAAGGATGACATTCCAATAGAAAATACAAGAATCTCATATCAATTTGACGATCTTTGGAATCGGACTTTGATCCTTAAATCGGCTAATTTGACCTATACGGGAATTTATTCTTGCCAAGTTGATTTAAGAAGTGGAGGATTCCCCACAATTATTGCCAATGCCAGTATTGAAGTTTATGGTAAATTAAAAAAAAAAAAAAATTTTACTATATTGAAACAATTTTTTTTTTTTTTTGAATTTATTGTTAATATTATTTTTATAATAATAATTAATAACAACAATTATTATTATTAGGTAATATTATTTGTTTTTATTTTTTTATTATTATTACTTATTTGTATTTTATTTATTTTTATTAATTTATTTTTTAAATATTTATCAATATTTGTTTTATTATTGTATTTTTTGCGATTTATTTAAAAAGAAAAATAATTTCTCTGCAGAAAAACCCTCGTTTATAAACGAATTGAAACGAGAGACAATTAGTGAATATGGATCGACAGTAATTTTACCCTGTGAAGCCGAGGGAGTTCCTTTGCCAAAAATTAGCTGGTATCGAAATGCGGAATCTGTCGATCATTTATTTGGCTCGAGGTAAATATAAAAAAAAAAAGATCAAATTTTTCTTCTTTTCTTTCTCTTACTTCAAAAAATAGTGACAATTTTTATTTTTTTCAAAATGTTTCAATGAAGACAAACAATTTTTTTTTTTATAATATTTACTGAATTAATAATTAATGTTTATTGAAAAAAGAGAAAAATTTTCTTTTTTTTGTTTTTAAAAATATGTACAAAATTTTTTTTATATAAAATCTTGGTATTTTTATTTTTTTAACTAGATACAATTTGGAGGAAGATGGATCATTAACAATTAAAAAATTAACAATGGAAGATTCAGGAATGTTTCAATGTTTAGCTTCAAATGAAGCCGGCGAGGCTTCAAGTTACACGTGGATTCGAGCAAAAAGTAAGTAAAATTTTTTTTTACAAAAAAAAAGTTTCGAAAAATTAACCAATTAATTAATTTTTATTATAATAATAATAATTATTATTATTATTCTTCTTTTTTTTAAGTATTACTATTATTATTAGCATAATATTTAGTATAATGTAATTATTATAATAAAATTATTAGTTTTTCTCTCTAAAAATTAAAAGAGAGTAGCAAAAAAAAAAAATAAATATAGAATCATTTGGCTAATAATGAAATGAGTGAGGATATATAAATTTCTTTTTTTTTCTGTAAAATGTTTGATGATTATTTTTCTCTATCGGGTGCAGAGAGTGAAAAAGCTGAAAGCACAATGAGGAACAGAGTGAGCCGATGGGCGGCTGGCTACAATGTAGTTAGAGTTCGTCAATCTGATCATCGATTTTTGTTTTCTCAATATCCAGAGAGTAAGAGAGTAATTTCTTAATGAAAAAAAAATGTATCAATGTAGGCAAAGAAAAAAAAAATTAATTATTCATAGAAAAAACAGTTTTTAATTTTAATATATATTTTTTTTTTATTCTTTTATTATTTTTATTAGTAGATTTTTTTTATTAATTAATTTTCTATTATTTTTTATTTTTTTAATTATACAGTAAATTTTAAATAAATAAAAACATAATAATTGTAATTAATAAATTTTATTTTCTATTTTTTTCTATTTTTCTTTGTTTTACATGTTCTTAATTTTTATTTCACGTTTTTTTATCATTTTTTTTTTTAATCACTTTTTTAAAAAAATAAAACACTTTGCTTTATTTGCCAATCACTCTGCTTTTGTTTTTAATCAAAAAAAAAAATTTTGGATTCAATTTTATTGTTTAGCTTTTTTTATAGTACACCTCATTTGATTATTTTTTTTTTAGATATTTATATAGAACACTCTTGAAAGCACGATATTTTAATTATTTGTTTGGTGTGAATTATTTTTTCTCTCTCACTTTTATTAGTTTAAATTACAAAATTTTAGTAATTTCGTATTTTACTTTTTTTTAGAAATTTATTAGTTTTTTGTAGTGTATTTTTATTGTTAATACGCATTTTTTTGTAATAAATAAATAGATTTGTAATAATTACAAATCTATATATATTTATTTATCTATATATATTTATAGATATAGATTTTGAGAGAAAGAAATTTTTAGAGAAGGCTTTTCAATTTAGGTGAAGAATATTGATTTTCAATAATTAATTTTTTATGCATTATATTATTATAGTTAATTCGCTTTAGTCACGCAAAAGTTTCTTTATATTTTCTAGTTTTAAATATTTTTTTATTTTCCTCACTTTTAGGTATAGAGGAAAAGAAATTGTTTTTTGTTTATGAATTTTTGGTTTTTTGTAAACCAAAATTTTCAAATTATTATAAATTCAAATTATAATTCGTATAAATTATTGTTTTTTTATTTCTGAATTTTATTTTTTTTTACCTTTATTACAGATTTATATCTTTTTGTGTTTTTTTTTATTTATACCTTTTCTATGATTTATGTATTATATTTTTTTTTTATTTTTTACATTCTCATTAAAAAAAGGTATTTTTTCACTATTTTTTATGCATAGTTTTTTTTTTTTTTGATTTTTTGTTCATTTGTTTCGTTATTTTCTAATTTTTAGTTTCTTTAGATTTTAGTTTTGTTTATTTTAGTTCTTCTTTTTTTTGTATTTTACTTTTATTTTTTTTTTAGTATTTTACTTGTACGTTTTTTTATTATTTGTATTTTATTTTTGTTTCTTTATTTTTTAATTTCATGTTTTTTTTTTATTTTTTGTATTTTACTTTTAAATTAAAACATTTTTTTTTGGTATTTTTTACTTTAATTAATTTATTTTTATTTATTTTATTTCCTTTATTTTTCAGCGCCTTTTTTTTTATTTTTGTTAATTTTTTCGTTTTGTTAATACAGAATTTTTTCATTTCTTACGTAACAAAATTTTTTAAATTATTTACAGCAAAAAAAAACCTAAAGAAGAATATAAATTTTTTTTTAATTTGTGTTGTTTTGCATGAAATTTCAATTATTTTTTTTCTGCATGTTTTTCATGCGCAACAAAAGGAGAATTGAATTTAATTGGAAAATTTTCTTTTTTTTAGCCTCCATTCCCGTAATGGATTTGGGACCTCAAAATTCGACGATTTTGGATGGAAAAGACGTGACAATTACTTGTCGAGCAATTGCGGCACCAATTCCTAATATCACTTGGTTTTATAATGGTAAACAAAATTTTTGATTTTTTTTTTAAATAATAATTATATTTAATTTATATATAAAAATAAAAAAAATTATTAATACAATTATAGTTTATTAACGAATTAAATTGAATTTTTTTTTAGATTCATTTCCAGTGGAAATTGCGGGACGAGTTCAACTTTTGGAAAATGGAGATTTACTTATTACAGCAGTGAAGGCAAATGACGCTGGAAAATATACTTGTTTTCGAGCAAATGAAGCTGGATCTGTTAATGGATCAGCGTTTTTATCAGTTTTGGGTAATTATTTTTTGAAATATTATACGTAACAAATTTTTTGTTTTTGTTTTTAATACATATATTATACTATTTTTAATTTAAATTTTACTAAAAAAATTTCTATTTGGCAAATTAAAATTTGTTTTTTCCATAATAATATTTTATTTATTGATTTTTATTAAATACAATAATTTTCTTTTAATTAAATTTTTGAACTAGGGGAATTTTTATTTTTCATATCTCGCAATTTAATTATTTTTAAGTTTAAAAAAAAATATATTTAGAAAGAAGAAATAAAATAAAAATTAAAAAAAAATTATTTGCAGTTCGTACACGAATTCTACAACCGCCGGCGGATATTACAGTGACTCTTGGTTACACGGCGGAACTTCAGTGCAAGGTTTCCAACGATCCGAGTGTTAAATATGATATCGCATGGTTCCACAATTCACAGTAAGTCACAATTAAAAATCATCCCTCATTTCCTGTTTATTCTTTTTTTTTTTTTTTTTTTTTTTGAAGTAAAAAGAATCTAAAATTATTCAAAAAATTTAATTTTTATTTATTTAAATTGTAATTTTTGAAAACAAATTTTCTTTTCAAATCTCTCGTTTATTATTAAATAAACAAAAGCGAATTTTCCTTTTGGAATTTTTTTAATTAAAAGAATAAAATTTTTTTTTTTTCCTTAATTTTGTAGATTAATAAATACAAGATCGAGTCAACGTGTAAAAATGCGTGACGACGGTACACTGGAAATATTTGCAGTACGCGCATCTGACGTTGGTGAATATACATGTTCAGTGATATCGCCAGGTGGCAATGAATCGCGTACGGCACGTCTTAGTGTCATTGAATTACCATTTGCGCCAATTAATGTAATGGCACAACGCGCCGAGGCAATATCATTGCGTTCAATTAATGTCTCATGGGTGCCTGGTTTCGATGGCAATAGTCAAATTAAACGTTTTAGCGTACAACGTTGTGAGGTTCATGAATTGGGACCAATTCCCGATTTATCGCCAAATTGGGTTCGTGAAATGACAAATATTTCAGCTCAAACCAATTGGATTTTATTGCATAATTTAAAGGCAGCATCGGCTTATCAATTTCGTGTTAGCGCTGAAAATGATGTTGGCGAGGGTCCATTCTCCGAGCCTAGTAACGTTGTTGTCCTTCCACAAGAACGTGAGTTAATTTTTATTTTTTGTATTTAAAATTAATACAAAATAGTTTAATTATTTTCAACTTTTTAATTTACAATTTTTGAATTCAAAAAAAATTTTTTCGTTAGCACCATCGGGACCTCCGTCGGGATTTGTTGGTTCAGCGAGATCATCATCGGAAATAATTACCCAATGGCAACTTCCCGCTGAGGAGCATAGAAATGGACATATTTTGGGTTTTATTTTACGTTATAAACTTTATGGTTACAATGTGACGCCATGGACAATACAAAATATCACAAATCAAGAGCAGAGAAATTTTCTCATTACTGATCTTATCACATGGAAGGATTATGATGTGCAAATTGCCGCCTACAATGACAAGGGCGTGGGAATTTTCACCGAGGGTCTGAAAATCAAAACCAAAGAAGGCGGTGAGTTTCTTTTTTTATCTCAAATTTTAAACGTTATTAATTATTTTGTTTATAGAATAATTTTTGAACAAACAGTTTGAAAAAAATTAAGAGAAACAAAAACTAAATTTGTTTTTTCTTTTCTTTTTTTTTTTACTCTCATCACAGTTCCAGAAGCGCCGCCAACAAATATAAAAGTAAAACCATTAAATTCAACATCGGTGGGCGTCTCGTGGACGCCACCAAATCCACAAAAGATCAACGGTATCAATCAGGGATATAAATTACAAGCGTGGATTGGAGGGAATTTTAGCGATGAAAATGAATATAAATCAATAACAGTTGAGCCAAATTTATTTAATCCGCTGGCGGAACAGGCGGCTGTTATTTTTGATCTCAAAAAATATACAAAATACAATGTTACTGTTTTGTGTTTCACTAATCCGGGCGATGGGGAAAGAAGTGAAGCTGTTGAAATTCGAACCAGCGAAGATGGTAAGTGTTCAAAAACAAAAAAAATAATCAAAAAATTTATTTTTCTCTTTTTTTAATTATTTATCATTTTTTTTTCTCTGTTTTTATTTATATATAGTTATTATAAAAAATACAGATTTTCTCGATTAAAAACGTTAAATTGAAATTTTGTATGTTTATAAATTTATTTTCAGTTCCCGGTGAAGTTGAGAATCTCCAATTTCTAAATATTTCCGATCGAGCATTAACAGTGAAATGGAATTCGCCAAGAGAAATAAATGGAATTCTCATTGCTTATCAATTGAAATATATGATTAAAGATTTGCCAGAATCATTGCGTGTTGAAAATTTAACGGCCAATGTTCATTCAGTGAAAGTCGAACATCTTCAGGTAATTTTTATTATTCAATTAATATTATAATTTTTTGGAATATTTAAATATGATTTATTTTTTTTTTCTTTTAGGCGACGACGCATTATAGATTTGAAATTGTTGCTTGGACATCAAAAGGACCGGGAAAATCGAGTATCGCAATTATTCAATCGGGAATTGAACCTGTTTTACCTGAACCGCCGACAAAACTTGCTCTATCAAATATTGATGCTTTTTCCGTTGTATTACAATTTACACCTGGATTTAATGGCAATTCATCAATTACCAAATGGACAATACAAGTGAGTTGGAATTTTCTCCCAAAAAATTATTAGTTTTTTTTTTTTTGGGAATTTAAAAATATACAAATTTCTCTAATTTAGCTTCTTTTTTCTATTCTTTATAGAAAAATAAAAAAATTAATTTCCTTCAATTTAAAGAGTAAAATATAAATAAATTTGTAAGTATAATTTTTTTTTTGGATGAAATTTTGTTTTTTAGGCGCAAACAAGTCGCAATACAACGTGGCATACAATTGATGAAATCTCGGATCCCGATTACGATACAAATACAATAAATGTTCAGGGATTGACGCCATTTATGCAATACAAATTGCGTTTAATTGCAAATAATGTTGTGGGCATATCGCCACCTTCAGAACCGACAAAACAATTTCAAACGATACAAGCGCCTCCTTCACATCCACCGAGAAATGTCACTGTTCGAGCAATGAGTGCAACGGAATTGCGAGTTCGATGGATTGTAAGTGATTTTTTTTTTCTTTTCGTTTCAATTTTTTTTTTGTTTTGGTTTTTTAAATTTAATTTTTTTTCTTTTCAGCCCCTACAACAAATTGAATGGTACGGAAATCCAAGAGGTTACAATGTTTCATTCAAAGAATTACGAACTAACGAATCGAAAAGTATTTGCATTGATGATCATACGGCAAATTCGTATGTTTTAAAAAATATGGAAGAATTTGCCCTCTATGAAGTTGTAATGCAGGCATTTAATGACGTTGGCTCGTCAACCTCAAGTCCAAAAGCAATTGAAAGAACAAGAGAATCTGGTGAGAGAATATTTTTTATTTGAAAAAAAGTTAACGACAAAATAAAAAAATAGTATGTAAATAATTTTTAAATTGAAATTAAATTTATTTTTTTTAAATTCCAGTTCCTTCAATGGGACCAATGAATGTGGCGGCAAATGCAACATCATCGACGACAATTGTCGTTAAATGGGGCGATGTACCAACAAAAGATCAAAATGGACAAATCGAAGGTTTTAAAGTTTATTATGGGGCAAAAAGTCGTTCGGCATTTCAATATAAAAATATTCCAAGTAACAGTACATTTACAACGACATTGACTGAACTCAGAAAATATGTGCAATATCATATACAAGTTTTGGCGTATTCAAGATTAGGAGACGGTGCATTGAGCGTTCCACCAATTAGAGTTCAAACATTCGAAGATGGTGAGAAAAAATTTATTTTCTTTATTCCTTTTTTTTCATTTTAATTAATTTTTATTCCTTTTTTTCGTTTTAATTTATCTAAATTCAATTTTCATTTAATTTTAAATATAATAAAAATTCTAGTAAATGGCACAGTTTCTTGGTACTAGAATAAAATTTTAATTAAATTTTTCTTTTAGAATTTTTCGTTGCTTCCCTTTTGGTTTTAAATTTTTAATTTAAAAAAAAAAAAAAATTAATAATTGAAAAATTTTTATAGTTCCTGGTCCACCTTCGAATGTTTCGATACCTGACGTGTCATTTTCAACGGCGAGAATTATTTGGGACACACCTGAAGATCCAAATGGTGAAATTCTCGCTTATAAAGTTATGTTTCATTTAAATAGCTCGAGCGATAAACCATTTTCCAAAGAGTTTCCCGCCTCCGAACGAACATTCACGTAAGAATTTTTTATAATAAAAATATAAAATAAAAAAAGTAATATAAAATTTATTATAATAATAATTTTTTTTATATTTTTATAATTAGCGCAACGGAATTGCAAGCCGAGAAATTTTACATGTTCTCGGTGACGGCGCAAACACGTCTCGGTTGGGGTAAAACAGCATACGCTCTTGTTTTAACGACAAATAATCGTGAACGTCCACAATCGCCATCAATGCCGCAAGTTAGTAGATCGCAAGTTCAAAGTCGACAAATTACATTTAATTGGATTCCGGGACGCGATGGATTCGCGCCACTCAGGTAAGAAAAACAATTTTAACAAAAAAAAAAAAAAAAATAATAATTATTATAATTACTGTTTTTACTTATTAGGTATTACACAATTCAAAAATCAGAAAATTCCGGACCATTTCAAACAATACCGGAAAGAGTGAATCCCTCTTTAACTTCCTATACGGCAAATAATTTGAAACCATTCACGAATTATCAATTTCGAATACAAGCGACAAATGACATTGGACCATCTGCTTGGAGTGCGGAATCAAGTCAAGTTCAAACTTTACCTGCAGGTTTGTTTTATAATTTTTTTTACGCCTTTTTTTAAAAAAAGAATTTTTGATTTTTATTTTAATAATTATTTTTGTAAATAAATTTACAGCACCGGCGAAAGGTGTGACGGGATTAAAAGTCGTTCCAATTACAACAACAGGTATTGAAGTTTATTGGAATATGATTGAAGAAATTCATTGGAGCGGCGATCATGAGACTGGTGGCTATCGTGTTGTTTATCAAATTGTCTCCGATTTTCCCACTGCAATACAAGCAACGCCAAAAGAAGAAATAATGGGCATTAATGTGAGTTTATTTCTTCCCAATTCAAAAAATTATTATTCTATTATATTATTCGAGTAATCGAGAGTATAAAAATAAAAAGTCCTTTAATGCAGAAGAAATTATAAAAAGATGAATTCTTGCAGCAAACAAAAATGACATTAACCGATTTAACGGAGGATAAAAATTATGAGATTATCGTTGTGCCATTTAATTCCGAGGGCGAGGGTCCACCAAGTCCTCCGGTGACAATTTATGTTGGCGAAGCAGTTCCAACAGGTGAGCCACAACATTTAAAAGCCGAATCAATTTCATCGACTGAAGTTCTTCTTCATTGGAAACCGCCGCAGGCAAATATGCAAAATGGCGATTTACTCGGTTACAAGGTAAGAAAAAAATAATCCATTTTTTTTATTTCTTCTTCTTTCTAAATTCAGAATAAAATATTTAATTTATAAAAAAATAAATTCTGACTTGTCACAGATTTTTTATCTCGTTACGGATTCACCGCAACCATTGGAGGGTAAACAAGAGGAGGAAATTGAAGTTGTTCCCGCTTCGTATTTAACGCACAGTCTTGTTTTTCTCGATAAATATACACAATATCGAATTCAAGTATTGGCATTTAATCCAGCTGGCGATGGACCAAGAACACCGGCAATTACTGTGAGAACAAAACAAGATTTACCTGGTCCATGTCATAATTTACAATTCACTGAAATTACAATGACAAATCTTCGCGTTTCATGGGAACCGCCAAAAATGCGTAATGGCGAAATTATTGGCTATATTGTCACATATGAAACTGCCGAGCAAAACGATCGTAAGTTTCGTTGTTTTTTATTTTTTATTTATTTATTTTTTTTTTTAATGTTAATTTACTTTTTATTTACTATTAATTTTCTATTTATTTATTGTTTGTTTACTATTTGTAATTTTTTTTTTCTGTTGTCACTCTTGCAGGTTTTAGTAAACAGGTGAAACAAAAAGTGACGGAAACAAGTTTACTTGTACAGCCATTGGAGGAGGAAGTGACGTATACATTTGTCGTGAGAGCGCAAACAACAATTGATTTTGGCCCGCCAATATCGGGAAATGTGACAACTGGACCACAAGAAGGTTCGCCAATGGTACCAAGCGATTTATCAGTGTCAAAAACAGTTTCGAGCGTTGATCTTCAATGGAAGAATGGCGCATCCGGGAAGGGGCCAATTTTGGGCTATTACATCGAAACCAGACGCAAAGGTAATTAAACAATTTTCTTTTTTTAAAAAAAAAAAAAAAAATTATTTTTGAAAATTTCAGTGTCATTTTTTAATAATTTATATATTTATACCTATATTTTTAAAATAATTTTTAAAATAATTTTTAAAATTATTTTTAAAATAAATTTAAAATAAAAATAATAGAATTATTTGAGAAAATTACAAAAATAAATTTATTTATTTAAATTTTTTTTAAAATATTAATAAATTTTAAAAACAAAAATATTTTTTTCTGTTCTTTATCAACGCGATTCAGTCTCGGAAGAATGGCAGAATTGTAAGTGTGAAATTTGGGCACACTAAAATTTTTTAATATTAAATGTTTGTCGCATGTTTTCGCTGTTTATTTAATTTTTTTTCTCAGTGAAAGAGGAATTTTATTAAATTGCTTTCTTTTTCATTGTCCATCATTTTTTTTTAACTTTTCCTCTTTTATTTATTTTTTTTTTTGTCGATTTTTTGCTTTCAATGTTATGAAAATTTGTGAAATTGCTTACAATCGTTTTCATGTACATATTGAGAAATTTTTTATTAATTTTTGTGGTGTTAATTTTTTTTCATTCTTTTTTAAATTCAGTTTTTTTATTTTTTTTTTCCATTTCAGTTTTTTCATTCGTTTTTTATTAAATGCTTTTTTAATTTCAGGTTTATATCCAATTTTTTTTTTTAAATTTCATTTTTGCATTTCATTTATTTATTGTATTGTTTTCAGCATTTTTATTTAAAAAAAAAAAAATTAATTTTCTAACACGAAAAAAATTGAAAATACATTATTTTAAAATTGTGTTTCTTTTTTTTTTATCACTTTTGTAGATGACACGAGATGGCAAACAATTGTGAGAAGTAGCAATGGACCATTGATGGAATACACAGTTTCTTATCAAAATTTATTGCCATCAACATCATATTTATTCCGTGTAATCGCTTATAATCGTTACGGAATTAGTTATCCTGCCTATTCAAGTGAAACGGTAAAAAAAAAATTCATTAATTAATAAAATTTTTATTTTTTTTATTAATTAATAAACTTTTATAATAAAATTCTTTACTTAATTAAAAAAAAAATTTTGTTTTGAAAAAATGGTTTTCTTTCTTGTTTTTTCAGATACTGACGCCTTCGAAATTATATTTAGAATACGCGTATTTACAACATAGACCATTTTATCGACAAACATGGTTTATGGTGAGTTTGGCTTCTGGTTCAGTGATTGTTATCGTTATGGTTATTGCTGTTCTTTGCGTCAAGAGTAAAAGCTACAAATACAAACGTAAGTTATTTTTTTTTGTAGCAAATAACTAGTTAGTAAATAAATTTAGAAAAAAAGGAAATTTTAGGAGAATTAATAATTTCTCTTTTTTTCCCTTTTAAAATACATAGAAGAGGCGCAAAAAGTCCTCGAGGAATCAATGGCAATGGACATTGACGATCGTCAATCATCAGATTTAGAATTATATCGTTCGCGACAAACCGGTGGCAATTCAATGAACATTGTCAATGGCTGTGGCGTTGGTACATTGGGCAAAAGAAATGGAATTTCCGGTACATTATCGAGAAAAGCAATGCATCCACCACCGCCACCTGCACTTTATGGTAAATCACCGCCAAGACCATCGCCCGCTTCAGTTGCCTATCACAGCGATGAAGAGAGTCTCAAGGGTTACGATGAAAATCCCGATGATAGTAGTGTCACTGAGAAACCATCGGAAATAAGTTCCACCGATTCACAAGCATCCGAAAGTGAAAATGAATCCGTACAATCGGATCCACATTCATTTGTCAATCATTATGCAAATGTTAATGATTCACTGCGACAATCGTGGAAACGGCAAAAACCGGTGAGAAATTATTCATCGTACACTGATTCCGAGCCAGAGGGTTCAGCTGTTGTTAGTTTAAATGGTGGGCAAATAATAATGAATAATATGGCAAGATCGCGTGCACCATTGCCGGGTTTTTCGTCTTTTGTTTGAGTCGAAAAAATTAATTAAAATCGATTCGAAAGAGAAAAAAAGAAAAAAAAACCCTTTTTTAATTGTGATATCGACTTATTTATAACTATTAATATTATTATATATTTTTTATTAATTACTTGAAGTAATTGATAATTCAGGTAATTAATTGTTAATTGATGATTATTGATTAATTTAATTAATTGAATGCGCGATAGTTAGAAATAAAGTATTAAATACTCGTGTTTCTTCGTTTCTTTTTGAAACAAAAAAAAAAAGAGGGGAAAAAATTAATTTTTTTATTGATGAAAATAATTTTTCTTTCTTTTAGAAAAGAAAAATTGTTTTTTTTCTCTTCAAAAATAGAAAAATTTGGTTTTTTTTCTCAAAAGAAAATAAAATATAGTAAGAAACTGAGTAAATTTTCTCGGCTGGAGAAAAAAAAGGATCTATTTAATACATATAAAAAATATAAAGAAAAAAACCCTCGTGATTCAGGGGATTTTCAAAATAGCATGGCAATAATAATAATCTTGGGGCGCGATGATTATCAGAAAAAATTCATTTAATTAAAAATTTTCAATATTTAAAAATAATTTTATAAAATAGAATTTTGAATTTAGACGAATTTCTATTTTTCAAATTGGAATTTTTTCAATTCCACAATATTAGTAACAATCGAAGGTATTTTTTAATATTAGTTTCGAAATCCTTGACCTTTAATTACTAGGAAACGACTACCATGATGCTATTATTTTTTTTTCAATTTTCAAAATTTTTTTGATTTTTGAATTTTTTTTTTTTTTTTTTGAATTCTAAATACTCTTCTTAATATTATTACCCTTTGATTCTATAAAAATAAATCATAACTTTCAATATTGACAACAAATTGAAAAAAAAAAATTTCCAAAATATTAAAAAAAAATTTCAAAAACTGGTTTTTTGAAAAAAAAGATTTTTAGGATTATTGTACTCGTTTTCTACTAATTTAGGATCAACGATTCCGAAAATAATATCTAAACTGTCAAAAATTATCATCGTTATAAAATTCTAAAATAAAAATTCTATTTCTTAAAATTCTCAAAAAAAAATTCGAAATGAATTTTGAACGGTTAATCATGCGCCCATACAATAATCAATAAAAACGTGGTAGGAAAAAAAAAAAAATCTCCCTCGGGGAAGTTTTTTTTTTAACAAACCCGAAAAATTTTGATCTCGAATTCTTTTTTTCCCACTATTTCTTAAAAGGAAAAAAAGTATTCTTTTCAAATAGTCGAATTTTGCATATTAGCAAAGTTTAATAGGTTTTTTTTTTGTACTTTTCAATTTTTTGTACTTCTCGAATTTTATATATAAATATATATATATATTTAGAAAAGAATATAAAAAAAATGATCGACGCGTGTCATATACTGTGAATAATAATTGTAATTTAAAATAATTATTAATTAATAAAAATAGGAACTTAGGACCAATGCGAAGATTATAGAAAAAGGCTGATTTAATATTTGAAATTATTTATAGGATTAAATATCATAATATTAGAAAAAATGAGAAAAGGAGAGAAGAAAAATAATTTCTCTGTTGAAAAAACAGAAAAAAATAAAATTGACTTGACTGACAAAAACAGTTTTTTTTGGGGGAATAAAATCATATCATGGAGAAAATTTGAAACTCTGATATTGTAATTAAAAAAAAAGGATTTACACAAAATGTGTACTTATTTCCTTTTGTGTATGAATTGTTATCTGTGTAATTATTTTTTACTAGGTGATATGTATATTATATATTAAAAAAACAGACACACAACAAGTGTACGAAAATGCACTGCCACAATTTTTTTTTTGTTTTTTTGTTTTTTTTTTAATTATTTATGTACGATAATAATTATTGTAAGGATAGCGAACAAAAAATCGAAAAAATTCACGAAACGATTTACAAATTGTTATTTGTATCTCAACAATTGTTTTACACATAGATTTCTAATAAAAAAAAAAAGAAGAAAAACGTTTTCATTTTTCTTATTTTTTTGTGTGAAAGGTAAAGTGGAAAGATTAATTAAGAACCAAATAATTAACAAATAAATTCCAATTGTTTTTTTCCCCTTTGGAAATTTATATTCAAGATAATTATTTTAAAAAATTTTTTATTTTTAATTGGAAAAAAATGAAAATTTCTTAACAAATTAATTGCAACTAAAGTTTTTTTCCCCTTTGAAAATTTGTATTCAAGATAATTATTTATTAATACATATTTTTTTTTTATTTTTATTTGCAAAGAAATGAAAATTTCACACGTAAAATTGAAAAAACATTTTATTTTTATCTTTAAATTGCATAAAATTCTTTTGATTATTATTTACATTATTTTGTTCTTTTTTTTTATTTTGCTTTAAAAATTAAAAAAAAAAAATTCTAAATAAAATTGAATAAATATATACTAAACTAGACAAACGTTTTTTCACACTGTTGGAACCATTTGGCGAGTGTTGGGGATGTTAATTTTAAATTTAATCGTTTGCAAAGAGACCAAACGGCAACGTCAATAATTGTTGGTTGAATTTTATTTAAAAGCCATGGGCCTTTCGTTAAATAGTCATTTAATCGTAAAATTGTCGATTGAACATCCTTCGTTGATTGTGACAATGAATAATGGCAAAAATCTAAAATTGAATCAATTTTTGTCGCTTCAATTGGATCTGAATTTTCGTAGGAATGATTTTTTACAAGACGTGATAAATATCTTAGAAAATTTCCTTCGCCTTCAATTGAACTTGTAGTGAGGCCACATTTTAATGTCAAATCTGGAACTGTAATAATTTTTTTTTAATATTTTTTTCTCTAAAAAGAAATTTTTTTTTTCCTTTAAATTAATTGATTAAAATTTTCTTTGAATAAAATTTTTATTCGACGGAATTTTAATTTAAAATGTTTAGTAGATAAAATATTTAAATTAAAATTTTTTATTAGAACAAATTTTCTTTTTTTTTTTTAAATAAATATAAATATTCGCCTGTAAAAATTTTTTTAAATATTCTGTAAATATTTTGAAAATTTTTTTTTTTGCTTTTTAGAAAAGATTTGAGTATAAAAATTTTCATTTTTTTTTTTTTTTGTTTTCTTACCATCTCTCCAAATTAATCTTAAATTTATGCAATTTTTCTGAATATTTTCCTCGTTCTTTGTTAATAAAAATTCCGGTACATTTTCAATTATCGATGAATGCACGTGTGTTTGAATTTGAAAACTGGAATCTTTCCAAATTTTGGATAAAGCTAAAATTGAAAATGGTGGTTTCTTTGGATTTGCATTTAAAATAATGTCAATTGTCACGGGATTCTGAAAATTGAAAATAAAAATTTTATTATTTAAAAATATGAAAATAAATAAATGTAATTAAAATTAATTAATTAAAATGTAATTAAAAAATAGTTAAATTTTTTTATGAAAATAAAATCAAAAAATCTGAAAATCGTAAATTAATATTTAATTATGTAAATTAATTATTTATCTTACGTAAATAACGGGCACTGTCGATGTTGTTGTTTTTATTTCAGCATTTGATTGTTTCAAAACATCGCGAAATATAGCGACTTGTTGCTTAATTTCTGCTAATTGAGATAAAATTTTCTCTTGTCTTTGTTCTAAAATTTTTAATTCCGCGGAATTTTCCTATTAAAAAGAAAGAATAAAAAATTTTCATTTTTTTTTGCCTATTTTAATTATTTCTCTATTAATAAATAATTAAATAAACAAACATTTTTTTATTTTATTTATTTCTATATTAATAAATAAATACACAAAAAGCGTCAAATGCGATTAGTTTTATTTTTTTTGCGATCGGAAAAAATGTTCATAACCTCAAAAAAAAAAAAAAAAACATTTTCTGTTTACAATTTCCCTCTCTATATACATATATATATATATATTTATTTGTCGCGTCAGCAAAATTAAATTTTTGTTCGCAATTATATTTCTGTGATTCAATTTTAATTTTTCGTTTATTTTATCGATTTCGTAAATCCAAGTGCCGAAAAAAATATTCCTGCTCGCAATTTTTAATTATTAAAGTAATTTAAGTACTTCAATAAATTTTAGGGTAAAAATTTTTAGTTTCATCATTTAAAAAAGCATAAAAGGAATTAGTATTGAATAAAATTTAATTAAAATGGAAAATCATGTAAGTAAAAATTAATATTTTTTGCATCATTTTCTTTTTTTGCATGCAATTAAAATAAATTAGTAGGTGTAAAAATTTTACAAAAATAATTTTTCAAAAAAAAAACCTTTAAAATTTTCGTAACCTGGTCTTTAATTTCCGTGACAATTGTCTCGTTTTCCTTCTCGTCGACAATAATTTTCTGTTGAATCTCATGAATATTGTTCATCTCGTACATCACTTTATTTTGCTTTGATAAATTAACAATTGGCATTATTGGTTTTAACGTATACATCGCGACTGGACCACTCATTTTTTCTTCTTTCAAAAATATTATCACGTAAAAATTAGTCCTTTTTTTAATTAAAACGAAAAATATGCCCGTAAATATCGATCGATTTTTCAACAAATTTTAACAGACAACCATTTTCTAATTTGATTTTTTTGGGGGGGGGTCAAAAAATAATCGCCCCTAGCGGAGAAATTCGAAAATGTTTTTGAATTTTCGCGCCAAATATTTTTGCATTTAATAATAAATTTTATTTATTTCTACTTTATCTAAATACTTTTCTTTTATTTCTACTTTATTCATTACAATACTTTTTTATTTAATATTTCAATAATTACCTGATTATATCTTAATTTAATAAACCTAATTTTTTATTTTCCAAAAAACTTCTATTATTTAAATAATTTTCTGCCTTATCGATTATCGAAAGTAATTTTAAAAACAAATTGTCTATTAACAGAATTATTAGGAGAAAATATTTTTAAAAACAAAAAAACAATAAAGAAAAAGATATAAAAGAGCTATAAAAAAAGATATAAAGAAGACATAAAAAAATGAAACCCATTTACAAAAAGAATATTCTCGAAATTAAAATTCGCGCCATTATCGTCTGCTATTTTCACGTCGACCAATCGCGTGTAATCTATAATTGAAACCTCACTCCATTGGTTATACGCCTCGTTATGTTGATTAAATTCACTTCTCAAAAGAAAAAAAAAATTATCGCGCCATCTAAAGTGTCGTTTAATTACATTCAAAAAATAACCGTAAGATTTTTTTTTTAAATTAACCCTATAATTTATCTTTACATTATATTTTTTTAGTAATGTTAAATGAAATTTTTTTTTTTCCCTTCATCCGGCAACACTGCGTCGCGTCACTTCTTAGTCAATTTAGTTACAATTTTATCGAATTTTTCTAATTTCAAAGGGAAAAAATTGTTTATTAAAAAATTTGTTTCTCTTTAAAAAAAGGGAATTTTTAATTTTCAATTTCTAAATTTTCATTCACTTAATTTATTAACAAACAACGACAACTAATTAGGCGGAAAAGACCATAAACACTGTAATTGAATATGGCGGTTCGTTTACCTATAATCACGTGATCAACAAGAATGCAACATTAGTGAAAAAATTTATTAAACTAAAATATGATTAATGTATCCCTTAGAAAAAAGGAACAATTTTTTTTTAAATCCTCTATTAAATTATAGTAAATAATAAAAAAATTATTTTCAAATTTTCATATTTTCATTGTTGTAAATTGTAACCGTCGTCAATTGAATATAATTTCTTTACGTTGGTAGAACTCGCGTCTACTCGCATAAAATCCAAGATGGCGAACCTTCACTGAGCAAAGTGCCAGTTGTGTGTGCTATTCTAAAAAATCCAAAAACTCACACGTTTTCTCGATTAAAAGAAAATAATAAACTCGTGTTTTCTATTAACGTGATTAAAAATGTGAAAATTCTTTTTTTGAATTTGACAAAAGTGTTCAAATTCCCCTGTGAAATAAGTGAAAGAAATGTGAAAAGTGTATTTAGGAAAAAGAAAAAAAAAACCTCGCTAGTGCTGTCCTCTGTGCAAGCTTCTCCGAAACTAACAAAAAGAATAATTTTCAGGTGAGAAGAAAAAAATATAAATAAAAACAATAGTCAGGTGTTAAAGTGAATAAAAAAAAACAATTGATAAATTCGCGTTGTGAAATAAATCAAATATTGAGGTACGTTAATTAAAAAAGGATTTTTTTTTCACTCGTGTCGCCATCTGTCGGACATATGTCAAGAGAATTGTGATTGGTTTTTGCATTGAATCGTTGAAAAAAAGAATTTTTAGTGAAAAAAAAACGTTTTAAAATAAATTTCTTAAAAACTAATAGTGTTATTAAATTTGTTTTTGCGAAAGAAATAAAAAATTTGCAATCGAACAAGTAAAATCATGTTGCCTAGATGGTGTCATGGCGACTTTCTCAATTGACCAATCAGCGTTGAGTTTCATAAATTCCCTTGTGTTTGTGTGATTCGCGTCATTTCGTTTAGTGTACACGCTCCCCTCTTCTATTCACGTCAAGTGAGAAATAAAATATTTCCTTCTCTTTTTTTCGAAATAGAAAAAAAAAAAAAAAAAATTTTGTCCCTTATTTTCGCGACGAAAAAACCTTTTTTTTCCCGTAACAATCGAAATAAAAAACGGCTTCTAAAAAGTTAATTTCATCATTCTCGAAATAATGGCGGTACGATGGGTCACGTGACCCTCGCGGAAATAAAAGGGGGAGATATCAGAGAGAGACAGAGAGAAATGGCGCAAACCAGAGATCGAAAACATGGGAAATGTTGCGTGTTCCCGGGGGAATGTCAATGTTTATTTGTTTACAATGATAATAATAATTGAAAAATGTTTAATTGTGACACGTGTTTTTTGAAAAGTGAGATAAAAATTTTACGTACAAAAAGTGTGTGAATTTTTTTGCTATTGTGTTTTTTTTGTTTTATTTTTCACGTCGTAATATATAGTGGGATATATATATATATATATATAGTTTGGTGTGAAAAATGACGGGACGTGGGACAAAACGTCGTGGAAGACCGCCAAAGTCGGTGGTTATGGAGAGACCAAAAAAATTTCAATATCATTTAATGAAAAAACCAAAATATTTACAACAAAATAAAGGAATTGATACGCCATCAAGTCAACCGGGTACGCCGACAATTTCGAGGGCGTCGTCACCGGTCGAAAGTGAGGAAAGCAGACGAAGTACGAGAAGTAGAAAAAGCCGTGGTGGACGAGAACGAAATTCACGAAAAGGTGAGAGAATTTGTTTTTTTTTTTGCATTATTTCAAAATTTTTATTTATTAACTTCGTAAATTTTTTACATATTGATTTTTTTTAATTTTCTCCATTTTTATATTTTTTCATTTCATCATTTCGATCTTTTTCTTTCGTATAGCGAAAAAAATGTTTTTATAATTTTGATTAATTTTTGAAAATTGGGGTTTTTTTTAAAAAAAAATTTTTTGCAGTCTTTTTTGTAATTTGGGTTTTTTTTTTTTTTTTTTTTTTAATTTTTCTTTAATTTAAAAATGTAATTTTTCATATTGGTTCAATTTTTCTCGAGTTTTTTTTTTTTTTTGAGGTTAGGTTTTGTCGCAACGTTTTTTCATTGTTTACGATTTTTCTTGTTTTTATTTATTTATTTATTTATTTTTACGGGTAATTTTTATTGTAAAACTTTTTTTAAATTCTTGACTATTTTTTTCAATAATATAAAAATAAAAATGTTAATTGTTGAATTACTTTTACTTTTTTTTTTTTTTTAAATTTTTTCGAAGTAAAAAAATGATTTTTTCGCGAATTTTCGATTTGAAAAAAAAATTTACAAGTACAAGAAAATTAAAATTAAATTCAGAATTCTGGAAACTATTTTCAAAAATTCGTTAAATTGATTTTTTTTTTGCAAATAAAAAAAAAATTTTCTAATTTAATTTGTCTGATGAAAAATAATATAAATTATTAAATTATTATTATTAAATTTAAGAGTATTTTTTTTTTTTGCGAAAAAAACTTTTTTTATATATTTTTTTTTGAGGTTAGGTTTTTATCCCGTTTTTTAAAATCTAAAATACAATTATTTTGCAATTGAATTATTTTTGAATTTTTAATTTAAAAAAATTAAATTAATTAATTAAATTTGAAAAATTCAATTACAATTAAATTAGTTAAATTAATTAATTAAAATTTTAAATTCAATTACATTAAAATTTCAATTAGTTTAATATAATTCACCATAAGAATTAGATTTTTTTTTAAATATTTAAGTTTTTAAAATAATATTTTTTGAAAATAATTTAATTGTAAAATAATTAAATTTTATACTAAAACAATTTTTTTTAAAAAATAAATATTAATTGAATTTAAAAAACAGTGGAATATTTTTAAAATTGTTGTGTAAGAGTTTTTAATAATTAAATTTAAAAAAGAATTTAATTTTTTTTAAATTTGTAATTTATTATTTTTTTTTTTGTTTTATTTTATTCTTAATTTTTAGATATTTTTTCATTAATTTTTCTAGTTAAAACAAATTTATTTTATTTTCTATTAATTAATAACAAAAAAAAATTATTTTTTGATTAATTAATTATAATTCGATTATTTATAAATTAATTAAAAAAAACAGAACTAATTAATAAAAAAAAACTGAATTATTTAATAAAAAAATTTGATTTTCTATTACGAAGAACGAAAAATTTTTTTTTGTAAATTAATTATTAAAAAAAAAATTTAATTTTCTATTACAAAAAAAAACAATGAAAAAATTTATTTTGGAAATAAAATAATTAAATTTTTTTTAATTATCAGGTGGACATACAACAGGTGCATATCAAAGACGTGGTTACAATACAAATGTCGATTATCATGATTCAGAATATCATTATGGCTCTGATTTTGGTGATGAATCAAGTGAAAAAAGTGATCTCGAAGAAGAGCCAATACAATCGGATGATAATTCATCGGAATCAATACAAGAACAAGATCCATCAAGCGATAGTGATTTTTCATTATCAAGCTATAGTAATACAAGTGGTACACCACGTAAATCATTATTAAATCAACAACAACGACCGCCAAGTCCCGAGCCATTATGGTTACAAAATCGTGAATTACCAACACTTGAATTACCAAAATCATCAGATGATTTATTAGTACCAAAACAATTTGTCATGCCATGTTTATCAATTTATGAAGTATTGAGACATTTTCAAACATTAGTACGTTTAACGCCATTTCGTTTTGAAGATTTTTGCGCAGCACTAATGTGTGAGGATCAAACAAATTTATTAACGGAAATTCATATAATGTTAATAAAATCATTATTGCGAGAGGAAGATTCACAACAAACACATTTTGGACCATTGGATCAAAAAGATTCAGTTAATGTGAGTTTATATTTTGTCGATTCAATGACATGGCCTGATGTTTTACGTTCATATATTGAAAGTGATCGTACATTTGATCAAAATATATTGACAATACTTGCCAATTGTGAATATCCATTTACAAATATTGACGATAAAATTAAGGTACTACAATTTTTGACAAATCAATTCCTTATCACGAATCCTGTTCGGGAGGATCTTTTACATGAAGGTAAGAAAAAAAATTGATTTTTATTACTTCTTATTATTTATTTTTAATTATTTTAATTATTTAATCATTTAATTACTTATATATTTATACATATATGATTAGGTAGAATTTTTAATTAGAAACAATTTTCGTTTTATGAATTATTGATGCAGAATTTACCATTTTGAAAATGAATTTTTTACTTTGGGAAATTTTTAGGCAATTGGAAAAAAAATATTCGTAGTTTTGAATAGTAACAGTGGTTTATGTTTTATTTGATGTAAGATTCGGAATCCTTGACCTTTAATTAGTAGGAAACGACTACCATGACGATAGTATTTTTTTTAAATTCAAAAATTATTTTTGAAAATATTTTTTTGATTTTTGAATTTTTTTTTTGAATTTGTATTCTAGGTACTATCCTTACTTCTCTTTGTTTCCATAAAAAAATAATTTTGTAGCATTCGATAATATTGATCGTATTAATTTTTTTGATAATCAAAAATAAAAAATTTTCGAAAAAAAAAATATTAGAAGCTTTTTAATGTAAGATTCGAAATCGTTGACCCTTAATTAGTAGGAAACGAGTACCATGAAGCAGTTGTTTTCTTTTTTTTCCAATTCCAAAATATTTTTTCCAAAATTTCGATTTTTGAATTTGTATTCTAGATACTCGCCTTATTTTTTCTTGTTTCCATCAACAAAAAATCGTAATTTTCAATAATATGGACGTTAATAATTTTTTTTTATAATCAAAAATAAAAAATTTTCGAAAAAAAAATATTGGTAGTTATGGATATTTTTTTAAATGATTTGAATTTGTACTCCAGTTAGTCTTCACACTAGAAATATAAACAATTGTTTCTGTAAGCACTAAATATCGTAATTTTTGAGAATAATAGAAGAAATTGCAAAAAAAAATTCCAAAATACTCAAAAAAAAAAAAAAAATTTTGAAAAAATTGATTTTTTTTCGAAAAAAAGGTCATTGTACTCGTTTTCTACTAATTTAAGGTCAAGGATTTCAAAAATACTATCTAAAATTACCACAGTTTATAATTATTTAAAAATACCTCGAATTCATAGCTAATTTTAATTCAGAAAATTAAGATTCAATAAAAAAAAATTTAATAATTGGGATTTTTAAGAATTGTACTATTTTTTTTTTAAGGGAAGAAATGTATAAATTTTTTTTTTGTAATTTTTTTAGGAAATGTTCATTACGATGATCATTGTCGAGTTTGTCATCGACTTGGTGATTTACTATGTTGTGAAACATGTCCAGCTGTGTTTCATTTGAGTTGCGTTGAACCACCAATGGTCGATGTACCAACTGAAGATTGGCAATGTAGCCTATGCAAAGCGCATAAAATCAGTGGCGTTGTCGATTGTATTCCGGACGTTGAAAAAAAGGGAATTCTCTGTCGACAGGAACATCTTGGCTTCGACAGACATGGACGAAAATATTGGTTCCTTGGACGACGAGTTTTCATGTAAGTTTTGCAAAATTGAGTAGAAAAAAAAAAATTTTCTTTACTAATTAAAAAAATCAGTACCTAGAATTTTATTTTGCAATTTTTTTTAATTATACAATTTTACCTTTGGTTTTTTTTCTTTTTTTATTAGTTTTACAAGAAATTTTTCGAATAGTTTTACTAAATTTTTAAATTATATTTTTACTGATTTTGTACTAATTTTACAAAAAAAAAATTATGCAATTTCACAGTGAAAGTGAAGACGGCGAAGTTTGGTATTACAGTACGCCATTACAATTAGAGGAAGTAATCGCTGCATTGGATAAAACTGAAATGGAAGTTGCACTCTTTCGTGAATTATCCGATTATAAAGATGAAATTGTCCGTCAAATGGAAATAACCGAAACACTCACCAATCAATTTAAGGGCAACAAAAAATCCTATCTCGAAGTTGAAAATGGTAATTATTAAAATTGCTTTCCTTTTTTTTTTAAAAAAAAAATTGTAAATACTTTTTTAAAAAATATAAAAAATTTCCCTCATTTTTTTCTTTTCAGCGACAATTTTGAAACAAAGAAAAGAACGTGACGAGCGCATTGAAAAGGAAAAAGAGGAAAAACTTGAGAAGGAACGTCTCGAAGCAGAGGAAATGGTACGTAAAATGCACGAGGGAACAGATTCACTGGAGGAACGTTTGGCAATTGTTTCCGGACAAAGTGACGATAAAGAAAATGAAATTTCAACCTCGACAAATCAAGTTCCTGATTGTATTGGCGATACAATTGAAGTTAGCGAAAGTACTGAGAATCTTGCAAAAATGATGAAAACCCCGTCGTCATCATCGACCGACGATATTGAAGAGGAATTATCGTCAACTGTTGTTGAAACCTCAACAACTACAACAACAACAACAACAACAACGCCAACAACTCCAACTACAGCAACAACAAACGAAGAAGGTGTAAAAATTAAAGACGGTAAATCACATAAAATTCTCACACGTTCAAAAACAGGTTCTTTAACCCCTCGTACTTTCAATATGGAAGATTTAAAAAGACGAAATAAAGAAGAACTCGATAGACAATTAAAGGAAGAAAGCGAAAGTACACGTTTAACACGTCAAAAAGCACATCAAATCGCAACGGGAACACATTTATTTAAACTTGGTATGGACAATAATTTTAAATCCTATGTCAATCAATATACGACAAATGTTATTGCGCTGAATAAACCCCAACGTAATGAGGAACGTGATAAAAAACGTCATTTATCGCATAAATTCTCATTAACGCCATTGTCGGAATTTAAATGGATTGGCAGTATCACAGGAACACGTGCTCTTTTAGTGTCAACATTACGACAAACGATATTACAACTTGAGAGTAATATACAAGCATCGTTTATGCATACAAATTGGCCACTATTGAGAAAACCATGGACAAGTGCAGTGGGTACTTGCGTGAATGCACGTGATTTTGCACGAGCTTTAATTGTCCTTCAGGCTTGCATTAAACAAGTTGTTTTTGCAAATGTTTGGCATGAACAATTGGGACATGTGAAATTAAAACGTGTCACTGCATTGGAACGTGAGGAAAAGAAACGTTTGGATAAAAAAGAGAAAAAAGAGAAAGAGGACGAGGAGGAACGTAATCGTTTAACGTATAATTTTGTTAAATACACATTGGGTTTGAAACATCAAATTTGGAAACAAAAAGGTGAAGAATATCGTGTACACGGTCAATGGGGTTGGTTGTGGATTTCCGCTGGTAGAAGGCTGAAAAATCATCCAGTTAAAGTTGATCTTAAACAGGGTGCACAAAAAATAATGCTACAAATACGCGATCAAGATGGTATTAAAATATTGGCATTGGATCCAATGACGCATGATTATATTGTCGAGGAATATGGCGAGAAGAAAATTGATTCTGCCATTGTGAAAAGTGATTCTTCTGATGGTTTAAAAATTGATAAGGAAACAAAAATTGAGAGGGAAAAAATTGAGGACGAAAAATGTGACAAGGAAATAAAAGTGGAGGTCAAGGAGGAGACGAGGGTCAAGCGAAGTTTGCGGAATCAACAGCGACGTGAGTCAAAATTACTTAAAGAAGAGGAAATGAAAAATGAAATCAAAAAAGAAGATTCCGCCGCTCTTCAGTCTGATTCCGCCGCCTCCAAGATTGATTCCACTGATTCTAAAATTGATTCTGATGGTTTTAAAGGCTATTCCGCCGATGTCAAAAGCAATTCAATTGATTCTAAAAATGATTCCGATGGTTTTAAAGGCTATTCCGATAAAGATATGGAGAAAAATGATTCCACAGTTACAAAAAGTGAATCGAATGATTCAAAAGATTCCAATGATTCGACAGATAGTAAAGATTCCACTGATTTAAAAAATAATTCCATCGATTTGAAAAATCAAACAACAAAAGAGCAAAAAAATCGTACAAATCTTGCATTCCTCGCTGGAATGAAAATACAAAAGGTATTTGAGCCAATAATAAATTTGGAGGAAATTGATATTATGAAAGCGTTAACAACACCTGGTAGGATACTTTATCCAAAAATAGCGAAAAAAACACGAATTGATGAATTTTTAGCGCGACGAACACATTTAAAAATACTTGAGGAGAGGAAATTTTTACAAATTGAAAAACCAAGTTGTTTAAATCAAATATTGAAAAATGATAATGAGGAACGTAATAATAATACTGGGAGTGAAACTAGTGAAACAACAACGACAACAATGACAACAGCAACACCTGAACTTACTGATATTGTGAATAATATTATTTCTGGTAAACCATTAAATAAATCAATAACGCCACAAGCTAAAAATTTAATTATTGTTTTATCGAAACGTATTCAACAAGTACGTTTACAATATGCGAATATAATGAAATTAACAAGACACAGTAAATGTTATTCGAAATATTGTAATATGCAACCAATTGAAAAAACATCGTGTGCTACACAATTGTTGTCAGCAAATTGTTATTCGCCAATTTGTTTATTAAAGGCACGATTAAAACGGGAGCTTATTATTCTTATGAGGAAGGTGAATGCAGTGAATAATAATCAGGTAAATATTATTGTTATTATTGCTATTTTATTTATTGTTATTATTTGTAATTTTCGATAGTAGAAATTTGAATTTAGTTTCCTTTAATCCTTTGATGTATACAGTGCATAAAGTATTTCACCTTTTAGATCGCCGAATGTTTTGAATATTATATTTGGAATCGTTGACCCCAAATTAGTAGAAAACGAATACCATAACGCTAGTATTTTCTTTTTTTCGAAATCCAAATTTTTTTTTTTAGAAAAATTTTCTTATTTCTTGATAACCCAAAAAATTAATTTTTTGTCCAAATTAAAAGTGAAAAGTGATAGAATCTAAGTCTAACAATGTTAGAAAGAGTAATTAGAGAAAATCGTCAAAAAAAAAAAACAGATTCAAAAATCGAAAAAATTTTGAAAAAAAAAAAATATTTTGCAAATTAAAAAAAAAAAAAAATAGCGTCATGGTAGTCGTTTCCTACTAATAAAAGGTCGACGATTCCGAATTTTGCATAGAAAAATATTCACAATTGAATTTAATATTATTTTACTATTTTAATAAAAAAAAATATTAATAATGATTTTTTGTATTAAAAAAAAAAAACAGCTGTCGAGTTTAGCAAGAGTTGGAGATGTCCCAGCAACGGCAACAACAACAGCTGCAGATAATAAAAATGTGACAATTAAAACTGAAGCCAGTGAAGAAAATAAGGAGGCAATTCGAAAAAATTTGGAATCGTCGACAAATGCATCAACAACTTCAGATTTGGAGAAAGTGAAAACTAAAAATGAGGATGAAAATGAACCGCAAGCAAAACGAATTAAATTAGAAGTGGTGAGTTGTTTTACAAAATTAATTCAAATTTATTTATTTTTATTATTATTATTATTAATATATAAAAATATTTATTAATTTTTTTAAATAATTGAAAATGGTTTCTTTTATTACTATTTAATTTAATATTATTATTATTATTATTGTTATTATTATTATTATTATTATTTATTAATATATTTTTTTTTATTAATATATTTATTAATTTTTTTAAATAATTGAAAATGGTTTCTTTTATTACTATTTAATTTAATATTATTATTTTTATTATTATTATTATATTATTATTGTTGTTATTATTATTTTATAATTTTGATTTTATTATTTTTGTTATTTTTTTTTATTATTTTGATTTTATTATTTTTGTTATTTTTTTTTATTATTTTGATTTTATTGTTAATAATTCCTATTTTTGTTTTAATGACTTTTGTTGTTAATTTTTTTTTTTTCGTTTGCTTAACAGAAAGAAGAAGAAAAAGATGTAAAAACAGAGAAACCGGAAACAATTGTCACGAGTAATATTACAACGACAACAACAGTAACAACAACAACAACTAGTCAAACTGTTAAAACAGTCGATGGTGTTGTACAAAAAACTCAGGAAAGTGTTACATCGGAAAATTCCATTGATGTCACGACAGTCACTTCCGAGACAAAAAGGTAAGATTTAAAACAAAAAAAAAAATATAAATATAATTTTTTTTATTTTTTGAGTGTAAAAAAGAATTTTTTTAATATATATTTTTTCTTCGCCAGTGTTCCCGGGAATACGACGACAATTATCGTAAATCGTCGAGGACGAACAGTGCATCGTTCTGCAGTGGCAAAAGAATTAAATGCCGATGGTTCAGAGAGAATTTATTCGGCACAATCAACTGAGGGTAAGGTTTATTTGAAGAAAATTTCCATTTCATTAGCTGAAAGAAAGAAGAAACGTACGCCCGTTAAATATCCATTGTGTTCGACATTTTGTACAAAAAATAAACATCGTAGTATTCTTCTATTGCCACAACATGAATTGAGAAAACTCGCTCGACATGGTGGAAGAACGCCCGTTTTTGGATTTAATCATTCGGCAAAGGTTGGTTTTTTCTTTTCATTTTGTTCCACAATTTTTTTTTTTAATTTCCATATTTTTCCTCTTAATTTACAAATTAAAAATTCTCTTAAAATTTGTTCTTAAAATTAATAATTTTTTTGGTAATTTAATTATTTTATTTAAATTTCCAAGTTAATTGTACTGTAAATAATTAAATGGTAAATCTAAATAAATTTTTTTGTTTTGTTTGTTTTGTAGGCAAATATGTCGGTGTGGCCGTATCAGTGTTCGAGGCCTCTATTTAAAACATGCTGGCTTTATCGTACAGTGGGATTAAAATCTCTATCGTCGGCTGCACTTCAATTGAGAATATTGTGGGCATGTTTGAGATGGGACGATATGGCAACAAAACCATTGTCAAATGATGGAAAACATCAAATAACAACTGACACGGAAATAATGTCATTGGAAATATTAAAACATCGACATGTTGGACAATTTTTGGATAAAACACAATATTTACGTCGAAAAGTTCTTATTCCATTGGAACTTCCAAAACAAGTCCGAGGTAAGAAAAAAAAATACAAATTAAATTTATTATAAGAATAATTTGCAATTTTATTGAAATTTGTATTTAATTCTTTTTTTTCTGTAATTATTAGAAGTCACTTCGATAAGAAGCGGTTTACGAAAACGAAAACGACCGGAATCGCCTCACAGTACGGAACCACAAGTCTCGGAGGAATGGGTCGATGAGGATAAACTCGAACTCTGGGAAATCAAACAATACGGCGACAGGTATTTTTTTCAACTAAAAAAAAAACAGAGAAAACCAAATTTTTTTTTCACTGTTTTTTTGTTATTTTTGTTTTCCAAAATTTTTGTCTTGTTTCTCCTTTACTGTGTTTTTTCATCGCTTTTATTGTTTTCATTTTTATTTCACTCATTTTCGAATTTTCTTTTTTTCAAAATTATTTCATAGTTTAATATTTTAAATATTTTTCACAATCACAGGATTTTTTTTTAAATTTTATTTCAACTTTAGAAATTTTATTTACATTTTATAGTTTTTAGAAATTTTATTTAAATCATATTTTTTTTGTTTTGTATTTACAAAAAAACAAAATGGTGATAGAACATTCATTTCATTGCTTTTAGTTTTATTTTTTTATTTACAGTACATGCGGGCAAAAGTAATTAATGCAAAAAAAAAAAAAAAAAAATTGCTTTTTTAATGTCATTCTTGAATATTTTCATTCATTTTGTGTACATTTCTTTTTTTTTCTCTTCTCGAATCATTTTTTCCATTTCTATTCTATTTTTTTAAATATATTTTATTATATTTCCATTTTTTCTTATTTTGAGTTTAAAAAAAAAAAAAAATTGAACGAAAAATTTCCGTTTTGTTTATTTTTATTTGTAATTAACGGGCAATTAATTATTATTAAAATAAAATTGATACTAAAAATAGAGGAAAAAATGGAAAATAATTTTTTAGATATGGTTTTTTTTTGTTGTGTTCATCAAATTTTCCTTTGTAAACTCACATAACAATTTTTTACGCGCGCGCTCAATACTAACAACTTTCGCTTGGCGTGTGTCTCTTTGTGTCCATTCTAGGTTAGAGAAGGCTAATGCCCAGATTATTACTAGGAGCCGTTCGGGCACACCACAAGTTGCAACTGGTGGCAATCGTTCATCATTGTCATCGGGTGGAAATGCATCAGCAACGGCCGCCGCTGGCGATCAACTCGTCAGCGGTAAACAAACACCCGAGGAAATTAAAGAGAAAATGGAACAACAATTGCGAATGCAACGCGCCGCACATCAACAAAAACGTGCACTCGAAACACTCAAGAGTCCAGCGAATGCAAATTTACCCGCTAATCAACTCGTCAAAGTCACCACCAGCTCCAATCAAGGTAGAAAAAAAAAGAAACAAAATTTTTTTTTATATTTTTTAGAATAATTTTGTTTTTTTTTTTAAAGAAAATTAATTAAATATCGTTGTTTTTTTTTCCTTTTTAAAGATGGAGCTATAAAAGTCGTGACAAAAGTTGCAATTCCCGCTAATCCAAATGCGGGAAAATCACAACTTACCTCATTATTGACAACACCAACGCAAAATAAGGCTCTAATTGGAACACGACGAATTTACATGACAAAAAGTGAGTTTTTCTTTTTATATAGAAACTAATTTTTAAAAATTAATCAAATTTTTGTAAATTTAAAACAATTTTCGAAAAAAATTTATTATAAAATTATTAAAAGTATTTTTTAATTTTTAAAATTTATAAAAATATATTATTTAAAAAAAAAAACAGCTCCTGATGGAAATACGCGAATGATAACGGGACCAACGAGTATTCTTCCAAAGACTGAATCGCCACAAACTCCAAATCGTCAACAATCATTAATAAAAGTAACTGGCACACCGATACCGGCTCCAAATCCTGCACTACAAAGTATTCAACAACGTGTACAAATATTACGTGGTCCCGATGGTAAATTACAAGTTCGTGGATTAATGCCCGGTCAACAATTGGTACAAATGCCCGATGGTAAATTACATGTTTTAAATACAAATCAAACAGCACAACAAATTGCCACAGCTCAACAACAACAACAAAATACTCCCGTTAATTCGCCACTTTCAACAACACCAACGACAATAACAAAAACAACAAATACAGCAGCACCAAAAATTGCTCCTGTTAAAATTACACCAGCAAAAACAACTGCTGTTATTCAACAAGATGGTACAACGGAACAACAACAACAACAAACGCCAAAAATTGTACAAAGAAAAACGGGAACACCGGCAAAAAATACAATTCTTGTTACAAGTAGTGGACAAATTGTACAAGGACAACAAATATTACAAAGTGGCGCACAAGTTGTTGGTGGTAATCAAATTGTTGTTAATAATCCAACATTGGCGCAACAACTCGCTTCGGGTAAAGCACAATTGGCAACAATTGGTGGGCATCAAGTTATTATAAGAAGTACATCGGCTGGTAATCAAATATTCCATTTGAATTCCACTTCTACAACATCAACGAATAATAGTGGAATTATTGTGAAAAATAGTCCAACTGGAAAATTAGTGACAAAAATTGAAAATACACAGGAAAATGTTGTTGTTAATAATAATAATAATGTTAATGCAACACCAATTACAAGTGTAACGACAACAACAACAACGACAATAACGGCAAATAATTTGAGTACAACAACGGCGACGAGTACAATAACAACGACAGCAACAACAACAACAAATACAAGTCAAGGGAGTGTTGTGACAACGCCGCAAACGACGACGACGACAACAACGTCAACGGCGGCAACACCGGGTAGTGTTGAGGCATCATTATTAGTTGGACATCCACCGGGAACGATTATCAAGTGTGTTACCGCTCAAGTAATACAAACGAGTCAGGGACCAAGAATTGTACTTCAGGGATTGCAGGGTACCGATTTTACACCACAGCAATTGTCAATGGTACAGCAACAGGTGAAGCAACAACTTTTAAAAGGTGAGTTTTTTCTTATTTTTACTTTTTTGAAATTAGATTCGGAATCGTCGACCTTTAGTTAGTAGGAAACGAGTACCATGAAGCAGTTGTTTTCTTTTTTTTCCAATTCCAAAATATTTTTTCCAAAATTTCGATTTTTTGAATTTTTTTCGAATTTTTATTCTAGATACTCGCCTCATTTCCCTTTATTTTCATCAATAAAAAATCGTAATTTTCGATAATATGGACGTAAATAAGTTTTTTGATAATCAAAAATTAAAATTTAAAAAAAAAAAAAATATTGGTAGTCGTGGATGTTTTTTTAAATGTAAGATTCGGAATCGTTGACCCTTAATTAGCAGGAAACGAGTACCATGAAGCAGTTGTTTTATTTTTTTCCACTTCCAATATATTTTTTTCCAAAATTTCGATTTTTGAATTTTCGAATTTTTGAATTGAATAATTCTCCATGTTTCCCTTTTGTTTCCATCGACAAAGAATCGTAGCTTTCGATAACATAATTATTAACAATTATGTTAATAATTTTTTTGATAATCAAAAATTAAATTTTTCAAAAAAAAAAAAATATTGGTAGTCGTGGATGATTTGTTAAATGTAAGATTCGGAATCATTAACCCTTAATTAGTAGGAAACGAGTACCATGAAGCAGTTGTTTTCTTTTTTTTCCAATTCCAAAATATTTTTTCCAAAATTTCGATTTTTTGAATTTTTTTCGAATTTGTATTCTAGATACTCGCCTTATTTCCCTTTGTTTTCATCAATAAAAAATCGTAACTTTCGATAATATGGACGTAAATAATTTTTTTGATAATCAAAAATTAAAATTTTTGAAAAAAAAATTTTTTGTGGTTATGGATGTTTTTTTAAATGTAAAATTCGGATTCATTCATTCTTAATTAGTAGAAAACGACTACCATGATGATATTATTATTTTTTTTTGTAAATTCCAAATATTTTTTTTTCAAAATTTTGATTTTTGAATTTTTTTTTTTTTTTAATATGTATTTACACTTAACCTTTGTTTCTATAAACAGTAAATCGTAACTTTTAATATAGACATAGACCTTTTTTTTTTGATACTCAAAATGATATTTCAAAAAAGTCAAAAAAAATAATTTTGAAAAAATTTGGTTTTTTGAAAAAAAGAAACATTAGGGTTATTGTACTTGTTTTCTACTAATTTGAGGACAATATTTCAAAAATACTATCTAAAATTAACATCTTTTATAATTATTCAAATTGTTTTTTTTTTTTTTAATAGCGCAAGCAACCACCGGCAAACAAGGCGTTCTTGGGCCAACGAAACTTTATGTTGCTGTTCATCCACCGGCTACTCCATCAACTCCAGCGCAAACTTCAGGCCTCACTCCAACCACAACTACTCCAGTTGTTAATTCTAAAACCGAACCGGAAACTGAAAATGAACAAAATTCTCCTACTCTTTCACCTGGTAAGATTTATTATTTTTATTATTATTTTATTTGTTTAACTAGTGATTATTGTTTATTTATTTATTTAACTATTAATTATTATTTTTTTTAATATTACTATTGTTTTATAATTATAATTTAATTAAACTTATTAAAATCAATAGAAATAGTTGAAATTAATTAAAACCAGTAAATTACTTATTGGAGAAAAAAAAAAAATTAAATAGGTAATAATTTAGAAAATATAAATAATAATAAAAAAATTATGCAGTTATCAAGAAAGAAACGGAAATAAAGGCGGAAGTTACTTCTACACCTGCGACACCGGAAAAACCAAAAGTTGTTGTTCAACAAGTTGGAAGAAATGCAGAAACCGAAGATGGACCACAAAAAATTCAAATGGCAAATGGTCAACAACCATTGCAAACATTGAAAAAAGAACCTGGTCAAGCTTCGAATAAATTTGTCATTACTCCCGATTATATTCAACAAAGTAAATTTTACTAATTTTACTAATTAACTAATTTAATTACGCAATAATTTATTGATTATTTAAATTATTATTTAATTTGTTTTGTTTTTATTCTTTTTTTCAGCTATTAAAAGTGCATTGAAACAAGAAAATTTAAATCCTGAAATTGAGGAGAAATTATTGCAACTTCAACGTTATCAGGAGAAACAAATGAAAGGCACAGAAAATACAATAACAAGTAATCAGAGTCATCATCAAATTACAACAACGCCACGAACACCAGCGAGAAAAAGACCAGCGCCAATGACAACAACAACAACACCTGTAACAACAGCAACAACAACAACAACAACAAACATTCCACCACCGGTAAACGTCACTAATTTACAAAATCTCGTCAATGATAAAGACATTGATTGGACGGAGCCACCAAAGAAGAAACCATCGCCGAAAATCGATCATCATCATCGAGAGCCCGTCAAGTGAGACAAAAAAAAAATTTAGTTTTAAAAATAATTTTAAATAATTAATTAATTTAATTGTTTTTTTTTTTAATAGTAAAAGACGAAGTGATGAATTTTTTAAATAATTAATTAATTTAATTTTTTTTTCAATAGTAAAAGACGAAGTGATGAATTGGAAATGCAGGAGAATGAAATCTCGCCGAAGAGTCGGCCAAATAAATTGCGCGACTCGCAGGATTTAAAGAGAAAATCAAGGGTGACATCGCAAATGAATGTTTTACTTTTTCGTCATAAGGAAATGTTGAAAAAAGATATTCTCAAAAAACGAGCGCTTCTTGAAAAGGAACTTTCCATCGATATACAGGTATTTACTAATTAATTTATTTAAAAAGAAAAAAAATTAATTTTTCTTTTGAAAATAAATTAAAATATAAAAAGAATTTTTTTTATTTATTAATTTGTAAAATTGTCGATAGAAGGATCTCTCGGCAGAATTGGCGAGTCGAACAAAAGCTGAGAGGCATAAACAAGATGAGGTTAAAGTTGGAAGCGCAAAACGTAAAGGTAACGCGCAACCTGGACAACAAGTGAGTCCGCCAAACCGAGGGGGAAAACCAAAAAATCGAAGGAGCCACGGCAATAGTACAACGCCACCAGGTGGTTCATCGGCGGCGAATGCAAATCGAATCAAAAAAGAGAAACTTTATTGTCTCTGCAGGACACCATATGATGAAACTAAGTGAGTCTTTTTCTCTTTTTTTTTTTTTTTTGATGTTCTTTTTTTACTTTCAGTTATTTCGCTTTTATTTTCTTTTTTTCTTTAAATTAAAGAATTTATTAATTTTTCTTTTTTTTTTAAAAAAAAAAAAGGTTCTACGTGGGATGTGATTTGTGCAACAATTGGTTCCATGGTGAATGTGTTGGCATTACCGAGGAAATGAGTAAAACTCTCTCGGAATTTGTTTGTACCGAATGTCGACACGCAAGAGACACACAGGAACTTTATTGCCTTTGTAAACAGCCTTACGATGAATCTCAGTGAGTTTTCTTTTTTTTCTCCTTTTTCCATAAAAATAAAATTTGAAATCAATTAAATTTAGTAATTAGTATTTAAAATCTAGAAAATTAATAATTAACTTGAAATTTTATTATTACCAAATAACAATTTTCATTATTATTTATTTATGTGTTTTAATTATTATCGTAAATAAAATTCGAAAAATATTTGACAAAATTGTATATAAAAATGTTTTACATTTAGTTATGAAAAAAAATTCATTTTATTTATTTCAATAATTTATTAATTTTTTAATTTAATTTCTCTTTTTCTTTTAAGGTTTTACATCTGTTGTGACAAATGTCAGGACTGGTTCCACGGTCGTTGCGTTGGTATTTTACAATCAGAAGCGGACAATATTGACGAATATGTGTGTCCAAATTGTCAACGTAATTCGTCGGTGAATTTTGCGAATATGAAAAATTTAAATGCAAAAGATCTCGATCTGTTGAAAAAATTAATCAAACAAATACAGGTGAATTTTTTAAAATAAAAATTCCTTTTTTTCTCTCCCAATTTATCAATATTTAAAAAAAAAAAATTGTAATTTTCATTGTTTCATCGAAAACAAATATTTAAAAATGAAAAATAAATTGAATTTATTTTCTTTATTTTTCAGCAACACAAAAGTGCTTGGCCGTTTATGGAACCTGTCGATCCGAATGAGGCACCTGATTATTATAAAGTTATCAAAGAACCAATGGGTAAGTTTTAAATTTTAATTTTTAATATTTAATTTATTTTCCTCAATAAATAAATTTTAAAGTTTCATTTTCAAAAAAAGAGAAAATTCTTTTCGAATTTTTTTTTTGTTATTTTTCAAAATAAAAATTGAATTATTTATACAAAAAGAAAATAAATTAATATTAGAATTTTAATAATTGAATAAAAAAAATTTAATTTCTAAAATATTTTAGTAATATTCTGTTTAGTAATTTATTAATTAAAATAATTTGAAAAAATGTAATTTTTGTATTCTAATTCCCTTTTTTCTTTCTATTTTTTTTTCTCTTTTTTTTTTGCTGATATTTTAGATCTACAAACAATTGAATTGAGGATAAACGACAAGAGTTACAAAAAATTAAGTGAATTTATTGGCGACATGACAAAAATATTTGACAATTGCCGCTACTATAATCCAAAGGAATCGCCATTCTTCAAATGTGCCGAGGCCCTTGAAACTTATTTCGTCCATAAAATCAAGTGTCTACGGGAAAAGTTCTCCGAAGGTAAATGAAAAAAGCAAAATTAAAAACAAAAATCAAACGAACAATTTAAAACTTACTAAAAAAAAAGTGTCGTGTAAAATATTGAAAAAAAAATAACTTTTACAATTTAAATTTCGCCAAATGCGAAAAGAGCCGAGAGAGACTCGCAGTTAACGCGGTTTTTTTTTTTAATTATTGTTTTCCCTCTAAGAAAAAAAATTCCGCGAATTAAAACAAAAAATAAATCAGTGAAAATAATTTCGTGTGTGTAAAAGAAGAGAAGAGAAGAGGAAGAAGAAAATAAATTGCAAAAAAAAAAATTGAAGAAAATCGAGGAAAAATTATGAAAGAAAATTAAAAAGGGGGAGGGGAAACAAAGAAGAAGAAAAATGTGTGTAAAAGAAGAGAAAGGAGAACCGCTTCTGTGCCAGTAAAAATAAAAAATAAACACAAAACTCAAATTTAGATCTTAAGTAATAAAACCAGTAGCGTTAAAAACGTTTCACGTTGTTTTTTTTTTTTTTTTTTTTTTTTATTTTTTTTCTCTCTTTTTTAATTTAATTTATTCGCTCCTGTGTATGTGTCACACGTCTCTCGACGCGGAATATTTTTTTTTTTTTTTTTTTTACCGAATTATACATAATAATAGTAATATTATTATTATTAACAATAATAATAATAATAATAATAATTGAAGATGAGAAGAAAAAATGGTAGCTGAAAATAATATAAAAAAAAGAAAATAATTCAATATTTGACGCTAGAAAAAAGAAAATGCAAAAAAAGAAAAGAATGAATGAAAAATGTGTGAATGATTAATTGGGGAAAAAGAAGAAAAAGAATCAAGAAAAAAAACTAAAAATTTATAGGAATCAATAAAGAAAAGAAGCCAAACGTGTTTCGGTTAAAATTTTCTTATACAGAAAAAGTGCATAATAATATTTATTCATTGATAAATAATAATTAATAATTGTTAAATGATAATTAATTAATTTATAATTGCTGAAGCAAATTTTGTAAATTTGAAGAAAAAAAAAATTAATCAAGCCGAAGAAGAGAAGAAAAATTTGTAAATTTGGGAAAAGAAAAATTTTTTATAATTACGGAAAAAAAAGTACGAAAGAAAAAAATTATGTAAATTTGAAAGCGAAAAATTAATAATGAAAAGGAGAATAAAATTTGGACAATTTTAAATAAAAATAAAATAATGGACAAGAGAAGAAACTATGAAAAGAAGAAAAAAAGAAGAGAAAGAAATAAAGAACAAAAAAAAAGAAAGAAGAAAATTAAGAAAAAAAATAGAAAATAAATTCAAAGACGGAAAAAAGGTGAAAATTCCCCGAATAAATGAGAAAGAAGAGGAATAAATGATGAAGAATAAATGGAAAAAGAAGAATTAAAAAAAGAGATGAAAAATATTCTTTTTTTTATTTATTTTTTTTTTTTTTGAAAATAATTGTAAATAGCGATTTAAAAAGAAAGAAGCGTTGAAAAGCTTTTTCCGCTTTAAAAGAAAAAAAAAAAAGAAAAATAATCATTTTTGCGCGTCATAAAAAAAGCTTTCTTTGTTTCGAATTCGTTTTCCTCCCCTTCCCCCCTTTGCCCCCCTCATTTTTCTCTCGGCATTCTAAAAAAAAATCAATTAAGAATTTTTTTTTTTTTTAAATACGAAAGAAAAAAAGTAAATTATTTTGAAATTTTCGAAAAATAATTTACTTTTTTTCAAAGAGAAGGAAAGTTTTATACTTTTTTTTTCTTTTTTTTTTTTTAATGAGAGAGAAAGAAAGTTAATTATTTTTATTTCCTTTTCATTCTCTAAAAAAAAGAATTTTTTTTAACAAAAACGAAAAAAATTCCTTTTTTTGTAATACAAAAAGGAAAAAAATATTTTTTCCAAAAGAAATAAAAATAATTTTTTTTTTTTTTTAAATAAGAAAAAAGTGTACTTAACGGATCGAAAAAACTTTTTTTTTACTCTATATATAAAATTTGCAAGATCCGTTGATTGATAAAAAAAATTCTTTCAATGTCAAAAAGAATTTTCTTTTGTTTTTTTAGTTTTTTTTTCTCTCCTTTCAGTGAATTTTTTTCTAACACAATTTTTCTATTTTTTTTTCTCTCTCTCTCTCTTTCTTTCTCTTCTTTCTTTTTTTTCTTGTACGTTGTGTTGAAAAAAAAGAAAGAAATTTAGAGAATTAATTTATATACATAGTTATATATATATAGAGAAAAAAAATGCCAGGAGATGAAGATGCTTGTACAGTATTTTTTAAATGTAAACCCTCCCTTCCCTCCTTTGCCCCCCCCCCTCGCAACCTTGTGAGCTCATCATCTTCGATCTGTTTAATTATTATTATTATGTAATTTTTTTCCAATTTTTTCCGTTTTTTTTTTTAACGTATTGGCGATCATTTTTGAAAAAAAGTCGTTAAGCCCCCTTAAACCCCTTTTTTGAAAGAAAAAAATGATCGAGTTTTTAAATCGCAAAATCGAAAAAAAATTTGCTTTTAATCTTTTTTATCTTCTTTCTATTTTTAAGTCTTTTTGTACCATATTTTCTTCATTTAAAAAAAATTTTTTTTCTTTCTTCTTTCCCGCCTTTTCTTTCTTTCTTTCTTTCTTTCTTTAATAACAAAGAAAAAAAGAAAGAAAAGTTTATGTCTGCGATTTAAAAACTGAATTCTTTTTTCAATTTCATAATTTTTGCAAAAAAAAAAAGAAAAATACTTTCTCTTTCTCTCTTTGTTCTTCCCCTGTCCCCTGAAAAATATTTTGTCATCAATTTCTATTATATTGATTATAAAAAAAAAAAATGAGGTGTTTATTTTTCATCGAAGACGAAAAAAAAATGAAAGAGCAACAAAGTGTGATTATTATCTAAGTATATTCATCTCGATCTTAATATTAAATAGTTTATAATAAATATATTTGTACTAATTTTAATCAGGAACTTTGTTGTTTTTATTGCACTACAATATAAATTAGTATATAAAATAAGAGATCGTGAATTTATGCTTCCTTTATCCCAAATTTCCTTCTTTTAATTGTTTTTAATTTTTTTTTTAATATTATTAGTAAAAAATTGTATTTACTTTTTTTTTCTTTTGTAAAATAATTTTTAAATTTCGATTGGTCAAATTGGCGGGAAATTTCTTCTTTACCAACTGGAATGATAGGTTAAATTTCTACATTACCCACTGATGGTAATGAATATGGAAACTATAGCACCCCTATAGAAAATAATTTACTTTATATTTATTTATTTAAGAAATAAGTCCCTATGAACTATTATTTATTATAATAGTATTTATTAATACTATTATTTATTTATATATTATATTTATAATTTTATTTATAATAACTGAATTAAATAAATTTAAAAAGTTGGTGGTAAAGTAGAATATCGACATTACTAGCTCGGAAGGTAAAAATTTCTACTTTACCAACTCGGTCGATATATTCGTGAATTAAATAAAAAAAAAATGTTTTTTTTTTAAACTCGCAAAAAAAATCCCTTTTTTTTGCATTATTAGTGATCTTTAAACGTATAAAATTGAGGAAAAAAAAAGAAAATAAAAAGTTATGGGTCGTATCATATTGATCAGGCTACCAATGTAATACCACTCCTGGACGCGATCCCACTACTGCTCGTCACGGAGACTTTTGGCTGCTGGGTTACCCCTCTGGCCCGATTCGCCTCTCCTTAGCCAACCTGGCCACCCCGGACTTCTCCAGGGTGCCCATATTGATGACGAGCTTAGTGCGGACGTCCAGTCGACATGGACACTACATTAGCAGTGATCCCCGACCTCAGACACTCCACCACAACTAGCCTCCAAGTAGCTGGATAACAGGAGTCGCCACACTCCCAGCTGAAAATATTCACTTCTCATTGTCCATATAAATTGTAACTTAATTTTAGTGAGAAAAGAAAATAATTTTTTGTTTTTAAATTTTTCGTATTTTAGTAAATTTAGTGGAAAAATAATTTTCATTGAAAATTGAATTTTTAGGAATTTTTTTTGTCGGTTATTTTTAAACGTTATAAAATTTTAAGCTCCGCCCACTTCAACTGCTATGTTCACAGCAATGAGCTCTCTTAGCCGCATAACTATATATACTGATATAACCATCGTTTACTTTAAACATAATATTAATAATTACAAACTTAATTTAATACAAAAATCAAATCATTTATTCAATTCAATAGCATTTTTCTTCAATTTTCATTCATTTACCTAATAATTTTAACAATCTACAAAAGTGTGATGAGTGTGTATATAACGTATAAGTGTAGAGTTCCTCTTTAGGGAGGTTATAAAAAATACTAAATCAAAAGAATAAAGAAAAATTGAAAGGTTATTAAAATTAAAATGACAAGCAATAACATTGTTGAATAATTAAATCTATTAACATTGGAGAAATATAGAGTTTGGAGAAAAAATTAAAAAATAGAAATTAACCTTAAAAATTGATAAAAATAAATGCAGGAGCGTAGTAGCAGATTTTTTTTCCTTTAACCTAAAAGAATAATTTATTTTGATTATTATCATTTCATTTTTATATACAATCAATTTTCAAACATTTATAGCGCTAATTCTTTATTTATACGTCATTTGCAATCGAATCTCCACGTTTCAAGACTTCCTGATGTCAAAAAAATAGGTTTTAAAAAAATGTTTGTCTGTATGTATGTATGTAGACAAAAAAGTTGTCTCGAAGATAACTTGAGCAAATTTTAATAAATCGACCTCAAAATTGGTTTGCAGTTTAAGTGCACCAAAATTTCGCCTGAGTTCGTTGGGCAGACAATTTCGTAAAGAAACAACAAAATTATTCAAATTTTTAATTTTCAAAAATTTTCATTATTCAAAAAAAAAATTTTTTCAACTTTTTCAATTTTTTTTTGAAAAATGTGAGTCAAATGAAACACTTTTTTCCTTCAACATTTTTTAATTGGAGTGAAAACAACAAAGTTACACAATTTTTTATAATTTTAAATTTCCAAAAATTTTTATTTTTGAAAAAAAAAAATTTTTTCAATTTTTTTTTTTTTTAATATAAGACAAATGAAACACTTTTTTCCTTTAGCATTTTTTGATTCGAGTGAAAACAAGAAAGTTACTCATTTTTCTTAAAAAAAATGACAAACAAAAATGGGTGAAAAATGGGTAAAATGCAGGGCAAATTTACTTTATTTTTGAAGAAACTGTCCTTATTATCTATTATTACTGTTTAAATTACTTTGAAATAACACAAATATCATTAACATATTCATAATTTTTTCAAAATATTTAAATATTTTTTAATTTTTTTAAAAATTTTTAAATTAATATTTGCTTTTACATTCTCATCATAATGAGAAAGTATTACATTTGCCCGATTTTGACCAACCTCTAATTCATGTAAATCTCCACGTTTCAAGCCTTTCTGATGCCAAAAAAATAAGTTTTAAAAAAATGTCTGTCTGTATGTATGTCTGTAGACAAAAAAGTTGTCTCGACGATAACTTGAGCAAATTTTAATAAATCGACTTCAAATTTGGTTTGCACTTTAAGTGCACCAAAATTTCGCCTGAGTTCGTTGGGCAGACAATTTCGTTAAAACTAAATTAAGAAAATTTTTATTTTTCAAAAAAAAATTTTTTTTTCAATTTTTTTTCGAATGTTGTTAGAAGGTTATTGTATTTTATAATAATTTTGATTTGTTTTAATTATGAATTGACGAAAAAACTATTTAGGATAAGTATATATATTATTAGATAAATAATAATTAATAATTTTTACTTTGCTAAATGCTAAAATTGTATAGAAGTTTAAATTATTGAAATTTTTATTAATAATATTTTGGAAGGTTAAGTAAAATGGAATGAAAATTTTTTTTAATTGATGAAATTTTTTTAGTTTATGGATTTTTATTTATAATTAATATTTTGAAATTTTTGTTCCATTTATTTGACGATGATTAAATTTTTTATAATATATTTAATAATTATTATACGCAAATTTTATTACTATTAATTTCAATATTAGTAAATTTTTATTTATCTAAATTAATTTTATGATTATTTTTTTGTTGTATTTTATTATTATAATATTTAATATATTAATAGTTTAAAATTTTAATATTTATCTATTTTTTTTACTTTATTTTTTATGTAAGAGAAATTTACTTTTAATGAATTATATTTTTTAATGTTCAATTTTTTATCATTTTTATAAACTACAATTTTTTTTAACATAAACTAATGTAGTTATGAATATGTGTTTAATTGAAATCTGAAAAATATAGAATTTTCATATTTCATAATATTTTCCGTCGGTAATATATTATAATTATTATTATTATATTATATTCAATGAAAAAAAATTTTATTTGCAGCAAATAAATATTTATTTAGCTTTAAAACAATAAATTAAATTTGTTTCTAAATATAGTGCTGAAAGTCTATAGAATATACATATTATAAAGAAATATTTAAATGAACTTTTCTGTGCATACTTAGATGAATGATGCTTAAAAACCGATTAAAGTAAAATTATACTTTAGCTTATGGTATAATAGACCCTTTGAAAACCCTTTTCGCCATGCCTTTATATTTCAGAAAATTTAACAAAGCCCTTAAGAATGTAATAAAATTTTTATTGAATTATGAATCTATGTAAAACCAATTTGGGTTTTTCCTAATTCTATTTAAAAAAAATAAAATTAAATAAAATTAAAATTTAAAACAAATTTAACAAGCGCGCCTATAATTATTAAATTATAAATTAGTTACTATACATAGGAGTTGCACTATCAATAAAATAATAATAATAATAATAATAATAATAATAATAATATTAATAATAATATTAATCACAAGTAGCACTTAGTATTACCCGGTAATATTACTGTAATATTACGTGATACTTAGGAATAATAATAATAATAATAATACAATTAAGTAAATCAATCAAAAATAAAAAAAATTCAATTTACAGGGCAGAAAATTGTAATTTTTATTTACATACAACTTTTAATTGTTTAAAATGTTCAAAAATATATATTTGTATATAATATTAAGTGGCTGGCATAGTGGGGGCAATATTTTAGGTGGGGACATATTTTAGAGCGCATTGGAGGGGATATAATGGGCCCTATATAAGCCCCAATAGATTCCTACTCCTTCCATGTTGGTTCATTATTCGTCGATTCACCATGGGAAGAACATGGGTCCCTTGTTCTGTAGTTTAAATTTTCAAAATTCTAAGTTGTCATACAAAAGTTATTATTTTAAATGTTTAATTTTAAAACAGTGCATAATTTTTTATTTTTTTTTTAATTATTTTTTTAATAAAAAAAATTTTGCTTAATTAAAAATTTTAAAAGTGTAAGTTTTAATCTTTTCACCGATATACATACTATGGATCCTCTTGTAAGTTTATCATTCTTTATTATTTCGATGCTTATTCTCATTTTGAGAAGAAATTCTCACCTTCATCTATTACAAATTTCGCTACTATAAATGGTATGTTTTTAATTTCTTTTAATTCAAAATTTTAAAACAAATTCAAAATTCGGTACATTTTTTAATTTAAAAAAAATGTACCTAATTTTTTGATTGTTTTTTTTATGTTTTTTATTCCTTAGTTCAAATTCTTTTTGAATATTTCCTTGATTCTTTATTTTTATATTTTTCTGACATTATTGTGTTAATTTGAAATTCAACATTTTTGTAAATTAAAATTTTATTTCTTTTTGGAAATTTTAAATTTCTAATTTACAATATTTTTGTAAAAAGTCAAATAATCTTTATTTTTAATTTTTTGTAAATTTTTCCATCCTAAAAATTTTATTCGAACAAATATTGAACATAACGAATATAAATTTTTTATTTCCAAAGGAAATAATACTTTGGATTTTAGAATAATTTGGTACTTTTGCCATATATACATACATATAAATGTAAAACCCCGGCTTTTATTGAACATAACGAATATAAATTTTTTTTTCCGAAGGAAAAAGATACTTTGGATTTTAGAATAATTTGTATTTTTGCCATATAAATGTGCCCCGGCTATATGCAAATTTATTTTTATCCCCCTACCCTCGTTTTGAATATACTTCCCCAACTCTTGAGCAAAAAAAATTGCAAAAATTTAATCGACATTTTTAACTAAAATTTCATATTTTCTTTTAATGCATATCAAAAGTTTTAATCACGATTTTATAAATTTTAATTTAGGCTTGAAAAATGAATCCTTTGAAATTTTTTGAATTCATTTCATTTAAAGATTTAAATGAAAAAAATTTATTTCTATATAATCAAAAATCTTTGTTGTGTGAATATTGAACATAACGAGTATAAATTTTAAAACAAGAATGTTTTGGGGTTTTTATCGAAGCGCATTAGAAATAAATTGACACAACCAAGTATTTAATTATTGAAATATATAAAACACTGTTTATTCAAATGGATATTAAATTTTACACTATTGTAGAGTTTAAATTAGCAGGTAATAAATTATTGATCTGTATTGTACGTAACTTTAACAGTATTGAAAAGGAAGCGTCGCGTTTGTATTGTAAAGGAAGCGTCGCGTTTGTATTGTAATGAGTGGCTTTTACGGTTCGTCACGTCTTGACTCGTCAATGTCAAGATTTGTACTGTCTTTTGTGCCCCCCCGCAGTCGAGGTGTTGGCGTTGTTAGGCCCTTTTCGGCGCGTCCTCTAATCCTAGTCTCTGTGCGTAGGTACTGTAAGGGTCAGAAGTGAATTCTAATCTTGTTAGGTACAGTAAAGTCCAAAAACTGCCTATACTTTTCCTAATTCTTTTACTATTGATTTTATATATAACACAAATGTTTCTAAATCGTCGAATAACATACAAAATTACATATTGTCTATATGTGTCCACAACATTCCCCCTCCTGTATATCAATGTATATACATTAAAGGGTTTCTAGGACACATAGTTTGGCTGCTGAACGTTTTAGAATGCCTGTTGCTGTTAAAACGTCCGCCACTCGTACTCGGCCGTCTCTCCCTGGATAGACTGTCGTCACTCGCCCGCGTTTCCATTGGTTGCGCGGTGCGTTCTCGTCCCAAATGACAACCAGATCATTTACTTGTAAGTCTGGTCGTTCACGGTGCCACTTGGCGCGTCTGTTGATGGAAGGCAAATACTCTTTGATCCATCGTTTCCAAAATTGATCGGTAAGGCATTGAGAGTATCGCCATTGTCTGCGCAACGTTTCGGCACCTGTAACAGAAGGAGATAAACAAGGAGGGCCATGTGTTAATCGTACAGTTCCCGGTTGGACTCCGAGAAAGTCGTTAGGTGTTAGACTTCGTAGGTCACTCGGATCGTCAGAGACGTAAGTCAGTGGTCTGCTGTTGATGGAGTACTCAGCTTCTGCGAGGAGTGTTTGCAGGACCTCTTCGCGTGGTGCTCGTTCTTTAAGAGTGACGGCGAGAGTTCTCTTGACTGAACCGATCAGTCTCTCCCAGCATCCTCCCATGTGTGGACTCGCGGGTGGGATAAAATGCCACTCTATTTTTTCGGCTGAACTTTGTCGTAATATTTCATTTTTGTCCAGCTCTCGAACAGCTTTCTTCAATTCTTCACTGGCTCCTCGAAAATTTGTCCCGTTGTCAGAATATATCCTTTTCGGACTTCCTCGTCTCGCCATCATTCGTCGCAGGGCCATTAGCATGGAATCCGTGTCCAGTGAGGCGGCTATCTCAATGTGTACCGCTCTTACTGTCAGGCACGTGAACAAAACGCCATACCTTTTTTCTCGTCGCCGACCAATAGTTACAAGTAACGGTCCAAAATAATCGATGCCAGTGTTCGTGAAAGCAGCGATGTTGTCTTGTAGTCTCGGTTCCGGCAATGGTGCCATTCTGGGGATCATGGGCTTTTTTCTCAGAAGTGTGCACAGCCGACAGTCGTTCCACGATCGACGGACAGCGGTTCGAATTTTCGTTACCCAATAAAATTGTCGAAGATCGTTGACCACCCTCTCTCTTCCGTGATGACCCGTTTTCCAGTGATAATGTAAGATCAACAGTTTTATCAGGTGATTGTCACTGTCCAGAATAATCGGCTGAAAAGTCGACCCGTTCTTGTCTGTCACTCTTCCGTCTAATCGTATAAGTCCATCTTTAAAAACAGGGGAAAGTGAGAAAATCTTTGATGACGATGGAACTTGTTTTGTCGTTTGTAACCTCTGCCATTCTTCTGGGAAGCTTTCTTTCTGGGATTGTTTTAAAACAGTTTCTTCTGCTCGTTGAATTTCCGTGCCTGTGAGTTCCCACGTAGTATACGAGTCCGATTTTCTTTTACATCGGTCGATAAATCGTTGCACCCATGCCATGACACGTACTGTGTATAGCCACGTCAATGTTTTGCGGCTGCGTTGGATTTTTAAGGTTGATTCGACCGTAATAGCAAAACAACACTCCTTTCGCATCTCTGATGTCACATTTTCACTTTGTCCGTCCTGCGTTTTCTGTGCTGGCCATTCTGTCTCGGGTCTGTACAGAAAGTCCGGTCCTTGAAACCAACGGCTCGATTGGTCTAATTTTTCATCGATTTTGCTTCTCGTTGCCAAATCCGCGACGTTATCCTTGGTCGGAACCCATCTCCAGTCGGTAGGTGAGGTGATGTCTAAAATCTCCGCTATTCTGTGTGCCACGAATGGTAAATATTTCCGAGCGTCCGATTTTATCCAACTGAGAGCAGTCTGTGAATCCGACCAGAAGACAACTTTGTCAATGTTCAGATTATGTTCTTTTCTTACGAAGGCTGCCAGTCTGGCCGCCATTACTGCACTCTGTAGCTCCAGTCGCGGAACAGTCAGAAGTTTGATCGGTGCTACTCGCGTTTTCGACGTTACCAAGGTGACTCGAATCTCGTTCTCTCCTTCCATTCGCAGGTAGGCAGCTGCAGCAAACGCTTGCACGCTGGCGTCACAAAATACGTGCAGTTGTAATTCAGAAGTTTTTTCCATGCCATTCATATAGTGCCGTGGTATTCGTAGTTTTTCCGAACTCCGCAAGTCGTCCAGCCATTCGCTCCACAATTTTGCTATTCCGGCAGGTACTTCTTCGTCCCATTGCGTACCTTCCTTCCAGATATCTTGAAGCAAGATCTTCGCACGAATTGTTAGTGGGGATAACAGGCCCAATGGGTCGAACAGCGACATCAGTATTTTCAGCAATTGTCGTTTAGTGGGCGGTGTCTCGCCCGTCAGCAGCGTTTTTTCAAGTTTGGGAAATTTAACTGAGAAGAAAAGATTATCAGTCGATGGGGTCCAGTTTACACCTAACACTCGCGCATTACTTTCTTCGTTTAAAGAGAGATTCTTATTTAACGGTGCAAGGTACGCGGGATTCAATTTCTCTCGAACCTCAGCGGAATTTGTCATGATGTTCCGCATTTCGAAACCACCCATTTCGTGGACGTACATAACCTCACTTACTTTTTTAACTGTCTCCTCCACTGTGTCTTCGCTGTCGACGAAATCATCCATGTAGTGGTTCTCGACGATTGCTTTATACGCTCCCGGATATTTTTCGCGAAACTCCGCGGCGTTGCGGTTTTTTACTTCTTGAGCAATAAAGGGTGACGATACGGCCCCGAAAATCATAACTGCCATCTCCAGAGTTTCGATTTCTTGGGTATCGGGATTTCGCCACAAGAACCTTTGACTAGAGCAGTCTTGCTCTCGGATTCGGACTTGATGGAACATTTCCCTAAGGTCGCCACAGATGGCAATCCTTTTCTCGCGGAACTTAAAAAGTATACCAGGTAACGATTGTAGCAAGTCAGGTCCTTTTAGTAGCCGGTCGTTTAGGCTAACTCCGTGACTTTTCGCAGCTGCGTCGAAAACCATTCGAAGCTTGTCTGGTTTCTGGGGGTTGAAGGTCGCGAAGTGAGGCAAATACCAAGTAGTATCCGTGGTGTAGCGAGCTTGTTCGTCCGAAAGTTTCCGAGCGTAACCTTTTTCTACGTACGCTTGCATGTTAGCACTGTAACGCTTCCCGAATTCCGGTTCTTTAATCATTTTTCGTTCGATAGATAAAAGGCGTTTCACAGCAGTTTCACGGCTTGCTGGTAGGATTTCCTGAGATGTCTTCCACAGTAAGCCTGCCTCCCATCGTTTTCCCACTCGTTTCAGCGTCTCGTCTAAAACCTTTTGGGCTCGCTGATCTTCTTTGGTGTTTAGGTTTCTTGATGATGGAGAAACTCCAAATGATTCAGTCGTCCAGAAGTTGCGAACTGCATCATTCAAATCCTTGTCGTCATTTGAATGTTGAACAAAAAACAAACGGTCTTTGTCTGCCTTTTCGTAAGAATCTGGTCCGTGTATCATCCAGCCGAGGGGTGTCAACGTTGCGGCGGGTGTTCCCACTTTTCCTGTTACTTGTTGAATTATTTTCTTAAGATGTACATTATCTTCACCTATCATTATCGTGGGTTTCGCGTTTTCTAAATCCGGAATGTCGAGATCGCGTAAATACGGCCATTTATCTAAATTAACGTTCATTGTTTGCCCGGGCATTTGCATTTTCGTAGTGCGTACATTGTTTATTTTGTATACTTTCCCGTTTAAACCTTTAATTTCGAGGCTCACTTGTCGTGAAGAGTGGTCCTCGTTTGTCGTGTTGTCATACCACGAGGCAATCAGAGGTCGTCGCGGTCCTTGCAAGCTAAGTCTGTCCGCCATTTCCTCTGATATGAGTGATACCGTAGAGCCACCGTCCAGTAACGCAAACGTGTCAATTTCGCGGTCAGGTCCTCTCAACGTCACGGGGAGGATTCGCAGGTAAACGCGTCGCGCACTTTTGTTCGTAAAGGTGACTTGTTCCACGCTGTTGTGTACCGAACTTTCGCTTCTTGTTTCAGACGTATCCGTTGGCTTTTCATTCCCCTTTTCCCTTTTTTTATAAAAATCGTTGTGTAGAGACGTGTGGTGTCTGAGTCTACATCCCTGTCGTTTGCATCGTCCTCGAGTACACTTTCGAATGCTGTGTTCTGACGACAGACATCCAAAACAAACCCCTTTTTCTCTGACCCATTTCCACCTATCATCAACAGACATTTTTTTATATCCACTACAAGCGTCGGTCGAATGCGAATTATTGTTACAAAAATTACATTTCTTCTGCTCACCGTCGACGTTTTCGTTACAAGAATAAACTCGCTTTTGATTCTTATCCTTCTCGATTGACGGTTGGTAGATCGCGCTCGCCGCTTCCGCTTCTTCCGTTATCCAATTCGCGAAACAAACTAGGTTGGTACCATCCTTGTCTCTCGCGACCCTTTTACCCCAGTTCATTCTTGACGTCGCGGGTAGTTTGTTCACTAATTGTCGGATTAAAAGTGGATTTGTGAGGTAAGCCGGCTGATCTAAAGATTCAATTGTTGCCACCAAATTTGTAACGTTTTCCGCGAACCGAATCATTGTTAGTGGTTGATCGTCCTTAACATTTGAAGTATTTGTTACTTTATTCATAATATCTTCAATTATGTATTCGGCTCTACCAAATCGCCGTCTTAGTACATCCATTACGCGTTCTACATTTGTCGTCATTATTAGAGCTCGCACGGCCTCTAAGGCATCTCCTTGTAGGCATTTTTGCAACCGAAGCATATTTTCAGCCGACGAGAACCCGCACGCTTCCGTCGTCTGGTAAAACATTCGTTCAAATAAAATCCAGTCGGTTGTAGATCCTTTGAAAATCGGCAAATCCTTCCCGATGGCTTGTCGAGCCATATACGTATTATTTACGGGGGGAGTATTAACATTTAAACCTTTTCCGTTTGCTTTCGGACGCGTTCCGGTGAATTCTGAATGTCGCTTGAATTCTCGCGCGACTGGTATGTCATCTTGTGTGTTTTCACGTTGTAACCAATCCGCGACTTTTAACTGGCTTGAGGTTATTGTTTTTACCGAACGCTCACTCGCATTAGAATTCAATGATCGCATTTTTTGTCCGTCATCATCATTTAATTTCGATTCTTCGAGGCGCGCGCGTAATTCGATTATTCGTCGTTCGCGCTCCGCTTGCTGTTGTTCCAATTCCGCCAACTCTTCTTGTTTTCGCAATTCAATTTCCAGTTGTCTGCTCTCTCTTGTTTGAGAGTTGCTGGAATGTCGCGAAATTACAGACGGCGTTCGCATATTCCCCGATGTAACGGAGGGTGGTGCCCCCGTGGGTGTTCTCCCGGATCGCGACGATAAAGCGCTAGGAATTGAATATTTTGAACCGTGACGAGACGCGGGTCGGTTAACACTTACGTGAATTTTAAGGTTTGGATCATACCTAGGGGGTGGGACCCCCTTGTTTTCCCTTTCGCTTCGTCTTAACGGGGTGGGGTTTTCCCCTCCGGTATTGCTGATATCAGTATCCCGCGACGCACCATCCCTTCTCTGTGGCACGCCTGGTGGTGGGGTGTGCATCATTTTGTGTACTACACTACGAGAACTGTCTGTCACTCGCACTATAGTCTACTGTCCCTAGTCCGTACGCACTGTACTGCTGTCTGCAGGTAGTATGTACCTTTCACTTTAGCACTAGTGTGCGTGTAGCACAGCTCTGTCTGATCACTGCACTAACACTTACACCTTTCGCACTGTCCGTGTCTCTCTTACGACGCGCACTACTTAAGTTGTCCCTGTCACTGTCTGTAACGCGGTGCAACTGTATTAGTGACGCTACTTCTATGCACTGTCTGTACACTCCACTACTACACTCATAGACGCGACGCTGCGCTTGGCTTCGCTTGGCTATGATGCTACGTCACGAGCGTCCTTTTCTATACGCTCAAAACCCGCATCTTTACGCGTAGCATACACGGTCACATATGTTAAGTCGTCACAGTAGACCGCAGACACGTACGCGAGGGATCCACCGCGTGAGGATCCGGCTCGAAGGACCAATGTTTTGGGGTTTTTATCGAAGCGCATTAGAAATAAATTGACACAACCAAGTATTTAATTATTGAAATATATAAAACACTGTTTATTCAAATGGATATTAAATTTTACACTATTGTAGAGTTTAAATTAGCAGGTAATAAATTATTGATCTGTATTGTACGTAACTTTAACAGTATTGAAAAGGAAGCGTCGCGTTTGTATTGTAAAGGAAGCGTCGCGTTTGTATTGTAATGAGTGGCTTTTACGGTTCGTCACGTCTTGACTCGTCAATGTCAAGATTTGTACTGTCTTTTGTGCCCCCCCGCAGTCGAGGTGTTGGCGTTGTTAGGCCCTTTTCGGCGCGTCCTCTAATCCTAGTCTCTGTGCGTAGGTACTGTAAGGGTCAGAAGTGAATTCTAATCTTGTTAGGTACAGTAAAGTCCAAAAACTGCCTATACTTTTCCTAATTCTTTTACTATTGATTTTATATATAACACAAATGTTTCTAAATCGTCGAATAACATACAAAATTACATATTGTCTATATGTGTCCACAACAAAGAAGAAACAAGTGCTTTTGCATTTTTATTAGAAAATATAGTTGTGTATAGCTATATGGATTCATTTGATTCTTGTGTTAGAGTTGCTAGTTTTAAAAATATAGTTGAAAAACCGTATGAAAATGAATACGGTTCTTGGTAATTCATTGAATAATTAAATTTCATAATGCTGTAATGAATAGAAGACATTGAAACTTAATAGAGGATTAAATGATCTTACTTTGTTACATAGATACTTTTTATTCTTTTCTTTAAATTCATTTTTCCATCAATGTATTCTATTATAAAGAAATGGTTAAAAAAAATTTTAATATGGCAAAAAGTCCGTTAATTAACATTTTGTTCCGTTCTAAATATCGACGGTCGGTAACTATTCGCTAGGTAAAACAGTTTCTTATTTTTTTTTGTTTAAATTGAAAATTGAAAATCTACTTGTAAAAAAATAAAATAAAATTATAAAATACTAAATGAACATTTTTCGTTGAGAATGGACAAAAAAACAATTAAGTTTAAAATGCTAATTCTTAATAGAAGGAAAACATAAAATATATTTATAATAATATAATAAAAAAATAGTATATAAATATTATTATAAATTATTAATATAAATATATTTTTTAAATATATTTAAAATTTTAATAAAAGCGTTTAGGCAATTAGTTTATTAAAACATTTAACAATAGTAAATTAAATTAATTATTTAATTTACTAAATTATTTTATTTATTTATTTATTTATTTAAGAAAAAACGAAATTTGAAATTATAATTTTCATTTATTTCACCTACATAATCGAGATCATTTTTTAAATGTAATTGAATAAATAATTAAAATAAAAAAAAACTATCATAGGATTTTTATAATAATAGCCAAAATTTGGTTATTCAAAATTTAATTCATATACATTAACTAACCAGTAAAAGCTACTTGGGGAAAAAAAACTCAATATCTAGCTGTGAGAGATCTGAAAAGTCGATAATTTCGAAAATTTTCAAAAAAGGATAAAATTGGTCCTAATTTTTGAAAATGACTTAGTAAGTAATCAGAATGGCGGATGAGTTTACCAATATATGCTAAAACTGACGGTTAAAATTAATTAAAAATCCGATTGATAGTAAATTTTTTTGAAATAAGAAAACAAAATTTTTTTAAAAAATATAATTAAAAAAATGTTTCTTAACGAATATTATTAATTTCAAATACTGACAAAAAAATATATCTCGATTATAACATAAAAAGAATATTGGAAATTTTAATTTTTAAACTTCTGTAATTGTACATTTAAATAAAAAATACAAATTATGTTTCTTTAAAAATCAATAGTAAAATTCAAAAATAAAATTTTGAATTTTACAATCATTTTGAATTTTGTTATTTTCTAACCTAATTATAAATTAATTTTGCTTAAACATTTTTTATTTTCCTTCTATTTAGAAAAAAGTAATTAAAATAACATTAAATTTTATTGATTTTACAATTAGTTATAAAAAAAAATTTAATTTTCTAAATTGGCCATTCTGATATATTTACAACTTTTTTATTTTAGCAAAAAAAAAATAGGAAACATAATATAATTTTTAATATAATCTAATTTTTTTAATGATTTCAAAAGAATACATTGATGAATGAGAATTTAAACTAATCATAATCACTCGGACCTTTTGGTATCTAAAACCAAAAAAGCTTTATCCGATTCCCTAAGCCAAATGTTATAAATGACAATATAATTATTAGCTTTGGTTTTATTGTTATGTCATATTTGTTAAAAAATTTAAATAATTTTTAATTTTACCTAAACTGAACTTATAATTATTCCCTATTCTAATTCCTCAATTTAACTTAGCTAAATTAACTAAGTTGGGGAGAGGTTTATTAAATGAATGATTAAAAAATACAATATGCATGTATTATATATGTATATATCTTTGATAAATAAAAAACTAATGTTGGATTCCAAATAATAAATTCACAGATTTTTATTTAAAACTTTCTTTAATAATTTGGGAGTCCTTCTCCGAAAGCAGTCACGACTAAATCTGGCTTTTGAAGATTACATGTTGCTTATATATTAACGAAGAAGAAAGAAAAGATAAAAATATGACTAAGTTCTAGTCCTTACAAAGTTCAATATACATAGATAAAAATATGACTAAGTCCTAGTCCTGTAGATAGATCATGATGACTCAATACTTATAAACTTTGTCTTTTTAGAAAGTAAAAAAATAGAAATGAATTTGATTGTGAGAAAGACTCCTATAAAGTTAATATTACAATTTAAAAATACATAGATATATAACATCTCCCTCTTTTAGATTGAAGACGCAAGTGTTCAAATCTCTAGTAAAAAATATTTATTATTTATTTATTATTATATATATATATTTTTTTTTATTATTATTATTATTTTTTTTTTATTTTATTTATATTATAGGCATTACAAAAATTACAAGTTGAAATTATATTGGTGTAGTGCTTCTACGAGATTTTATTTTTGATGTAGATGGTGAGTGTAGAATTGGAATTGATGTAAAATCATCGATTTCTTCTGCTATGCTCATCCTTCCGGCTTGCTCGATGTCCTCGCAGGAATTTCTTTTTGAATACACTACAACCTCCTTTGTGTGGAGATTAGAGTCAAAATTACAGTTGACAAAATTCTTTATGGTAGGTGGCAAAATTTGTCCCGTTGCTGGGTCTGCAGTGAAACAACACCATTTTTTAATCCAACGGAGACATCCGCACCATCGGCAACAGTTACTGATTATAAATAGCAAAATGATTGATCCAATCATTGCTAAAACAATTGTATACCACTTGGTATGGGTAACAATGAATGGTTCATTTATATGTTTATTGATAATTTCGTCAAGTTCATTTAATTTTTTATTTGAATATGTGAGGTCTGAGAGATCGATATTAGTTAGATGTATTGGTTTCAAAGGAATCGATTCTATATGTTTAATATCTACATTTCTGATACAACAATCATCTTGAATTATGGTGATATTTGGTATGTGAAAAGTTATGTTTGTATCAGCGAAGTTAGTCGTTTCTAATGCGTAACGATTGGTATAACCCTTGCAGTGATCTTGTAACTTAAGTAGACCTGTCTGATAAAGGATGACGTCAGTTATTTCTTCTTTTGAGTTGCTACAGATGATTGTAAGTGTTGTTGGCCTCTGGAGTACGTAGAACCATTGATTATATCCTGCGTATTTCCAAGTTTCGATGATAGCCTTTGTAGTTTTAATTTGGCAATCGTCGGGTAGTTGATTAGTATGGGGTAGCAGCAGTCTGACTTCGCACTCAGGTTGATCTGTTACTTGTGTGACGTGTGCGTCGAAACAAACGTACTTTCCCTTCAAATACTCGATACAATCCGACAATTTTTCCAAGGAAAGGAATTGGAGTTTTGATTGGGATAATAAGAGATGTTGATATTTAGGAACAATGTAGGAAAATATTGAAGAATTTGAGTGTTGAATTGGAAGTGGGATTAAATGATAAAGATCAAAATACATTTTTGATATCAGTGGAACTTGTATACTAAAAATAGTTATTTTACTAGTGTGGAATACATCTACTTTCAATAATTTATATAACATAGGAAAATGTTTTTCATCTGGAGTAATTAATAATTCGTATTCTCCATGATATTTATTTAATTCTTCTAATAAGACATTAGGGGTGATTATTAATGGAGATAAAATATTATATTTGGCTAAATTTATCGCATCTATATATTCACTATAATCTCTGGAAATTTTATTTGATAATTCCAGTATTGTTGATGTTTGAAATGTGATTAATGTCTCTAATTGTAAAACTGATGTTTCGATATTAGTATTGGACATGAAATTATTAATCTTTTCTGAATTAGAATTTAATATTTCTTCTTGACTTTTTAAAGAGTATAAGGAATTATTAAAATTTTTGATAGTATTAGAAACAACTTGTATTTGAGATTTCAGAAGAGTTTTTACTTGGATATTATCATTTATTAATTTATGAATATTTTCGGAATAATATTCTGCATCATCGGCATCGGGTATACCGAATAACCAATTGACTGCATAAGAAACACCGTTCATTAAACCACGACGTTGACGTATTGATAATTGAGTAGTCAATTGCTGAAGAATCTCATTTTTTCTATTTATTTCATTTATTAACTCGAATATTAACCGTACAGCTCTTTCACAATGAAAACTAACATGTCCTCGCGCATAAGGCGCATCTGATAATTTTTTACAAAGATATTGACTTTGAATTGCATTATTAACCACTATTATGCGAGCATCATTTAGATGTGTAAAATTAATGTGGGCTAAGAGTGTTAGTTTAGAATTTGATATCTTGGCTATTCCCTTTTTATCATAAAGAATTCCGCTTGTATGATTTAATGGTGTGTTTGTGTAGGGTAAACTAAGGATGAGTTTTGGAAGTAGAAGGGAAAGAAAGATTGTCAATTTCATCTGGAAAATAATGTTGTAAAAGGTTAGTATGGTATGTAATTTCTCTTTTTCCTATTTGTACGCCTACAGTTTGATTATCATAAACTTTTGTTACTTTGTAGGGTCCTTTTACTCGAGGGGTTAATTTTTTACTCAGTCCAATTGTACTTTGTTTATTTAAAACACAAACGAGATCATTAACATCGAAAGTTTTGGGATTACTTTTCTTGTCGTAATTATTCTTGCTATTTGTTTTTGATTTTATTATATTTTCTCTAGCAATTTTAAATGAAACATTTAGCTTGTTTTTTAAAGCGCGAACATAATCATCATAAGAGTAATGAAATTTAGGCTCTTGTGTGATTGATGAAGGCAAGTACGCTTTTGATCCGAAAAGAAGTTCGTATGGCGTGGAATTAGTAGATTTGTGAGTTGACGTATTGTAGCTAAACATTGCAAATGGTAAGTACTCGTCCCAGTCTGTTTGGTCGTGTTTGACATAGTGTTTTAGATAATCTTTTAAAGTGAGATGGGATCGTTCTAGTGCACCGTTTGTTTGCGGGTGATAAGGTGTAGTCGACAAATGTTTAGTTTTGAAAAGATCACTCAATTCTTTTACAAGTTTAGACATGAATTCTCTACCTTGATCAGAAAGAAAACTTTGGGGAATGCCAAAATTAGTAAAGATTGTAACTAAAGTTTTAGCAATTGTTGAAGCTTCATGTTCGGGTATCGCAAAAGCAAGAGAGAATTTAGTCAAATCGTCTTGAGATGTCAAAATGAATCTGTTACCTGATTCTGTCAAAGGCAAAGGACCTACGATATCGATAGCTAATCGTTCAAATGGTTTGCTAGCGGTGGTTGTAATTTCCATCGGTTGTTTGGTTGGTTTGAAATTAGTTTTATTCATTTGACACGAATGGCAAGTTTTTATACATTTTCGAATATCAGCCTTCATGTTTGGCCAATAATAATTTTCTTTTATTTTGGAATAAGTTCTGTTAAATCCGAAATGTCCAGCTAACTTACTACAATGATTTTCCTCAAAAATTATTTTTATATCATTACGATCTTTAGGGATGATTCTAGAGATGTTAAAAATTTTGATTTTATTTTCAGGAAAAATAAATTTTAACATTTCATTTAAATAATTTTGTTTAATGTTTGGACTTTTGTTCGGCGGAACTAAAATGAAATTTTGTGTACCTATTTCCATTCTTAATCGTTTTAAAGTTTCGAAAACATTTTTATATTCCAATTTTTCAAAGTGCAGATTTTTTGGATAAAGCAAAAAGAATGTTTGTGATTCATTCCATTATCTGAAGAGATCGTTTTAGTCATATCAAATTGAGAAGTCAAATACTCGGAGTATTGATTTACTGTATCTAAGTCTTGGGACCAAAATAACACGACAGGTTCTCGTAACTTGTCTAATGGATTGTTTTCTCTATCAAATTCTATAATTTCCATATTCATATAATGGAATTTTACGAAATCTTGAAATTTTTTGTCATTACTATTAATTGCATTAATTTGAAATATAACTTCGGTTTTGTCATTTTTTTCAGAATTAGGCAAAAGTCTGGAAAGTCCGTCAGCGTTAGAGTTGATTCTGCCAGGTTTATATTTGATAACATATTGGTATTCGTTTAACCTAAGTCCCCATCTAACGAGTTTTGAAGATGGATTTTTGCAGTTAAAGAGCCATTGCAACGGCCTGTGATCGGTGTAAATCGTGAAAAGTTTACCGTAAAGATAAGGTCGAAAATTTTCAATTGTACAGATAACGGCTAAGAGTTCTTTTTCCGTTGTCGAGTAATTTTCTTCCGATTTATTTAATGTTCTTGAATAGTATGCGACGGGAAGATCATTAGAGTCTTTTAATTGAGATAGGATTCCTCCAATGCCCACGTTAGAGGCATCGGTGGTCACTATAAAAGGTTCTGAAAAAGATGGGTATTGCAACAATGGTTTTTTCATTAAAATTTCCTTTAATTCTTGGAAGGCTTTTTGTTGAGCGTCTGACCACATGAATATAGAATCTTTTTTTAACAATAGCGTTAATGGCTTTGCGATGGTCGCGAAATCTTTAACAAATTTTCTATAATATCCGACCATGCCTAGAAAAATTTTTATGTGCTTCACATTATTAGGACATGGCATTGTTTGTATTGCCTCTATTTTTCGCGGATTTGGTTTTACACCATCTTTTGTTATCACGTGACCTAAATATTCACATGATTGTCTCATGAATTCGCACTTGTCAGGTTGAAGTTGCAATTGATTATCGCGAAGTCTTTGAAAGACATTGATTAATTTATTTTTGTGATCTTCGAGGGATGACCCGTATATAACGATATCATCGAGATAAACAAAACATTGATTTTTATTTAAACCTATAAGAATTGAATTCATCAGTCTTTGGAAGTATGCAGGAGCATTTTTTAAACCGAAGGGCATTCGCGTAAATTCATAATGCCCATCTGATGTGGAAAAAGCTGTTTTGGCAGCGTCTGCTGCGTTCATTGGAACTTGGTGAAATCCATTAGCTAAATCTAATGTTGTAAAATATTGAGAATGACCTAATTGATCTAATATATCATCAATATGAGGCATCGGGAATGCATCACCGATTGTTATATCATTTAGATTTCGATAGTCTATTACTACGCGCCATTTACGCTCACCAGATGCATCTAATTTTTTTGGAACTACCCAGAGTGGACTTGACCATGGACTCATAGATGGTCTTATAATATCTTGTTTAAGCATTTTATCTATTTGTTTACTAACCTCAGCTTTATGTACTTCGGGATATCTATAACTTTTGACGTGTATAGGAATATCGTTGACCGTTCGAATGTCGCAAGTTATGGCATTTGTTTTAGTTAAATAATCTCCTGGTAAATAAAAAATATCTTCGAAATTTTCACAAATTGATTTTACAGAAAGTTTTTCTTCGTGATTTAAGTGATCGAGTCTTAAAGATTGATTTAGGATTTTTAATCTTTCTGAATTATTAGTTTTTTTGTTTAAATTATAAATAGGAATCGTATCGACTTTATTTTCATTGGGCGGAATTGGTTCTACCGCTAATTTAGGAGTTGGAATTATTTTTCTTTCATTCGATGCATTAATAATAGTTATTAATGCTTGATTTTCTTTTGAGATTTTTACAATTGCGTTAGGAATTAGTAAATTTTTTTCTTTATTTAGAGTTTGGGATTTTATTATCCCTTCATGAAGATTTAGTGGATTTATGATATTCGCGAGAATGACAGTTTCAGTTCTGGCATTGACTGAAACTTGAGATTTGACGAGTTGAGGCGTATTTTGATAAAGAGGTATCGCTACTGGAAACGCCTTGATTGAGATTGTAGATTTATCATAATCGATTTGACTCTTTTGGTCATTGAAGAAATCATGCCCTAATAAACCGTCAAATGGAATATTTGTTAAATTGTTTATTAAGTGGAATTTAGCATAAATAGAATTTTTGTAGAGTTGCAATTGAATTTCGATTTCGCCTAGAGTTTTGAGAGGTGCTGAAGGAGAGATACCGTTCAAGGTAATTGATTTAGAATTTATAATGTCATAATTTTTGAGACTCGTAGTTTTTATCAATGAAATAGAAGCACCTGTGTCAATTAAAAATTTTAGGGTTTTATCACAAGAATTAGCAGATGGCGATTTTATTAACACGTATGTTAAGTCGTTAGTGTCAAGTAAAATATTTGATCGTAAAAACGTGTTGAAAGTTTGACCGGTTTGGTCAGAATTTGAGGTTGAAGGAATTGCAACGTCGTTATTAGAATGATTTTCATTGTTAGTATTAATTTGAGATGCTTGTTGTTGAAAATTAATACTTTGATTGATAGGTCGATTATTTGAATTTGAATTTTTATTGCGATTTTGATTTACCCATTGTCTTTTTCTACATTCTTCTATAGCGTGACCGGGCCTTTTACAATATTTACAAAATAAATTTAATTTATTTGAATTAGATTCAGATGAACGTTGATTCGTTCCGTTAAATGAAGAATTTACATGATTTATTAATTTGCTTTGAGAGGACCTATTGTTTTTATTTTTATGATAGCAATCTTTAGCTAAATGGTTAGTTTTATGACAAATGTGACATTTTTGAGAAGAAAAATTGATTTTCATGCCTAGAGCTTTTTCTTCTGCTGTAGCAGCAGTGAGAGCGCTGTTTAAAGTTTTAAATTCGCGATATCTTAACATTTGAGAGATTTGTGGATGTGTATGATAAATAAAACGATTCAAAGTCATGTCGTTAATCATAGCAATTCTACCTTTTAAAATATCTTTATTAGTTTCAGTGGTATGAATTACGGCTAAGATTCTTGATGAGAGATCTTCTAATTTTTGATAATAAAAAGATACACTTTCATTTGGTCTTTGTTTAATATTATTGAGTTCTTCAAGCAATTGATCTAATGATCTTTTGTCTTGATACAAATTGAGTAACAATTCTGAAATCTCCTCCCAAGTGGTGAGATTACAGTGAATATCTATTTGCTCTCGGGCTTTACCGATTATTTTACTTTTTACATATAATAAAAGGGGTGTTTTTTGATTTTCCTTAGCTATTTCGAACACTGAATCTACTTGTTTAACAAAGCTTCTAATTTTGAATCTATCTCCATCAAAATTGTCAGGTAATAATTTAGTAAGAAATTCAAGTGATACTGAATTAATTACAGCACTTTGATCTGGATCAGGCATTTTTCTTTTCTTTTAGGAATTTGAAGGAATGAATTTGAAAGAATTGAGAAAAAGTCGGAATACAATCGAATATTAAAAGTGTCAGTACTTACGTTGAAGATTCTCTGGTGATGGAGTTGCTAATTCCAAGATGTCAACCTGAGAATGTTGTTTCTGTTGTTGGAGTTGCTAATTCCAAGATGTCAACTTGATAATGTTGTCCCTGTTGTTGGAGTTGCTAATTCCAAGATGTCAACCTGGGAAATGTCGTCCCTTCTGTTGGAGTTGCTAGTTCCAATACGGCAGTCGGAAGTTCACTTTTTTTTGTTGCTGACTCGTTCGTGGACCGAATTTTAACAATTAAAATTGTCACTCGTTTTTAGGATGGAGTTGCTAGTTCCAAGAATCACTAATATAGAGTATCGGACCAATCCGTATCCTCGTCGCCAAAAATTATGTTGGATTCCAAATAATAAATTCACAGATTTTTATTTAAAACTTTCTTTAATAATTTGGGAGTCCTTCTCCGAAAGCAGTCACGACTAAATCTGGCTTTTGAAGATTACATGTTGCTTATATATTAACGAAGAAGAAAGAAAAGATAAAAATATGACTAAGTTCTAGTCCTTACAAAGTTCAATATACATAGATAAAAATATGACTAAGTCCTAGTCCTGTAGATAGATCATGATGACTCAATACTTATAAACTTTGTCTTTTTAGAAAGTAAAAAAATAGAAATGAATTTGATTGTGAGAAAGACTCCTATAAAGTTAATATTACAATTTAAAAATACATAGATATATAACACTAATGATATTAATAATATTTACATATACAAAAAAATTTGGCTTCTAATATGGATAATTTTTATTCCTTTTAATACCCAAACAATTTTGGGCTACATTTAACATCCGCAGACCCCAAAAATTTATTTAAATGAATTGTTAAACTTTTACAATGAATCCGTAGACTTAATTGTTTCTGGTTTTCCCTCGCAAATGGTGCTAATTTCAATCGGAAATTCGGGTATTAAAATATACTGATTTTCTGCATACATAGGAATAAATATTAATTCTTGAACGTGAAACATAGAGATATGACAAATCTCACTATCTAACAGTTTAATGCGTGAACGGAATAATTCACTTTCGCAGGAGTGAATTTCATTTAAAAAATAAGAAGGTTGTGTTCGTTTACAAATTCTTGTTTTTTCCTACTCGTTTACATGTTTTTATTAAAGTTTTCTCGCTTGGTACATAAAAACTGTTTTCTTGATTAATTAAGATAAATAAATTATCCGTAGATAATTTATTATTTATTTATTAATAAAGAATTAATAATTTTATTGTTTTATTAATTAATGGATAACAATTTATTCGTAAATAATTATTATTTATTTTATTTATGAGGTTTTAATTACGTCACGTTCTAACATTGTAGAGTTAGATACGTGTTTCTTTTTACAAGTCAAAATTAACACATTAACTATATTAATTTCGAATTCTTCAGAACATTCGTGGCATAATGCAATTGCTTTTGTATAAGCATTTTGAATTTGAACTAATCTACTCTCGATACTGCTAGTGTCTACTCCTATAATTAATTTCCACGTTTGATGGTAAAGGCTTGTAGTACCCAAGTTTTCTATGAATACTAGAGTGTTCGTAATAGGTTGAAAAATCACGTTGGGCCATTCCAATCGGGAATAAGCTTGGTGATTGAGGATCGAGAAATTTGTCCTTCAAAAAGAGAAAGCTAGAAACCTGCCCTTTTCCTAGAAAAACATCTTTTTCTCTATTTTCTAAAGTAAAAGATGTTACAACCCCCAGTTTAGAAAAAACTTAGTCCCTTAAAATCTTAGCTTAACTAGTGCTATCCAAGTTCTAGTTCGTTGATTTTATGGCCTTTAAAGAAGTTTCCCTGCTATATAAATTTTATCGCAGATTTTTTAAAATTTTCATGACGTAACGATTCTTGAATTAAAGGTAATTGATATTACAAATGAATATCCCTGCTATATAAATTTTATCGCAGATTTTTTAAAATTTTCATGACGTAACGATTCTTGAATTAAAGGTAATTGATATTACAAATGAATATCCCTGCTATATAAATTTTATCGCAGATTTTTTAAAATTTTCATGACGTAACGATTCTTGAATTAAAGGTAATTGATATTACAAATGAATATCCCTGCTATATAAATTTTATCGCAGATTTTTTAAAATTTTCATGACGTAACGATTCTTGAATTAAAGGTAATTGATATTACAAATGAATATCCCTGCTATATAAATTTTATCGCAGATTTTTTAAAATTTTCATGACGTAACGATTCTTGAATTAAAGGTAATTGATATTACAAATGAATATCCCTGCTATATAAATTTTATCGCAGATTTTTTAAAATTTTCATGACGTAACGATTCTTGAATTAAAGGTAATTGATATTACAAATGAATATCTTCGGCGTTTATCTTATAATTAAGATTTTTTTTTGAAGTAATTGTCGCTGTTTCTTATTTTTTCAATTTCAGAACTGATTTTGGAGTTTGAATCATACAATCTTGGTCACTGTAAAGTAGACTAAGTTTTAGTTTGTGAATTTAATTCAAAAGGTGTCTCTGGAACTAATATGTATTGGTTAGGATCTTTTAACGGAATAAATACCTAATTCTAAAATTCTGAATGCCGAAAATTGACACTCATTATTAACTGATGTCAATGGGAAAGATTTTTCTTTACGTAGAATGATTTTTGTAGATCATTCTTCTGCTAGCGATAGCCTAGACAACAATAGTTTTGTTGGTCATAGGTATTTCTTCCTTAGCGAACTCGGAGGGAAAACGAACATTTCTTTCAAATAATTTTTCTTGTGAAAATGTTCGAAATGAATATACCTTTCGAGTCTCTATTCCTCATTTTAAAATTCATAATTCATTTTTCGGTAATTTTTAAAGTCGACAGATCTGACCGCAAACCGATTTTTTCATCCTTACGGAAAAATTTAGAGGAGGCTATAAACAATTTTTTCGTATTTTAATTTGTTTCCAATTTGTTTATTAATAAACGAATATTAAAATTTTAAAAATTAACCATTTAATCCGATTTTGGATCCAAAATTGGAAAAAAATTACCTTCTTCCAAAATTATAATGTTTGAACCAAATTTGCGAATGGATCGATGAAGAGAACAAAGTGGTTGGGCGGGTTTCATTCTAAAGGGGGCTCTCTCACGATACACAGACAAAATATAAATCAGCATTCAGTCTAGTTTCTGCTCTCCTCGGATGTACCGTTCTAAATTTCTCATCATCAATCAGTGAACTGGTTTTTGTGTTGTGTATATCAGACAAAACACGAAAATAAAAAAAACAAAAATGCTCGCTAGAAAATGTTCCTCAATATTTTGTGCCCGACAAAAATTACTTAAAGGTAATATAAAAATATTAAAAATTTTCTTTTTTGGAAATTAATTAATATTTAATTTTTCGAAATTAATTACAAAATTCATGGAATTTAATTTAGTGGCAAAAATGTACTTATAATTTCTCTTTGTAAAATAAAATTTTTTTTCCGAATAAACATTTTCGGGGAAAAATATATCCATTATCGCAAAAATTTATATTCATAAATTCTATTTGAATTTTGATAAGAGTTTTTTTTTTATAATGTCTAATATTGGAGTTTCGGAAATAATTTGATATTTAAAATCACCTGATATTTTTTTAAAATAGAAAGAACAAATTTTGGAAAATTGGAACAAAAATAAATATTAATTTAAATTAGTAAAAAATGAATCTTGCAAAAATTTTTTTAATTCTTTAATTATTAATTACTTACAGTCAGAGTGCAATAAAATAATTTCCGATTTTTTCATAATTTGTTATGAATTTTCTGAAAAAAAAATATAAATTTTTTTTTGTAGGTCAAATAGAACAGTACGTTCCCAGCATCCGAATCAATATTTGGTCCATTTAAGAGAAACCCTGCGCGCAAAATATTTCCCTTATATAATTATTATTTTTTAAATTATTAACAAAAAATAAAATTGGAAAATAAGAATTTAATTTATTATTAAATAAATAATTAATATTTAATATATTTAAAAAAAAAATTTAATCTACTAAAACACTTTAAATCTGCTAAAAAAAATGTAAAAAAATTTGAATTTACTATACTTTTTAATCGACTTTCAATTAAACAATTATTTATTCTAAAGGCACTTTCATTTTTTCTAATTTAAATTATCTAAAAATTAAAATTTTGTCATTAAAATAAATTTTTATTGATTAAATAATAATTAATATTAAATTTATTGGATTTTTGTTTGTTATTGATACAATTTTAATATATTGAATGTTATTTTCTAAAAACTTACAATGCCCTCAATACTATCTTATCTCACTCTTGATTGATTGTATAAAGGAAGAAATTAATTTTGCAAGAGAATTCTCATTATATTTAAAAAAAAGGGAAAATTATGACAAAAAAAAATTTTAAAGTTCCTTATCTAATAAATTTTCCATTTTTTTAAAAATTAGTTACAATTTTAAAATTTATGTTTCGAATTAAAATTTTAAAAAAATTTTTAAACTAAATATTTGGGTTAATATTTTTTTTAAGTAGAGGGGAGACAATATTTCACAGTTGAGTTTGTCTTTTATGAGAGTGCAAATCTCAATTGTCGTTAACAGGCATCAGTTAAATCTAATCTGTTATTTTATTGGCGAACAGCAAATAAAATAATTTTTTCAATTCAAAAAAAAAATTTCGTTCCTCACTTTTTACTAATAAAATAAAATTTTTTAAATGATTTTTAATTAATAGAAAAATTAATTACTTATTAGAAAAAATTATTTAAATTTTAAAATTGAAAAAAGTTTTTAAAATCTATTTTATTTAAGATGTCTGTGTCTTAGGAAAATATTTATCTATTTTTATCCGCGTTTTAAATTTAGAACTGTGGTCCATTAGGATCAGTAATAACCGCAACATAGTGACAAAAATTTTTTTTTTTTTTTTAATAAATAAATATTTAAAATAAATACAAAAATGGATATAAAAATTCGAAATTAGAAAAATGGATTTTTTTTTTTTTGAAAAACAAGAGAAATTATAAGTAACGAAAATTAAATTCTAAGAAGAGAAAAAAAGGGAGATTATAATTTTGGTTTCATTAGGAAATGAAATTCTTTGGACGAGAAATATGTCCGCTGGACCTCTACTTCATGAGCCAGAGAAACCAGTGATAATGACCGACATTCCTGGGCCTCAGTCTCAAAAATTATTTAAAGAATTAAATAATATACAGGTATTTTTTTGCCCCCTAATAATAAAAATAATCGCCCCCCCCCTAGTAAAATAATAGAATTTTTTTAAATTAAAAAAAAATCCAAATTTTACTCCCCAGCAAGCCGGTTCAGTTCAATTGTTTGTTGATTATGAAAAATCAACAGGAAATTATGTATCCGATGTGGATGGAAATATTTTACTAGATGTTTATATGCAAATTTCATCGATGCCTCTTGGATACAATCATCAGGCGATGCTTGATGTTTTAGCCGATCCAGTTAATCAAGTAAAAAAAAAAACGAAAATTAATTTTTGATCATTAAAATGTTAAAGGAAAAAGCTTAAGCTTTAATAAATTTCAATTTTTTGTAATAAAAAATTATTTTTCTACCAAAAATTAATTTTTGCAGAAAATAATTGCAAATAGACCGGCTTTAGGAGTTTTTCCCGGTGGAAATTGGCCGAAAAAATTAAAGGACGTTCTTTTAAAAAAGGGCGTAAGTAAAATTATGGAATTGTTGGCAAAAAAAAAACCAAGGGTTTTTGCTTTTTTTCTCTTTGTAAATTTTAGGTTTTTTTTTTTTTTTTTTTAGGTTGCACCACCGGGTTTAACGAATATAACAACAATGATGTGTGGCTCGTGTTCCAATGAAAATGCATTTAAGGCTATATTTTTTTGGTACGCCGAGAAAAAGAGACAAGGTGCTCCATTTACTAAACAGGAAATGGAGAGTTGTATGATTAATAATAGTCCAGGATCGCCTAATTATTCGATTATGTCTTTCAAAGGTAGTAAAAGAGGAAAACATTTTTTTTTTAATGCTTTTGCAGACATAATTTTTTAGTTTTATTTGCTTTTATAAACCCAACTGATGAACATCCAAAATTTTACTTTGAAGCACTATTTTTTGGTAGATGCTAATATAATTTTTTTACCTTAATTGCTTTTAAACACAACTGATCCAAAATTCTGAAATACCAAAATAAATTTCTCTTGCTTTTATAAACAGAACTGATTTTGATCCAAAATTTTGTTTTGCAACATCCGTTTTCTTACAAATAACCAAATAATTTTTTTACCTTATCCGTTGCTTTTATAAACACAATTGATAAACATCAAAAATTCTCAAAGTTTTACTGTTTCGCAACATTATTTTTTAACAGAGGTACCGAAATAATTTTTAGCCTTATCCATTGCTTTTATAAACTAATGAAAACCCAAAATTTTGAAAGTTGTATTTTGTTTTGCAGCACTATTTTTTTTTTTTGCAAATTCTAATAGAATTTTTTAGCCTTATCCATTGCCTTTAAACACAACTAATGAACACCCAAAAATTCTGAAAGCTTTATTAAGTTTTGCATTATTTTTTTGCAGATGCTAATATAATTTTTTAGCCTTATCCACTGCTTTTAAACCCAAATAAGTTCATAGCCTAATTTATATGCTTCTAAATACAAACTGAAGAACATGAAAAATTTCCAAAATTTGATCATATAATGTATCATAATACCAAATTAGGAAAGTGCTTTTAGTTTCTTTTAACATTTCCTGCTCCATTTTCTTTTTTTATATAAATTTCTGTTTATTATCAGGAGCATTCCATGGTAGAACTTTGGGCTCTTTAACAACGACTCACAGTAAATATATACACAAAATTGACGTACCGGCTTTTGATTGGCCAATAGCACCTTTTCCAAAGTACAAATATCCCCTCGAGGATAATGTTCGTGAAAATCAACAAGAAGATCAAAAATGTTTAGCAGAGGTAGAAATTTTGTTTCTTTTTGCTGAAAAAATTATTATTCTTCTTCATTGAAAAAATTTTTAGTGCCTCAGCTGCCCTAAACGAAAAATTTCTTTATTCAGTTAACTTCAGTGAAGTTAAGTGAATATAGAAATTTTTCGTTTAAGGGAAGCAAAATTTTTTCAATATGTAGTACCTCTATAGGAAAAATAATTTCTTTGGTATTAAAAATTATCTTTCTCGAAAAGGGGGGGGGGTAAAAATTATTGATTCTATTTCCAAACAGATAGAAGATCTAATTGTTCAATATGAGGCAAAAAATATTCCAGTTGCTGGAATAATAATTGAACCAATTCAAGCTGAAGGTGGTGATAATCATGGGTCACCGGAATTTTTCCAAAAACTTCAAAAAATTGCAAAAAAGGTAAAATTTATTTTATGAAAAAGAAAAATATTGTTCTAAATTGTATAAAATTTCAATACAATTACTTTATTTTTGATATGATGATTTAGAATTTTTGACCTTTGGGTCCTTGAAATAATATTTAAATAAAAAATTTGCCCCCCCCCCCCTTCTTTTTTTTTTTTTAGCACGGATCGGCTCTTTTGATTGATGAAGTACAGACGGGTGGTGGACCAACTGGAAAAATGTGGTGTCACGAACATTTTAATCTTGAATCCCCACCGGAAATTGTTACATTTAGCAAAAAAATGCAAATGGGCGGCTACTATCACATTCCCGAAATGAAGTAATTGAAATTTTCAATAAAAAGTAAAATCTTAAAAATTTGTAATTTTTTTTGTGTAAAAAAATAAATTTTTTAAAGCTATTTTATATTTTTTATGATTTTACAAAAAAAAAGAAAATTTAAATTTAAAAAAGAAAAATATCTTTTTTACAGAGCCAAACAACCTTATAGAATTTTTAACACATGGATGGGCGATCCAAGTAAATTAATTTTACTTGAATCTGTTTTGCAAGTTATTGAGCAGGACAATCTTTTGGATAGAGTGGCGCGAGTTGGCGATTACACTCTAAAACAATTGAAAACAATTCAGAGGGAATTGCCACATGCTATTAATTCAGCCCGAGGTCGTGGAACATTTATTGCCTTTGACTGTGCGACTCCTGAGCTTCGCGATTCTACGGTTAAAAAATTATTAGCAAAAGGTAACAAAAAAAAAAAAAAAAATTCAACTCTACCAAATAAAAAATTCTAAAAAATTAATTTTTTGCATTATTAATGTACTTTAAACATTTTTTTTTTGGGGGAAAATATTTTTTTCTTGAAAAAATGTAAAAAAAATGTTTCTTACCTCAAACTTGTTTTTTTTTTTTTTAGGAATTCAATCAGGAGGCTGTGGGGAAAAAGCAATTAGACTGAGACCCGCTCTAACATTCACGGAATATCACGCAAATATTTTCCTGGATACTTTGCGTTCCGTTCTCAAGGAATAAGAAAAGAAAAATTAAAAAAATTATTTTCCAAAGTTCTTTCAATATATCCAGTGTCTTCCAACAAAAAAAAAAATGCAAGAAAAAAAATATATTGTCTTCCATATGATAAAAAAAAACAACAGATTATTTTTCTACACGAATTAAATATTTTTAGCTAAATTTTACTCTCCTTGTCGTATTATTCAAGAACAGAAAGAAGGACAAAAAATATAGAAAAAAAATTTCTTTTTTAGTTTTTGAAATTTTAGTTTTACAACACACATTTTCTACCTCCTAAATTCATTTCGTGTTATTAATCAAATTTAAAAAAAAATTAAAAAAAGAAGAAAAATGTTTAAAAAATTGTAATTTCTGTACTAAGTATTAAAAAAAAAATAAAAATTATTCTTTTTCATTAATTACGTTATTGAATTATTTCGACATAGAAATCTACCTTGCCGACTGATGGTAAAACAGTTTTTTTTTGAAAGATGAAAATATAAAAAATTACCGACACAGAAGTCTACCTTACCAACTTATGGTAAAGAATTTTTTTTTTGAAATTTTGCTAACTTTTCAAAACTGTTTTACCATTAGTCGGTAAGGTAGATTTCTATGTCGTTAATTTTTATATTTTCGTCTATCAAAAAACGTCGGTAAAATAGATTTGTATGTCGATAATTTTTTATATTTTCATTTTATCAAACAAAAACTGTTTTACCATCAGTCGATAAAGTAGATTTCTATGTCGGTCATTTTTATATTAGCATTTGCCAGTAAGATTTCTTTACCATCAGTCGTTAAAGTAAATTTCTATATCGGTAATTTTTATATTAGCCTTTTTAAATAAAATTTCTTTACTATCAGTCGGTTTGGTAGATTTCTAAGTCGCTAATTTTTTATATTACCATTTTACAAAAAATTTCTTTACCATCGGTCGGTTTGGTAGATTTCTAGGTTGGTTATTTTTGATATTTTTATTTAAAAATTGTTTTTACCATCTTGTTAATTGTTTAACGATCCATGTAGTTTTATTTTCTTAAATCGCATATTTTTAACAATTTAAAGAAAAATTGTAGACAATATATTTTTCGCTGAGTAATAAATAAGTTTTTTTAAAAAAACAAGTATTTATTTATTAATTAATTTAATAATTGTCATATTTAGGATATACAGTCTTAATTTGTCAATTAAATAACAAAATTTTTTCTTTTTTAAGTGTCAAAAATATTTATGTTTTAACAATTTTTTGTAAAATCTCACCAAAATGCTCAAAATCTGGAGATCGACTTTTAAATATCATATGAGAAATAATTCGTTGACAAATCTGCAAAGAAGAAAAAAATAAAATTATTTTTTTAAAAAAAAGTATAAATACAAATACAAATTAAAAATTTCATTTACTTTTCTATTTTGTTCTTCGTTTCCATTTTTTTGTGACAAATTCCATAAATTAATCGCCAATGTTGTCATTGTTGATTGTTGTAAATCGGCTCTTATTATCATACGAATAAATAAATCTAATGCGAGTTGCGATTGTTTTTCCAATTGATCACTAGTACTTAAATATTTTAAATGTGTTAAAATTTCATGTAACACTTTTGATGATATTTTGTTTACTTCGCCAATGAATTTATGATCAGAGCCATAGAGACGATCATTTGAATCGACCTTAAAAAAAAAATAATATTAGTGACCAATTTTTCTATATTATTTTTTAAAATTTGTATAAATATATAAAATTAGGTTATAGTTTTAGTGAAAACTAATAAAAAAAAGAATTCAAACCTTGTCAACATGATATGGATAATTTTCTTGAGTATATGTACTGAGGAGATCAAGAACTCGTAGATAGAGATAATATTTTGTCGATGAATGTTCCTCAAAGCAACGTTGAATTGCATTGAGTAGTCCTCGCATTAAATATAAAACTCCATGCTCTGGACTATCCTATAGAGAAAATAAAATACCATCGGTTGGTAAGGTAGATTTCTATGTCGATAATTTTTTATATTTTCATTTTTCAAAAAAACTGTTCTACCATTAGTCGGTAAGATAGATTTTAATGTTGGTAATATAGTAAAATTACGTAAAATTTATGTCAAATGTAGTAAAATCGGGTAAAATACAGTCAAATTGAGTGAAATTATGTTTAAACAATAGTAATAGAAAATAAAATACCATCTGTCGGTAAGGTAGATTTCTATGTCAGTAATTTTTAATATTTTCATTTTTTAAAAAAACTGTTCTACCGTCAGTCGGTAAGATATATTTCAATGTCGGTAATATAGTAAAATTACGTAAAATTTATGTCAAATGTAGTAAAATCGGGTAAAATTAGCGGTAACATTGAGTAAAATTATGTTTAAATAATAGTAATAGAAAATAAAATACCATCGGTCGGTAAGGTAGATTTCTATGTCGGTAATTTTTATTATTTTCATTTTTAAAAAAACTGTTCTACCATCAGTCGGTAACATAGATTTCAATGTCGGTAATATAGTAAAATTACGTAAAATATATGTCAAATGTAGTAAAATCAGGAAAAGTACAGTAAAATTGAGTAAAATTATGTTTAAATAATAGTAATAGAAAATAAAATACCATCGGTCGGTAAGGTAGATTTCTATGTCGGTAATTTTTAATATTTTCATTTTTTAAAAAAACTATTTTACCATCAATTACGTAAAATTTATGTCAAATATAGTAAAATTTGGTAAAATTTTGTAAACTAAAGTAAAATATATATATATATATATAATATATGAAAAACTACTTACTGGAACAACAAGGAGAGTAGACAAAAAATTTGAAAGATACGAAAGCAAACATGGTTCAGTACTTTTTTGCCTTCCATCGATATCAATTGTTTTAGGCATTTCAGGCACGAGGCTCAATGCCGCTTTAAAACATGCATCGGCTGTGAAAATTTAATATTTTTTTGCATTAAAATTTTAAAAAAAAAATTTACTACGTATCAAAAAGAATGAAAAATAAAAAGAATAGATCCTAAAAAAGTTTTTTTTTTTTCTAAATTACCTTGCCCAAGACATTGATTTAGAAGTGAAACTTGACCCGATAGAAGATATAATTGAAGACGCGAATGTACTGATGATAATGAGGGAATTGTAATAAAACAAAATGCCGCACATGCACGAACAAATGCAGATGTTCGTCGCGTATGATGGCCACGTACAATTTTTCTCGTATCAACTGCCAATCTGTTTACACACTAAAAATAATAATAATAATAATAGAAAAAAATTATATTTTGTCTATAATTATAACAAATATAATCTTATTTTTTGGTAAATTGTTTGCTTTTTTTAATTCTTTAATTTAAAAAATACCTGAACAAGTTGAATATGAACGGCGTCAAGATTTGGAAATGCAGCTCTTGCCTCGACATAAAAATTTAATTGTTTCTCAAAATCTCGTCCATAATCGATTCGTTGAACAAGACCGCAAATTAAATTACCAATTTGTCGTTTCTCATCCTCCACAGTCAATGCACTAAATTTTTTATTATTTTATTTTTGTCATAAATTTTAATTCAAATGGGGTAATAAAACACAAATGTGGGGTAAAATGACACTAATCTTTTAATAGTAATTTTAATATTGTGGGGTAATATAACACAAGTGCGAGGGTATAATGGCACCGAGATTTTAACACTAATTTTAATAATACGGGGGTAATATGACATACAGACGGGGTAATTTTGACTACAATGGGGTAAAATGACAGTTTGTTTTATATAAAATCATTTTATTCGCACTCACCTAACAGAGTCGTGAATAATTTTCATAATAAACATAAGTGCATTAATGACAATTGGATCTGTGATTGGTCCATTTTGTGCGCCAAATCCTTCGACAATTATTTTACATACATCAACTTTAATGCTTTCTTTATGAAAAAGATCCAATAGCGGCAAAAAATTATTCTATCGATTAAAAAAAAAGTAATTAATAAAAATTTGGTATATATTTAAAAAAAAAAATGGTATATTATTCTAAACTGTTTTTCTATAATTCTCCTCACCATTATTAGCAAGGATTCAAAATCTTGTGTGTGTGCAACAATTTTCTCGACAATTGTCTGTAATTGTGGATAAAATTGTTCAAATGCACGATTTGAGCCCAAATGATTGATAACAGCTCCCAAAAATTGATTTAGTTCGGTCACCTTGAAAAAAATTTTTTTTAAATTTATTTTTGATAAACAATTTTCTTCTTTTTTTTTTTCTAAAGAAACTCACAGAAAAATGAATAACTGTAAATTGAATCCAAATTTCAGTGCAGTACATAAATTTTGTGGAATCTTTGAGGCTTGCCAAATATTTCCAAACGTCATTTAAAACCAATTGACAATCATCTTTTGCTGGCGGTTCTTTTACAAAACATTCGCCTAAATTTCGATACAGAAGATATTGTGGAAATCCTATTTTATGTGGGGGAAAATTAAACAAAATATTTATCTCTTTATTTTTTATATTTAAATAAATATAAATTTTAAATTGGGGTAATATGACACAATTTTTGGGGGGTAAAATGTCATCAAGTTCTGGGTAAAATGGCACAAATATATATATATATATATATATATATATATATATTATAGAAGAATTTTTCATCAGTTTTGGGGTAATATATGACACAAAGATGGGGCATGTTGTCACTAAATAGGGGGTAAATTGACACAATTAGGTGGAAATTAGTAGCATTTTCGATAAAAAATTATTATTATTATTGTTGTTTTTTTTACCGTCATCTTCACAAGTTGTAACTAGATTTACAAATTCCATTGATCTTGCTGCAATGTAGGATGATTTAAAAGATGTTAACGCTGTGTTTATTAATAATCCACTAAAAATAACGAATAATTAATTTTTTTAAAAAAATTTCTATGAAAAATAGCGGTCTCAATAATTTTAATTCTCAATACTCTCAAGTTTCAATAGTCTTAAGTCTCACTAGTCTCAAGTCCTAACAGAATTAAAAGTTTAGAGTCTCCTCAGTCTTAATAGTCTCAAGTCTCAAATCTCAATAGTCTCAAGTCTCAACAGTCTCAAGCCTCAATAGTCTCAAGTCTCAACAGTCTCAAGCCTCAATAGTCTCAAATCTCAATAGTCTCAAGCCTCAACAGTCTCAAGTCTCAACAGTCTCAAGTCTCAACAGTCTCAATAGTCTCAAGTCTCAATAGTCTCAAGTCTCAATAGTCTCATGTCTCAATAGTCTCAAGTCTCAATAGTCTCAAGTCTCAATAGTCTCAAGTCTCAATAGTCTCAAGTCTCAATAGTCTCAAGTCTCAATAGTCTCAAGTCTCAATAGTCTCAATAGTCTCAAGTCTCAATAGTCTCAAGTCTTAATTTTTTGCATTAAATATTGTTCTAATATAAGCATATTTCATTTACATTTAAATAAAAAAAAATTTTCCTACCTTTTTGGCATCAATTTACAACGTGAAATAATTTCGGTCAATAAATTATCCGAAGCAGTTGCAGCGACAATTTCTAATATCCATTCGAGTGCAGGCGTATAGAGGCTTAAATACGAATGAAATGAAATATTTTGTTTATTCAATTCAATTTTCATTGATGGCGTAAAAAGTTGTTGAAATGTACAAAGAAAATCATAAAAATTCTCCTTGGCAAATTCAAAATCCATATTTTTATTCAATGCCAATCCAACACGACACAAATAACAACGTGCATAAATTCCAATTAATGGATTACCAATTCCACGAATCATTCGTGTTATTCTACGTAATGCCGAAATTGATTCACTAAAATTTTTTTATTATAATTATAATAAAAGTGATAAATTTTGTAATTTTGCAAAAAAAAAAAAAAAATGCGTACCTTGTTGTTAAGAAATTATACGATTTAATAATTGCCATTTCAACAAAAAGTCTCGGTACCAATTCTCGAATTGATGCAATTTTATAGAACCAATTCTGACAAGTTTCTTTTGCACTTTCAGGTACCATATCGGGTGTAAAATTTTCCGGTAAACTTGTCGAACTTTTACTTCCAGGTCTGAATTGCAAAAAAAAAGGTTTTTTTTTAGAAAAAAAACTTGTTAATTTTATTTATTATAATAAATTAATTTAAAAAATTTGCAAAAATTCTCACTTATGAGACTCGGCTTTCATTTTTAATCTTTCATAGACAAGTTTGCCGAAAATATCCAAAATATCAGTGATAAGGACAAATTTGCTGGGATAAAAGGCAATCGCTGATGTGTCACCTAACAATTTTGCGCACTGTAGAAAGAAATTTTATAGTTACTGAACAAGTTCAGAAAAAATTACTAAACTACTTTTGATATTTTAGCCGAGCTAGATAATTAATTCTTACTGAACTAGTTGAGGAAAATTTACGGAACTACTTTTGGTATTTTATAGAATTGGGTAATTAATTCATATACTGAACTAGTTCAGGAAAAGTTATCAAACTATTGTGTAACTTTTATGGAACTGGTTCAGTAAAATTAAATTAATTCAGAAATAATTACTGAACTAGTGCAGGAATCGTTTTTGGACTAGTTCAGGAATCGTTACTGAACTACTTTATGCCATTTGTACCAATTCAAGTAATAAATTCTTACTGAACTAGTTCAGGAAAATTTACGGAACTACTTTTGGTATTTTATAGAATTGGGTAATTAATTCATACTGAACTAGTTTAGGAAAAGTTATCGAACTATTGTGTAACTTTTATGGAACTGGTTCAGTAAAATTAAATTAATTCAGAAATAATTACTGAACTAGTGCAGGAATCGTTTTTGGACTAGTTCAGGAATCGTTACAGAACTACTTTATGCCATTTGTACCAATCCAAGTAATAAATTCTTACTGAACTAGTTCAGGAAAATTTACGGAACTACTTTTGGTATTTTATAGAATTGGGTAATTAATTCATATACTGAACTAGTTAAGGAAAAGTTATCGAACTATTGTGTAACTTTTATGGAACTGGTTCAGTAAAATTAATTTAATTCAGGAATAATTACTGAATTAGTGCAGGAATCGTTACTGAACTAATTTATGCCATTTTTACCAATCCAAGTAATAAATTCTTACTGAACTAGTTCAGGAATAATTTTTCTTGGACTTGTTTATGAATTGTTACTGAAATATAGTTTAGAAAGAGTTAGCAAACTACTTGAGTAATATTTGCAGAAATAATTCAAGAAAAATACTGAACTACTTCAGGAGTAGTTATTGAACTATAGTTTAGGAAGGTTTACTAAATTCCTTTAGAAATATTAACTATAGTTCATTTACATAAATACCTGTATAGCAATTTTCAGAGCTTTAACACGAAAATCCGAGTGCCATGCTTGTACAAGTTCATTATTTAATTGTTCAATTCTTGCCATATATTCTTGTTGTGATAAATCGAGTAATTGTCGAACGGAGCCTTCTTCAAATTCATCTAATCTTTCCAATCTTGTTTTTACTCTATCGACAGTTCCACTCGGTTGAACTTTAACGACAACTGCAAATAAATTTATTTACAACAAAATCTATGTATTTTAACTAAAATACCAATTTTTTTTTAAGAAGCAAAAAGAAAATTACCTCTTTCGCCTCCGGACAAAAAACTAGTGATAATTGACAATTTTTCATTGGTCGTGTATTTATTTAAAATTAAATTACGTCTCGATGTCCAGGGTTCGACTAATTCTTCCGTTTTGTCCTTGAATTTTTTAGTATGTGTGACATTCGCTGAGTAGTCCCACTAGAAAAAGAAACATCTAAATTTTGTTTTTTAAAATTACGGAACTAGTTCAGAAATTTTTTTTTGCGAAAGTAATAAGCAAAAGACTGAGCAATTATATTATTATAACGTAATTTAATGTTATAAGGTAAAATATGCAGAAATTATTATTGAATTACTTTTGGGAAAATTTACCAAACTAATGTAGGAAAAATATTTAAATAGTTCAGAAAAATTTACGGAACTTTTTTTGAATTTTTACAGAACTTAGATTATTTTTCACTAAATTTGTACTATTTTTTAAATTGGGTTGAAAATTATATCGGAAACTTTTTACGGAACTAGTTCAGGAAAATTTTTTTTTTTTTTTTTTACTAAAACTTCTAAAAAATACCTCGTCCGTTGCCATTTTTGACAGGGGATCCAATTCCTCGCGAGCAAATAGTGTAAGTGGATCTGTACCATCGAGATTGGAATGACCTAATAAAGGATCGGCGAATGTTTTGATATTTGGCGTGGAACTTTGGGTTGGTGTTGGTGTTCTTGTCGAGGAACTAGTACTTGTACTTCGTAAAGTACCTCGACGAACAATACTGCGTCCATCGACAACCTTCGTACAAAAATTTTTAATTTACATTATGTAATATTACAAGGTTTACTTCGAGCTAATATTACACGGTAATATCAATAAAATATATTATGTAATATTCCCTAATATTACATTGATATTACTGTATAAAAGTATAATGTATAATATTACCTCGATATTACCATGTAATACTCCTCATTAGTAATATTAAATTCTAATTTTACACACTAATATCAATATAATATTACATTGTAATATCAATGTACTATTGGGAAATATTACAATGTAATATCTATGCAATATTACCTCGATATTACCATGTAATACTCCTCATTAGTAATATTAAATTCTAATTTTACACACTAATATCAATATAATATTACATTGTAATATCAATGTACTATTGGGAAATATTACGATGTAATATTATATTAATATTACTGAGTAAAATTAGAATTTAATATTACTATTGAGGAGTATTACATGGTAATATCTAGGTAATATTACATTATACTTTTATACAGTAATATGAATGTAATATTACCTCGATATTACCATGTAATACTTCTCAATAGTAATATTAAATTCTATTTTTACACAGTAATATCAATATATTACATTGTAATATCAATGTACTATTGGAAAATATTACAATGTAATATCTATGTAATATTACCTCGATATTAGCATGTAATACTCCTGAATAGTAATATTAAATTCTAATTCTACACAGTAATATCAATATAATATTACATTGTAATATTTCCCAATAGTACATCGATATTACAATGTAATATTATATTGATATTACTGTGTAAAATTAGAATTTAATATTACTATTGAGGAGTATTACATGGTAATATCGAGGTAATATTACATTATACTTTTATACAGTAATATCAATGTAATATTACCTCGATATTACCATGTAATACTCCTCAATAGTAATATTAAATTTTAATTTTACACAGTAATATCAATATATTACCGTGTAATATTCCCCGATATTACAATGTAATATTATATTGATATTACTGTGTAAAATTAGAATTTAATATCAATTTAATATTGTGGAGTATTAGATGGTAATATGTACATTATAATTTCATACAGTAATATCAATGTAATATTGGGTAATATTATATAGTAATATTAATGTAATATTACACCGATATTACCGTTTATTATATTACTTAAACATTACCATAAAATATTCCCTAATATCACATCGATATTAGGGATATTACTGTGTAATATTATTTAAAAAAAATTACTAGGCATAAAAATTCTAAAGGCATTTCTTATAATGTTTATAATGTGTTATTTGTTTTCTGCATTTCATAATGTGTTCTCTTTTTTGAAGTATTTTAATAATTCTTTTTAAGAATTATTAGTAATATTAATAATTTATTAATACAACGTTACGAAATTCATACGTATAACAATTAGCCTAAATTATTACTTAAAAAATTAACATTCGATTCTTGGATATATCAATTTTTGTTTTAAATAAATACTATTTTCGTGTTTGTTTAAATATTGGATAATTTTATTATTCTTGAACTGATGTATAAACTATATATTAAAAAAATAAAATTTTGTAAGTTGAAAACAAAAAGAACATTTTTTTTAATAGATTAAAATAATTTTTGTTTTAAATACCGAAACTATTAAAGGTTTAAGGGGATGGTCCAAAACTTCTTCTAATCGTGGACATTTTGGAGATCCATATTCATATGTTCTTGAGATCCTGAAAAATTTTAATGTTTTTTGTTAAATAATTTTTTTTATTTTAAAAATAATTGTATTATAATTTTTTTTTTGCTTACCAATCGATTTCTGCCATTTTTTTCTTTTATTTATCTAACCTAACAAATGTTTTATACAAAAAAAATTTTTAAATTATTTATTTATTATAAATATATTATCAACACAAAATTTATAGGTTATAATGTTTGTTATTCGTTATTTCTTTTCTATTTTGAAAAATAATAAAAAATACCATTTAGATAAAAAAAAACAAATAAAAATTTTTTTTATTTATTTTTCGTTTATTTTTATCTCAAAAAAAAGGTAATAACAAAAATCATATGTTTTTCGCTGTATAAATTTTCAGCGAAACGTCAAATACCGTACCTAACCTATAACCTAACCTAACCTAATTTGTAGGTTAGGTTCCGATTATTTTTTTTAAATTTTTCTTTAACGGAAAATAATAAGAACAAAAAATTCTTTTCTTTAAACCAAAGAACAATTCATATCTTTTTTTTTTGTAAATTAATGAAAATTTTAGCAATTTCCCATTTTTTTTTTTGAGGTTGGTATTAAATTATGTTAAGTTGGCAGTAATGGGATATAATTTTCAAAAATTGTACAAAAAATCCAGGAAAGAGTAATAATTTTAATGAATTTAAAAATTATTTTTTATATTTTTCTAATAATTTTTAATTATTTGCTTAATTTAACAATGAATTTTTTATTCTATTTGTATTTAAAAATAAAAGTTGTTATTTCAAATATTTCCCGCTCAATAACACATCTAACCTGCAACAACTTGTATTTTGATCTGTTGGCGAATAATAGTGGGGGGAGGGGAAATCTCGTCTTTCTGCTGTGGCAACTTTCTGCTCTTCTGGGGTTCTCTCTCTCTGTGGTGTGGAATTTTTTTTTTTCAACAGTGAATTTTTGACAAAACATTTTTTTATAGTAAAAAAAAAAAAAAAAAAAATTAGTGATATTTGTACAGTGAGGAAAAGAAAATAGTTTAGAAAAATAAATAACGTAATGGCAACAGTTGACGATGTTTTCGAAAGTTGGGAGGATATGGAAGCTTCCGGGGTAAGAGAGAAAGTGGAAAAACTTGGGAGAGAGAAGAAAAATAAAGATATTAATTTCACGTTGTTGTTTTATGTACAAAAACATTGTCACGCGTTTGATTAATTTATGATTTTTTTTTTTAAATAAATAAAAAGTTAAATTATTCTAATTTTCGTTTTGTTTTTTTTTTGCCTGAGAATATAGAATAAACAGTAGCTTTTTTTTTGGTTATGGCATATTTTATGATTGGTCACTACATTCATTTTCTTTCTTTTCTAATTTTAGTTCCTTTTTTTTATTTTTAGTTCTTTATTTATTTTTATTTTTTTTATAGTTCCTTTTTGATTAATAAAAATTTGTTTCGAATGCTATTATTAGAATGTTTGAGGTCATGAAAGTAGTATTATATATGCGTATTTTTTTAACTAGACATTTTTTTTTTTATAAATTTTTTCAACATTTATTTTTTAGGCTCTAGATCGAAAATTGAATGATCTTCAAATAAATCCTTTGGACGAATTAAATGACGAAACTTCAAGGTAGATATACTTATGTATATATAAGTAGAAAATTACAATATGTGTTCGAAAAATATTAAAAATTTATGTGAAATTTTTCCTCTGCTTCTTTTAAAATAAAAAAAAAAAAATGAAAGTAAATCTTAACTTTTAAAGTAAATTAATACCTTTACAATTTTAAGATTCAATTTTCCTAGCCTCTGTAGTTGTGATTATCAAAATTTTTAGGTTATGTTACATAAATAGAGTTTTGAGTTAAAAAAAAATAGACACTAACCAGAAATAATAAAAAATGAAATGATAAAATAAAATAAATTTAAAATTATGTTATTTGATTGTAGAAAAGATTTTAGTAAAAAATAAAATTTATTTATATTTATTAATTATTTTTATATATGAAAATTTAAAAATTTATTATAGGCTCACAAGCAATAACGGCACAAGCACGAGAATGATTATTTTAGGTGATGACGCATTACGTTCACAATATGTACCACCGAAACCAACGGTGAAAATTTTAAAAAGGCCTTCAAGAAATTCACAGGGTAGTGGCGATGGTCCACTTTTAAATGGCGAAAAACCAAAGCAACCAATCAAATCTCTTAAACAAGTGTGCCAAATTTTGTTTTTATAAATTTTAATATGTTTTCTATAAAAAAAAGAGTTTTTGGGGCTAAAATGAATTTTTTTTTACAGAGAGAACAAGAATATGCCGAGGCAAGAAAAAGAATTTTAGGTGAAGAGAAAAGTCCCGAGGAAAAAATTGTTCAAGAAGTTAGTAAAATTCAACCGAAGCCTTCAGTATCAGGTAAATATATAAATAAGTAAATATGTAACAAATTTTTGAGCAAATTGAGTCATTTTTTCAAAAAAAAATGTCTGACATATTGGATCCGCCATTTTGAATTTTAAAAAACTGACATCAGATTCGTAATCAGCGACCACAAAAACCCCCAAGTGACAATTATCGTAAAAAATCTACCAAATTTTACAATTTTTGTCCGCCATATTGGATCAGTCATTTTGAATTTTTAAAAACTGACATCAAATTTGTAATCAGCGACCCCGAAAACCCCCAAGTGACAATTATCGTAAAAAATCTACCAAATTTTACAATTTTTTTCGCAATATTGGATCCACCATTTTGAATTTTTAAAAACTGACATCAGATTCGTAATCAGCGACCCCGAAAACCCCCAAGTGACAATTATCGTAACAATCTACCAAATTTTACAATTTTTGTCCGCCATATTGGATCAGTCATTTTGAATTTTTAAAAACTGACATCAAATTCGTAATCAGCGACCCCGAAAACCCCCAAGTGACAATTATCGTAAAAAATCTACCAAATTTTACAATTTTTTTCGCAATATTGGATCCACCATTTTGAATTTTTAAAAACTGACATCAGATTCGTAATCAGCGACCCCGAAAACCCCCAAGTGACAATTATCGTAACAATCTACCAAATTTTACAATTTTTGTCCGCCATATTGGATCAGTCATTTTGAATTTTTAAAAACTGACATCAAATTCGTAATTAGCGACCCCAAAAACCCCTGAGTAACTAGTTTTGAGCAAATTAAGTCATTTTTTCCATTTTTTTGTCCGCCATTTTGAATTTTTGAAAACTGACTGATTCTGTGTTAAATAAGAATTCAAAAAATCTTTAGTTTCTTGAATGACATTTAGAGAGAATTTACTTTTAGTCAAATTCTCATTTCTTAGAATTTATATACTTTTAGTTGAATATCCATTTCTTCGAATTTCATTATACTTAGAATTTACTTTTAGTTGAATTTTAATTTCTTCGAATTTTATTGTACTTAGAATTTATTTTCAGTTGAACTTTCATTTCTTCGAATTTCAGTTCTTAGAATTTATACATTTAGTCGAATTCCGTTATACTTAGAATTCACTTTTAATCGAATTTTTATTTCTTCGAATTTCATTTTAGTCGTATTTTCATTTCTTCGAATTATTATTTAACAGAATTTTCATTTACCCGAATTAAATGGAATTTCTGTTAAATAATAATTCGAAGAAATGAAAATTCGACTAAAATGAAATTCTGAGTACAATGAAATTCAAAGAAATAAAAATTCTACTGAAAGTAAATTCTAAGTATAACAGAATTCGAAGAAATGGAAATTAGACTAAATGTATAAATTCTAAGAAGTGAAATTCTTAAAATTGAATTCAATAAAATATTATTTCAGTTCTAGGTGGCACTAGTGTCCCTAGTAATGTGATACGAATGCCAATGGGACCGGATGGTACAAAAGGATTTAATGTAAGAAGATAGCGCGTTATTGAGGAGTTTCTCGTAATTGTAATCCAACTTGAACCTCTCGAATTCTCTTCGAAGGAGAGGCGGCTATGAGGCCGTGATCAGCATTCAGCTTCGTGCTCCAAAAAAAAAGAGAAAAAGAACACGAAAAATTGATCTCAAGTGGTGAAAAAGAAAAAAAAATTATATAATTCACACTCGATCGACAAAAAAAAAAAAAAAAAAAAAATGGGAGCGCGAGCTTACAGCTGTATTCACAGCATGTCTGTCTCGAATTTTTAAAATGTACAAAAAAGAATAAGAAGATGAAGAAAAATGGAATTACGCTTTCCAAATAATGAACTCGTATTTTTTTTCCTTTTTTTTTAAACGAGTTTTATATATATATATATATATATATATATTGAAGACCTACTGTCAATCTTTGAATACTCAGAGCGCGCGTGTATTTTTTTTCGGTGATCGATTCTATAATTTAAAAAAAAAATGTAGACAAATTTATTTATGCAGATTTCACTGTTCAAAGTTTATTTATATTTATTTTTTTTTGAACAGTGTTTCTCTGTCTTGTTAAAAGAAAAAGTCAATTTTTTATCTGCACTGTAAAATATAATAATGCATTGACTGACGACTCTTGTTTTACAAAAAATTTTTTTTCTATTTATAATAATAATAATAATAATAATAATAATAATAATGTGGCAATATGTGACAGAATGTTTATTCAATTTTATCTACACGGAGAAACAATAAAAAAAGGCAAAAAAATTTTTTTTAAGTAAAATTTACCGAACTGATTTAGGAAAATTTTACCAAACTGACATAGTAAAATTTACCAAATCATTGGAAATGTTACCATACTGATTTGGTAAAACCAGTTGAAAGTAAATTTTACCATGTTAATTTTGTAAAATTTACCAAACTGATATAGTATAATTTATGAAACGCAGTTAGAGAGTAAATTTTACCAAACTAATTTAGTGAAATTTACCAAGCTTTACAATTTTTTTTTCTGTTTTTTATACATTCTGCCTCCTTTAATTTCATTTTAGAACTGTAATTTTAAGAATTCGGAGGAATTTCTTTTTGGGATTGTTTTTTTTTTTTTTTTACATAAAACACCAAATGTGTAGGTATTTGCTAATCTCATTGGGGTAAAAGAAAAAATGTATTTTTCTATAGTATTGAAATAATATACATAAATGTTTCTTTTTTTTGTATATATACATACATGTATATTCTTTTAGGATCTATAAAGAAAAAAATAATTAAGACTAGATATCCAAAGTTTCATTTCCGGGCAACTTGTTTCAATTTATAAATGTATGAAAAGATTAATATGATTGTTAATAAAAATTTCATATATTGTGGTTTTTCTTATTTCTCTTTTATCTGTGTTTACCTAGATCATATATTTTCCTTAAAAAAAAATTATCGTAGAACAATTTTCAAAAAATCGTTTAAAAGGTTTTTAGTTTGTAAAAAATTATATTGATGAACAATGTTACAAAATGTGACCCCACAGAGCACAGTATATTGCTGTAAGCTTACCTCAAGCTTACATGTAATTTTTGTAAGCTAACCCTGTAAGCTTTAGGTAAGGTCGAGGTAATATAAAAATGTCCGCCATACAGTAAGTTTACACAGTAAGGCTATAGTAAACTTACATGGCAAAGTCACTGTAATGTTACAGTAAGCTTACAGGGCAAGTTTTCAAAGGTATCAATAAATAATTTTTTTAAAATATGTATGCGCAGTAGCTTTCTATGGCACTTACGAATGCGCAGTAAATTTTTTTAAGCAAACCCTACCGGGGTTTTTTTTATATAAATGACAAAATAAATATAATTGTGCAAAACAATTTATTGTTTACTGTAAGTTGATAAATTAATACTTTGTTATTTGTTAGCAATTAATATAAGCTTACCGTGTAAGCTTACTGTAACCTTACAATGATTTTACCGTGTAAGCTTACAGTGCCCCTACCATGTAGGCTCATAAAATGTCAAAAAATTTTAATTTAATTCTACAATAAAATATAATGTTTAAAAATCAAGTAAATATATCATTCTAAACTTTTCTGATTTATGTAAGTAAATTTAAGATTTATACATTTTACTGATCATTTTTTGTCATATAAATATTAATCACAATTTTTTGACATTTTATGAGCCAACTTTCACGGTTTGCATACGCTAGGGAAGAATGTGTACATGAATTGTTTTATATAATTTAAATTGCATAACAAAATACGATTTCAATGAGCCTAAGAACGTTTAAAAATATTAATTTTTGCCAGAGAAATAAAAAAAATAGTAAAAACATTTAAAATTAGGTTTTTCTTAGATATCCAATTGAAAAATTAACATATTCTCTTTGTCAAGGTGTCATTTCTTTCAGAATTTTATTAACTTTAATAAAATAATGAGGAAAAAATTTTAGTTTTAATATTTTTGAAGATTTGAACAGTTTTATAGTTGTTGAAAAAGCAGAGTTCGCACAATTTCGGATGGTAGTGTAAATTAGACGACACATTTTTAAAAAAAAATTTTTTTAGGTTCAAAGTAAGGTTATTTGGCAACCTTGCTACAAGCTTACTAAGTAATCTTGCTATAATCTGATTGTGCAATCTTCTAGTAACCTTACACTGCAATCTTGCAGCAACCTTACACTGCAATCTTTCGGTAAGCTTACCATGCAAGCTTGGGTCAGGTGGCACATTTGAAGTTTACCTGCTATCTGGGTAATAATAATAATAATAAAAACACAACTACAGAATATAATCAGAAAATAATTTTTTTTTTTATTATTATACAAGAACAGCGTATAATTTCGTAAATTGTCTTATACATATAATATTGTGTTATATAGTGAATTAATATAAAAAAAACAATTTTAACTGATATGAACAATTTTTCCGATAAAACAGACTATATATATATATATATTTATTTATTTGTTTAACCTTGAATATCAACGAAATTGTTCTATTTTAGAATCAATTTTATTAAATCATTGTTATTGACATTTTAGTATTATATATGAAAAAAAATTAATAAACTTGTTTTATTTTGAACATATGTAAATATATATATTTTTTTTCTATTAAAATATAAATTTTTCATATTTAAAGACAAATTGCATATATATGTATGTTTAATAATAATAATAATAATAATAATAATAATAATAATAATAATAATAATAATAATTGTTTAATAATAATAGTGTAAAATTATTTTAAGCGTAAGTAATAGTTGTCAAATGATTAACGAGAAGACATAAATATAGATTATGTAAAGGAGAATGGAAAAGTGGATCAATTTCAGTTTTTTGGAAAATGATTTAAAAGATTCCATTTCTAAATGAAGTTTATACCAATTTATTTATATTAAAAGTTTGGTATAGAATTTTTGTAAATTTTTTTCAGAAAACTGAAATGAAATCCACTGTTGTCCACTCTTCCTTATATAAATCTAAAAAAATTTTGTTCGTTTCTTCTAAATTACTGAAGAGATTTTAATAACAATAATAATAATAGTAATAATAATAATAATAGTTAAGTTCTCACTTTTTTTTCTCTCTTTTACAATTATACCACAGAAATAATTATTTTAATTCTATAATTTTTTTGTGCAATAAAATCAATACATTTATATAATCATAAAATATTCTTTTTTGAAAAAAAAATTATCTTCAAACAAGAAATAATTTTTTGTAGAAGAAAAAAAGTTTTTTGTTTGAAGCAAAAAAAAAAAAAAAAAAAAAATGCTAATTTTTAACATATATTTTATAGAATAAAAAAAAGAAATTAACTTAGTTTTTCATTTTCTATAAAGAATAAGTGTAATTTATTTTTTTCATATTATATAAATTATATATCTATAAAAATTAGGAATTTACTGCAATAGGAATTTAAAAATTGAAAATTAAAAAGTAAAAATATTTAAAAGTTAAAGGTTCAGAAAATAAATTTCTCATCAATTAAATGCGCACATATATATAAAAAGTGCTGTATACATTTCAATAATGAACAATTATTTCACCTCTTTCTTCATCGTGAATATAAGAAAAAAAAACAAAAAAAATATTAACAAATTTCTAAACACTTTAACTTCATTATTTAGTGACCAAAAACAGTCTTCTTTTTTTCTCTATACACATAGATACTTAGTTATTACTATTAACTAAAAATAATAATAATAATAATAATAATAATAACTATTATTATTGCATCATTTTTAAATATCAGTTTTTTTTTTATCAAAAAAGCGTATAATTTGATTTCTAATTTCGAAATATATTAAACGCGAGGGGTTAAAAAAAAAGTTTTTTACACACCCAAAATTTTAATGCTATGCACAACATAGCATATGTATATAATAGCAATAAATGTTATTTAAGTAAATATTTTCTAATGTAAAAAAAAAAATAAAAAAATTAATATCAAAAAATAATTATTTATATATTTTCGAGAATCGCTTCTATTTTTTTTGAAGAGATTGAGAGACAGAGAGGAAAAGATAGAAGAGAGAATAAATCTTGATCGATATATCGATTTTCTAAATATGACACTTTATCTTCTATACTAAAAAAAAAAAAAAAAATTGTTTCTAATCTAAAAACCAAAAAAAAAATTTCCCCTCGTCTCTCATCAATTACTATAACATGCATGCAATCGAAATAGTTCTTTATTAGCAAAAGTGTAATTACACTTTTCACAAAGATGTTTCACTTCAATATTAACATTCAATTTTCCCTTTATTTTATTATTTGTCGTCGTTGTTGTTGTTGTTGTTGTTGTTGTTGTTGTCGTCATCGTCTTTGCCGGCGACGTTGTCATTGTTTCATTAATTTTTTCCAAAAAACTTAATCTATTAATGTCTTTACGAAAATTTGTTTGATTCAAATAATTCATTACTTTCATTTTACCATTGCGTAAACATAAATCTTGACTACGTAAATTTTTTGGTGAAAATTGCATTGGTAATCGTTTTAATAATTTTGATTCCTTTCCAATGTTACTAGCATTATTATTGTTATTATTATTTTTCAGTCTATTTCTCTTTAGTTCCTTATTTTTGAATCGATTTTTCCTTAATAAACTGTGATTTTTTTTATGTCCATTAATTATTTCTTTATTAATGTAAATTGTCTCAATGTTGGTGTTTTTATTTTTATTAAAATTTTTGCTGTTAACTATGGTTCCATGTTGTCTATCTTTATTAATACTTTGACAATCTTTATTTTGCCGTTCGCTAGTAACATTTTGTCCTTCTTTAGTAATATTTTGCCGTTCCCTAGTAACATTTTGCTGTTCGCTAGTAACATTTTGCCGTTCTCTAGGAACATTTTGCTGCTCGCTAGTAACATTTTGCCGTTCCCTAGTTACATTTCGCTGTTCGCTAGTAACATTTTGCCGTTCGTTACTTAAATTTTTACTCCAATTTTCTAAATTTTTAATATAATGATTATTTCCATCAATATTGCTATCAACAAATACAGTTTTACTAACATCATTAGAAAAATTTTTACCGAAATTTTGTGTTTTATTAACACTATATCCATTTTTATTGACTTCATCATGATTATTATTTCTCATTACTGTGTCTTCAATTTTATGAATATCATCACTTCGTTGAATACCAATATAAAGTTCACGCCATTCTTTTTTCTCTTGATTATTTTTTTTCTTCAACAATGATACATCGGATTTTTCCATTAGCCTCAAATCAAGTCGTACCATTTCTTCATCATCATTTTCACGTTTTATTTTTAATTGAAACGATGATTTTGTACGATCATCACTTTTTGAACGTATTTTCTTTTTCTTTTTCACATCAGTCTTGTGTTGTTTACGCGGTCTTAATGTTCTTGATGATTCTAAATCAATTGGTTCATTTTTAATAAAATCATTTGATAATATTATTGTTGGTTCTGTACTTTGTGGTCGTCTTTCTAAATCAGAATTATTTTTTCTTTTATTTGTACCAACATAATCAATTGATTGTTTACGTGGTCTTAAATTTCTCATAGATAATGATAATTTTTTACTATCATTGTCATTTAAATTTTTTTGTTTTTTCCAAATTAATTCTGTATCATTTGTTTTATTTTCCAATGAATATTTAAAATCAGTTTTAGGCCTTTTTGATAAATGAATATGTGTACAGTCTTTGGATATGGCTTCTTTTTCTTTATCATCTTCTTTTTTTTCTTCTTCTTCTTCTTCTTTTTTTCCTAATGTTGAATTTGTTTTATTATTATAAAAACATTGGCAGCGTGATGTTGTATTGGAAAATGTTGTGTAGAGTAAACATTTTTGTAAATCACTATCAATGCCACTTATTGGAAATTCAACGAGGCCAACACTTTCTAATAGTGGATCAATTTCATGTGGTTCACATTTTATTTTAACATTTTCAATTTGTACCATTGGCACACCATTTGTTGTTGTTATTTTTTTTGTTTTCTCTGTATCTTTACGCATCCATGATAATTGATTTTTTAATGCCGTATCAGTTTTTAGACATTCTATGTAAAATTTGTGAAATTCCTCAAGTTTATAGCTACAACGATGACAAATGTGTTTTGGTAGAAGGTCCATCTCGTGCACCTGAGGACAAAAAAAAATAGGAATAAATTAATATACTTAAGGGGGTAAAATTACAACTAATTTTAATTAGGCAAGGTAAGGGGTTTAATTTTTACAGCTTATATAGGGAGATTTTGACTTCCGTCCGTTTGTCCGTCCGTGCTGACTTAGGCATTTAGACTTAGTTTTTTAAAACAAATTTTTAATATATAGAATTTAAGTTAGGTTATTGAGCTGAAGAACGTAACGTTAATTGTTTAACGGTTACAAAAACCAATTTATTAAAGTTTGTTCAAATATTAATCATTACCAATCGAAAGAGCATAAAAAAATGTGTCAGAATCCATGAGTTTTATTCCAAATTTGATGTCGGAAAGATATGAAAAATCAAAATTAATTTAACCTTTCTCAAACGTTAACGATTGCGTTATCGGGTGCTTATTAAATTTTGATTTTTTATATCTTTCCGACATCAAATTTGTAATAAAACTCATGGATTCTGACATATTTTTATATGCTCTTTCGATTGGTAATGATTAAAAATTGAACAAACTTTAATAAGCGCCCGATAACGCGATTGTTAACGTTTGAGAATAAGCTATAACTTCTTCAATATTTTAATTTTTCATATCTTTCCGACATCAAATTTGGAATAAAACTCATGGATTCTGACATATTTTTATATGCTCTTTCGATTGGTAATGATTAAAAATTAAACAAACTTTAATAAGCGCCCGATAACGCGATCGTTAATATTTAAGAAAGGTTAAATTAATTTTGATTTTGATTTTTCATAACTTTCAAACATCAAATTTGGAATAAAACTCATGGATTCTGACACATTTTTTTATGCTCTTTCGATTGGTAATGATTAAAATTTGAACAAACTTTAATAAATTGGTTTTTGTAACCGTTAAACAATTAACGTTACGTTCTTCAGCTCAATGTTAGGTTTAGATAATTTTGTCCCATTTTCACTGCCATGAAATTTAGGGTGAAAAAAAGTCTTAGAATAGGGGCTATAAAAATTTTCTCTATTAGCAATAGCAGTATATGCATTAAATACTTAGAAAAAAAAATGTTTAATTCCAATCAATAATAATAATAAATTATTGTCTAAATGGTTAATTATTAAACTCTATATGGAAATGAAATATATTATATAGGCATATAGAAACAGGTTTAATGTACAATGAATACAGTGAACCTGTTCCACGCAGTAGAAAAGATTATTTTAAGTCAGACGAGAGCTTCATACTCAACAAAACTTATATATGAAAATTTTAAAATTATTCAATATAGAAAATAATTACTAATAATAATAATAATGAGATATATACATCGAAAAAAAAATTCTCAAATTTAGAATATATACTTGGGACCTATTTTAGAATATTTTATACTTGAATTCAGTGTGTAATATTCTTAAAATTAGAATATATTCTTAAAATTAGATTATATTCTTAAATTTAGAATATATTCTTAGTATTTAGAATATATATACTAATTTTAAGAATATTACATACTAAATTTAAGTATACAATGTTCTAAAACAGTATAACAGACACGCGAATAAAATAACAAATATGCGTAAATAAAATAAAGTCTGTAATGAATAAAAAGATTTCGATTGTTATTTATTGAATTAGAATGAGAATATTAAGTAAAGTATTAGTATTTTTAAGTATTATTATTATTATTATTATTATTATTATTATTATTATTATTAGTATGATTATTAAAAAAGTATTTTTTATGTTACATTTATTGTATATTTGAAAGAAAAAATTCCTTATTACTCGAGCAATAATAATTAACTACTTTATTTAATAAGAATGTTTAATAAAAACATACGATGTAAGCACTTTCTAAACATTATAAATGTATACTATTATTGTACATAGCTGTGTAAGAATATGAGTTAGTTTCTAAACACCAGAAATTTGCAAAACTAGTATTTTCTAATAATCAAGCATTTAATAATAATAATAATAATAATAATAATAATAATAATAATAATAATAATAAAAATACTAATAATAATAAAAATAATTATTATTCTGCGTTATCAATTTTTCAAAAAAATTATAAAAACGATTATCAATGTCAAAGCGAAATTAACAGCACACCATAAGAAGGAAAAATAATTGTTTCTTATTATAATAATATAATATAATTTTTATATGTCATTTTATCTATTAATTATATTAGACAACTTTAAGTTATGAAAAAAGTTAAAATAATAAATAAATAAATATATTAATTATTATGAATATATATCCCATGTGCGAAAACCAACATGGGTCAATATTGGCCCAGTATTGTCAAATCGGGCACCAAGTCTTGGCAGACAATATTGGGCCAACTCTTGTGGTGTTAACTGAGGTTGGACGTCGGCAGCCAAGTATCAGACGTTATTACTGGGCCAATCTTCGCTGCCATTAGTGGACCAGTATTGTCAAAATTTAAAAAAGTTTAAAAAATTATAATAATTAATTAATTAACTAATTAATTCATTATACATTTATAATTCAAGTTCTGACAGAAAGGATAATTGTTTAAACATTTGAAAATTTGTAACGCTCACGGGAATCGAACTCGCAACCTAACGCACCGAAGTCTAACACGCTAACCACTACACTATACGCGGATATGGGAATCTCAACACAAAAATGTTTTGATAAGCTGCATTTTAGAAACATTTCAGCCGTTAATGCGCCATTACTGGGCCAAGATTCGTTCCAACTTTGGAAAAAATGACTTGTCAAAATAAATTCAATATTTCAGCCGTCAATGAGCCAATAATGAGACAGAGTTCGTCTCAATTATGGAAAAGTAGAATTACCAAGTATTGGTGCCAATATTGGCCCAGTAGTGTGACGAAGTTCGGCCCAATTATGGCAAATTGGAGTAACTGAGACGCAGTGCAAATATTGGCCCAGTAATGGGACAGAGAAGGCACAATAATGGCAAATTAGAATAATCGAGAAACGGTGCCAATATTGGCCCAATAATGGGACGAAGTTCGACCCAATTATGACAAATTAGAATAACTGAGACGCAGTGCCAATATTGGCCCAGTAATGGGACGGAGAAGGCCCAATAATGGCAAATTAGAATATTCGAGAATTGGTGCCAATATTGGCCCAATAATGGGACGAATTGATCGCCAGTACTGGTCCAGTAACGTTTGCCATTGTCACGTCTGTTTCATTTTAGTTAATAATATACATAATGAGAAATAAATAATTGAGTCAATAATAATTTTACATAGTCATATAATAATCTGTAAAATTGTAAAACTGTATAAAAATCAGTCATTACTTAAATTTTAAAACATATTTTTTCTATATACATATATATATATATATATACATAATTATGAAACATGTACCTTTAATTAATTTTGAAATTTGAATTTAAAAATATTGTGTTAAATTAATTGAATATTTAAAAGGAATTTACTGGAAAAAGACAATTTTTAAGAAAACTTTTGGGTTGAATTTGGTTAAGGCGCCACCGTAATTTAATTACTTTTAAAAAAAAAATATAGAAAATAGTAACACACATTTAAAAGAGAGAAAAGTGCACTAGAATTCTGGGAATATAAATAAGTGGAACAAAACAAGTGGTCGGAATAATAACGAGAGAAAAAAAATACGAAATAAAACAAAATCTGAGAAAGCTATTTATACATAGTACACAAAAATAACCGTTATATAGAAGTTCCGGGAAAAGAAAAAACCCATATAAAAAAAAATAATAAGTGAGAGAAAAAAATTCGTAATAATAAAATTGTATTTTATAGTAGAGAGAGAGAGCGTGAGAGACTTTAGGGTGGAATAAGGCACAAAGATAATAATATTGGCGGGAAAACGAAGAAGCGCGTGTTGTGTTGTCAATTGCATTTACTTAAATGTAATTCCCCAGGGACCTCCGTTGAGAAAGAGAGAATATCAAGGAAGCTATACAAATTTTCAAGGCTCATTCTCTCCCACCTCTTTTCTCTCTCCTTCTCCCTACTCAATATTTAACAAATAATAAATTCTTATGGAACAACGCAAAAGAAACAATGGAATTGTCCAATTTTATGTGTAAATAAATCAAAAAATTACGTAATTGAAAATTTTTTTTTTTAATAATTCATAATAGAATTTATTATCAACATCTAAATATAAGTGGAGAGAATAATGAATTCCTTGTTAAGTTCCCAGAGTGAGAGAGAGAGAAAGAGAGAAATGGGGATCGATTCAAAAAGCTTGAGGTCACAGGGAGTTGAGAGTCTCTATTTTACATACATCTACATACAAAGAAGGAAATATTTTTTAAAAAAATGAGATTGCGCATAAAATTTTTTTTAAGGGCGGGGGTAGAGAAATTATTTTTCCTTTTTTTTGGCGCGGGTATACAAAACACTAGGGACACACTGTCTGACACTTACCAAAATAGGTAGGATTGCATTGATTTTCTTGAAATGGTTGTCATTTTTATCGAATATATCGATAGAGATACCCGAATGTTTTCCACAGAGTCGACACACGCGACTCTTTTCAAGGGTTTCCATCTCGCGCGTCACAAAATTTGTGTTGCTCACCACTGACACAACAACAAACACAACCCACACGCACACAGCCTGTTGCCTTGACTGCGATGATTTTCCTCTATAAGCGCGCTTTCAATATAATAATAAACGTGTGCGCTATACGCTTTTTCGCTTCTCTATCACCGCACCTTTAACAGTCACTCTCTCACCGAATCGTTGAATTCAGTCAGTCAGTCTCACTCCACAATTCTGGAAATGAACACCACACACAATAAAACTTCTGTTAGGTGAAATCTGCCGTAAGGAGCGACCTCGTCATTTTCTTTTCCCCCCTATAGAACCTTCTCAATTTGTCGGTAATAGAGAAATCTACCTTTTCCGTTCGTAACGTTTCTTGTTTCTTTTTTTTTTTTTTTTTTAAAAAAACAATATTAGAAAAAAAATTTAAATAGTTTTTATTTATTACTTAATAAAATAAAAATTATAGTTTAGAAAAAATTAGTTGAAAAAAAAGAAATTAACTAACTGTCAAATTTTGAATTTACCGCGGAAAATTCTTATTGGCGCAACATTCACCAATTGTATATCTCCATTTCTTTCTCCTTTTTCTAAGAATTGTCAAATAGGTTAGAAAATGGATAAGACTTGACTGAGTCATAACAAATTCTCAGCTGATCAATCAAGTTTTTTTGGTTTTTAATTATTATCAAAAATAAAAGTACCCAAAAAAAGGGGCTGTAAATTTTAATATCGCGGGAGAAAAGCAAAAAGTGGTACAAGTGTTGATTTTTTGGGAATTATAACTTAAGTGGATTTTGTTAAAAAAGAAAACAAAGTTTTTATTTTTGGACTTTTTAAGGTTATTTTCTTTTCAGTTTGACACAACGGGGGCCGAACAATCAGCAATGTCCGTCTCTCAGATGGAAAGTATCCTTTTTTTAGTGATTCAATTTTTCTATTTTTTTGGTAAAACAAAAATTTCATTTTTTTACAATTAGAATTTTTTTTAATGAAGATGACATCGAAAAAATGAATCAGTTACATTTTCAAGGTCATTTTCATTGTTTTATTTCACAAGAATTTTGCTCTTGAACTTTTTTTTTCAATTTTCCTTATTTTTTTATTTCAGGTATATTATATTATGTTATATTATATTATATTATATTATATTATATTATATTATATTATATTATATTATATTGCAATTAAACTGCATACCAGAAAACTGCACACACTAAACTGCGTACAATAAAAGTACATACGAGTTACTTAAAAAAAAACTTTTTTTACTTAAAATTATAAACTGAATAGAATGAACACAAGTTCAAACTTTAACATAACAAACACACAAAATTTGTAATGAATTCGATTATTATTTATTAAATATTAAAATATAAATTCTAAATTAAAAATTTAAAGACTGATCACGCGTTCGATTACATTTAAAATTTATTTTTTTAACTGTAAAATTTAAATTTAAAAATTCGGATTTAATTTTGATAATATTATTATTAATTATTACGTTAGAGTAAGTGTACTAATTACGGCGCGTTCATAAAAAAATAATTATTATTACTATTATATTTAATATAACTGTTGCAAAATGATTTAAAAAAATTATTTTAATCTTTTTTTTTGATACGTTTCAATTACGGCGGGCAAAGTGTCTTTAAAATACACGTAATTTTGGTCACCGAAACTGATACAAACGCGTAGTAATAGAAAATTACGGTATATTAGTTTTAATTTCTCATATTTGTTGAAATAATCGATTTTTATAAAGTTAAATTTTTTTTTTTAATATCTGAATAACATAAGCTTTTAGTTTAATAAGTATTTTGACTCGAATCGCGCCGTAATTAGTACATTTACCCTATATTATTGTTTTTGTTTTATATCTTTTGTTTTTAAAAAATTACTTAATTTTGAAATAAATTTCCTTAATAACACAAAAAATAATTTAGAAAATCTTTTTAATCTTAAATTCGCCGTTAAGGAATTGGAGAGAAATTCAAAAAAATGCGAAAAAGAAGAAAAAATTGAGAAGGGCAAAATAAAAAAAGCCATTCAAAAGGGTAATATGGAGGGTGCAAGAATACACGCAGAAAATGCGATAAGACAAAAAAATCAGGCATTAAATTATTTACGAATGAGCGCAAGAGTTGATGCTGTTGCAAGTCGTGTACAAACAGCATTGACAACACGTAAAGTGACACAATCAATGGCCGGTGTTGTTAAGGCAATGGACGCTGCAATGAAATCAATGAATTTGGAAAAAATTTCTGGACTCATGGATAAATTTGAAAGTCAATTTGAAGATTTAGATGTACAAAGTTCATATATGGAGAATGCAATGTCACAAACAACAACGACAAATGTACCACAAAATGATGTTGATTCATTAATGCAACAAGTTGCCGATGAGGCTGGGTAAATTTTTTTCTACTTTTTAAATCTAGTTATAAACTATTTTGAGCCTAGATTGAAACTATTTAGAACCTACATTAAAACTACTTTGAGCCTACATTGAAACTACTTTGAGCCCATTTTGAACCTTTTTTAACCCTATTTACAAACTATTTTGAGCCTATATTGAAACTATTTAGAACCTACATTGAGCCTATTTTAAACCTACATTGAAACTACTTTGAGCCTAGTTTGAATCTATATTAAACCTTTTTTTACCCTAATTTCAAACTACTTAGATCCTAAATTGAAACTATTTTAAACCTATTTCTTAATTTGCAGATTGGAACTAAATATGGAACTTCCATCTGAAAATTTGAGTAGTATAGGATCGACGACAACTTTATCGCAAGAACAAGACGAGTTAACTCAACGATTGGCTCGTCTTCGGGAATAGTGAATTTAAAAAATAAAATTACGCCCTTATTCCCATTTTTCTAAGTGTATATTAAAAATAAATTTTAGTTTGTTAATGATTTTATTCTTGAACTGAAAGCACTTTTAGGCTCACGCACGCTTCGAAAATGAAATCGCCGATTTTTGTTCGTGAGAGAAATATTTTTTTTATATAATAATAATAATAATAATAATGATAATAAATATATATATATTAAAAGTTCTTTGCTCGATGAAGGTGTATTAATAACAAAAAATAATTTGTATCGCAAATTTAAAAAAAAAGTTGCTAATATATTATAATTATTGCTAATAATATATATATATATATATATAAATATAATCTACATTGATTTTGTAGAAATAATTAATTGCCTCTTAATTTTTCAAATCTTTTACTTTTATTCATTATTTGTCTATATTTTACATATATTTTACTTTTGAATAATTTTTCATTTATTTAAACAGGTACGTTCAAATCTTTCACGGTAAGTCATTTTTTTTGGACATATAACACTTATTGAGTCCCTTTCATTGATGTGAGTTGCTTTATATAATAAATTATCGATACAATTGATAAATTCTTTTACTTCGGGTTCACATTTTAATGTGTCATCTTTCATAAAAGTGTAGCAATCTATAATCTTTAAAGTTAAAGAGAGAATATTATTTTTTAAAGTAGTATTTTTATACACAAGGGTGTAGAAAATAGCTTTTTCCACACTAGGGACAAAAAAAGACATTTATAAGATCTCGAGCTGTAATAGAGGAACTTTTCTCCCTAGGGTCTGAAAAGTAACTATTTTATACCCTAAGGGAAGAAACAGAAATATTTTTATGAGAAAATTAGAATTTTTCTCCCAAGAGTTAGAAAAATGGCTATTTTGCACCCTTGGGATATAATAGGGATACTTTGTAAACTAGGGACAAAAGACGATATTTTTCTCCCTAGAGTAGAAAGTGTCTATTTTGCACCATTGGAGTAAAATACGATACTATTTGTAAACTAGGGCCAAAAGTCGGTATTTTTGTCCCCAGGGCCATAAAAAAGTCAAAAAAATATTGTAATTTTTGAGGCAATATACCTTCTTCTTGTCCACAGGGCAAGTTGTAACAAGTTTTTCATTAGTATAACTGGAAAGAGAATTTAAAATTTTTTGTGCTTCTGCAATATCGAGATTTTTTTCAATACTGTGATTACGATCAATTTCTGCTAATTTATTAATCCAATTTTCTTCATCGTCATCGTCATTTGAATCTTCAATTTTTTCTTCTTGTACGTGTCCTATAATTATATTTAATGAAAAAAATAAAAATATTTTTAAAAAAGTCTATAGAAATAAAAAAGAAATTTTCGGGAAATAAAACTAAATAATTTTTTTGGTTAGAAATAAATTAATCCACACCTTTATTTAAGGACATAAATAATGTACATATATATCTCATATATAATATAGAAAATGTAGGAGAAAATTTTTATCTCGAGTTTTTTTTTTAAACTATAAAACAACGAGTATAAATAATATAACCTTTTTGTAGACGTTGAGCGACTAAATGACTAATCTTCATGAAATTTCGCGGTTGATCATTGGAACGTGAAATTTCATTATTTAGAGAATTATTATTTACGTTCGAATTTGATCCTGATTTATTCATTTTTTCTTAAACTTTAAAATTTTTTTCTTAATTTTGGTATTTTTTTCAGATTCTATTAATTCTAAAATTGGAATATTATAAGGAATTGTCAATTTCCAAGAAAAAAAATTGACTTTTTTTGCACGCAGTCTTTTGTTTTTTTTTCACTATTTCTCACTGTACTTATAAATTGTTTGCAATTTTTCTCTAACAGCTATATTTTTATATACATTTTATATATCTATAGACAAATTCCAAAAATTAACATATTTTTATGATAGTTTTTGAAACTATCATATTTTTTTTTGATAGTTTGCAAAACTATCATATTTTTATGATAGTTTACAAAATTATATTTTTTATGATGGTGGGACCCATCCACCAAAAACTTTTTCCAATTCTCTAGCTACGGCAAGACAAAGATGATCGTTGTATGGAGCAGCAACAACCTGAAAAAAGTAATTTTTTTTACTAAAAATAACTAATAAATAAACTACTATTTTACTAATTGAATATTTATTTTTTTTAGATACCTGAATTCCAGTTGGCAGGCCATTTCGATCTAATCCCATTGGCACTTGACAAACCGGAAATCGTAGTGCATTAAAGAGACAAAAATAACCAAAATTAAATGGTTTCAAATATGATGCATAATGATAGGGAACAGCATTTGGTAACGATGGATAGAGAAGTATTCCATTATCATTAAGTTTATCTAATAAATATTTTTGCAAATTTAAAGTTATATATCGTGCCCAATCTCCATTTTCCTGTGGTAAAAAGTCCATATCGGCTAATTTGAGAATTGCTGCCAATGTTAATTCCGATTGGCAACTCGCTAATTTCATCACTTCTGTTTTTGCACTAGCAACACTCTACAAGGTAAAAAAATAATATAATAATAATAATAATAATAAATTTGTCGTCAAAACATTTTTTTTAACCTTTCTATTTGTTATTAGATGGCGAAAATCACCCTTCTCCTGTGTCATCCAATACCTCCACAGGCGGTAACTATATTCAGAACCCGGCATTTTGATCTGCAAGAGATTATTATTATTAATTTGTGTACAAGCGCCTTAAAAATGAAAATTTATAAAAACCTTTGTTGCAGATCCAGTGAGTTGTTCAAAATGTCGAACAGCCTTCATTAATGTAGACCTTACTTCTTTACTGACTAAACTTGATCGAATATCACCCGAGGAAACTTGATAAAAAACTTTTAAATTCTTCAAGTCAACCCTCGTGTCTAATCTCAACATGGAAATATTTTCACCAATTAAAACTCGTAAAAGTGGCTCAAGATCTTCGGCATTTTTACATATTGGTCCAGCACTAACCATTGTGTCTTTAGAATTTTCCATTCTCATTCCAATGCCTTTACAAGACGTCACTCCTGCAACATTTTTATAATAATGGTCACATCGCTGGTATGTAAAAGTCGTAGATTATGAAAGTGTGAAATTTGTTTTTTTTTCGCAAAATGAAAAAAAAACTCATCAGAGAAAAAAAGTTTGGTTCTTTATAACGCTGCTAAAAAAATATGAATCGCAAAAGGAAATCTATCATCAGAAAAGAAAAGTTTTGTTTCTTCATAACGCTGCTAAAAAATATGGGTATAAAAATACCTGGAATTTTTTTTCTCGCATGTAAAACTTATATTTTTAGGTGGTAATTAATGTCTTCCTCTACTTTTATTGGGGTGTAAATTTTTTTCTACACTTTTAGGTGGTAATTGTTTCTCGCATGAATTGGTGGTTTTGTTTTTTGCATGTTGCATGAATTTTTTTTTGAGGTTAGGAAAAAATTTGTTGTGCCTCTTTTTTAATGTAAATTATTAGTTTAGAGTATTTTTGAATATGTCTTTGTATTGAAAATTTTAATTTCTCGTAGGACGTAGTTTACGATATCTTAATTTTAAAGTTTACGATAACGTAGAAAAAGTCAATTTGAAATATGTCCCTGCGTATTTTGATAATTCAGCTCATTGGAAATTTTTTCCTAGCCTCAAATTCTATTTTCTTTCTTTTTTTTTTGTGTAAAAAATCGCATGTTTTAAAAATGGTTTATAAAATAGAATTTAAAGCAAACCTTCACTGGGTTTAAATCCAAAAATCCCATTGCAAAAAGCGGGAATTCGTGACGAACCACCAATATCGCTACCAATTGAAATTGCTGTACCACAAGCGGCAACAATAGCACCCTCGCCACCACTACTTCCACCAACTGTTCTCGTTGTATTGTAAGGATTATTTGTTTGTCCATAAACATTATTTCGCGATTCAATCCATAAATTCATTTCGGGAATATTTGATTTTGCAATTATTATTCCTCCGGCTTGTTTCAATAATTCCACAACCGTTGCATCTTCCGTTGAAACATAGTCACGTCTGCACATCATTCCCATTGTATGCTTCATACCTTTATATTTAAAAATAAAATTAGGCAAACATTTTTTTCTCTAAATTTAAAATTAATAAATTTTTGCTGTTTTTATGTTAGTAGCACCTTTTGCTTCATTGCTCTCTTTTGTTGTAAATGGAACACCAAGATATGGTTTTGTTTTCTTCAGTATTTCTCGGTCCACATCTGTCTTTAATAATTTATCCACCTCCTGTGCCTCTTTTATTGCATCCTCGTAACATTCCACAACAATTGCATTTAACAAACCATTCACCTCTTTGCATCTATCAATGAAGGTGCGAACTACTTTTTCTGATGTTACAGTTCCTTCTCTGAAATTATTTTCAAATGTCAAAAATTTAATTATTGTAAATTATGAGTAATGTATATAAATATAGTTGTAATTATAACTATAACTATAATTAAAATTATGAATAATGATATAATTATAGATACATAATTATATAAAGATTTAAAATTTTTTTTAAATTTACCTAATTTTCTTTGCTAAACTGACGCCACTTTCCAGTAATAGTTGATCATTTACTGGAGGTACTCGTCTCACTTTACTGTCATAATAGAGACTAAAGCAAAAATCGACAATAATGTCAAAAAGCCAATGTATCTGGACAATCATACATTTCATAAAATCCACTGCTATTTGCTTTAGCATTATTGCTAAGGATCCTTGATTTGGAACCGTTTTATTCTGTATACAAAACAGTAAAATTATTATTAAACAATTCCAAAAAAATAGAATCAAAAATCGTTAAAATTTTTTTTAAATTCAGTTAATTTTAATTCAGTTTCGTTTTATAAGAAAATTTAACTTTTAGGGTTTTAAAATATATTATCGATAGACATAGGGGGGTTTTTTTTTAACAAATTTAAATTTAGATCTATATTTTTAGTTTTCTATATGTGACGTTCCATGAGGAAAGGGACCTTAGCTGCAATAGACGCATTTTCCAGAAAAGGTATTTAAAGTAGAGCGTCCCTGATTGGTTGAGACCCTCCATCGAAAATCAGCCCCACCACCTTACTACTACATCGTTCCTACAGCTCACGCTTACGACAAGTATACTAGTGTAGAAGTGGTGGGGATGGTTTCTGTAGTCCGTGCTGGAACGCGATTAACATGGTCATGATTAATGCTTTATAACAAAAAAACTAAATAGAAAAGTACAATTTTTAACTTTTGTATCTGAAAGAGCAACTCAAGATCTATCGACTGATATCAAAAACTCAATTTTCATTTTTTTGCAGCTAAGGTCCCTTTTTTCATGGAACGTCACATATAAAGAGAAGATGTAAAAGAATTGAGATAAAAAAAAATTTTTTTTTTTCACCTCGCTGTAATATGGAAGTTTGAATAGGAATATAAACTCGAAAATTATTGAAATTTTTGTTATAAAGAATATATTAACAATAAATTTTAAAAAGGACAAGGAAGGTTTTAGGCTAATAATAATTATCATAATAAAATTACAATTTTATAATTGTATATTATTAATTACTATACAATATTAATAACTCTATAGTAATAAATACTATACAATATTAATAATTGTATAATAATAATTACTATACAATATTAATAACTAAAATTATTTAAAAATACTGATATAATTATAATTGTAAAAATAAACTTAGTTTGTTGAAAAAAATTATAAAAAAAAATTCCAAAAAATTGTTTCTAATTCATATATGTCGTTGATTCAGGAACTTTCTTATTAAATATAATTATATATATTTGAAGGTTAAGTTGATACACTCAATTTTGATAGCATATACTAAATAAAATATTATTTAATCAAAAAAAAAAAAAAAAAAAAAATGAAACCGAAAAAAAATTGTTGTTACCCTAAAAACTGCAAAATCATTCGTCTTAATTTTGTATTTCTAATTTAAATTGCTAATTAAGTATTAAGGAAAAATAAGAAATACTTTTTTCAGTTTAAAAATATTGAAAGAGACTCACCTTATTTCTGACATTAGAGCACATGATTTTATTTTTCAGAGATTTTAATATAAAAAAATGTGACCTAAAACTTTTTTTTTAAATTAAACACACTTGGCAAATAATTTATTATCACATTGCGATTAAAGTTTACATGAATTTGTGTTTGTCTATATATGATAAGAACGTATATATAATCGACTCGATAAAGTCTACTATATGTATTTTGCTTCACTAGGTGTAACTTTCTCTCCTTGCGCAGAACGAATGCTCACAACAAGAGAGTCAAAATTTGTATGTATATTTATGTTTCTTTTTTTTTTTTTAGAAACAGGTGGTTTTATTCCTCTACGCAACGAAACGGAAATTTAATAGAGGGGAAATACTAATTTAGGGCTAGAGAGAATTATTTTTTTTTAACAAATAAAATTTTTATACTTATTTTATGTCCATTTTATTTTATATGAAAAAAAATTTTTTTTAATTTTAATTATTCTATTAAGTATTATTAAAAAAATTTGTTATTATAAAAACACCTCATTGTATATATATATATATATATATATATATATATATATTGTTATTAAAAAATAGAAACGAAAAAAAACCACTAAGAAGGTGGAACGTATCCTCCAAAAGCTGTTTCTAATTCTTTGGCAACTGCAATGCAAAGATGATCATTTTTTGGTCCAGCAATTATCTAAAAATTGTTTAAACAAAAAATAATTAAGATTTTTAAAATTCTAATTTTTAAAATTTATATTTTTAAATTTACTTTTTAGTACCTAGTACTTAATTTTTTATTAAATTTTTTTTTTAAGTTACTTATATTTTTTTTTGTACCTGTATGCCAATTGGTAATCCATCTTTATCGAGTCCAAGAGGCACATTACAAGCCGGTAATTTTAATGCATTAAATAATCCCAAATAGAGAAAATTAAATAGTTTGAAAAATGATTCATTATGATGAAGAACACGAGTTGGTAATGTGGGATATAACAATACACCATTGTCACCAAGTTTTTCCTAAAAAATAATTTTTTAATTTTTAATATAAATTACTTTTATTTAAAATAATTAATATTTAAAAATTAAAAAAAAATACCGTGAGAAAATTCAGAAGAATTGTAGTTAATTCTTTCACATATTCTTCATTTTCCGGAGGCGTTACATATGTGTCAATCAATAAAATCATGGTACCCAATGTCACTTTTCCTCGGCCAGTTAAAATATTCAAAAATTCTTTGCCAATATTTACACGACCCTAAAAAAACAAAAAAACAAATAAAATAAAAAAACAAAAAAAAAATAATAATACCCCCGATATAATAAATAAATTTTAATAAATAATCATTTTTTTCTAGTAATATATTTTCAACCAACTCACTTGTCTATTTGTCAAATCATAACAAAAATCTTTTAAATCTCTTGTTTTCCAGTGTCTAAAGATTTCTAAACTTTTCTCAGATCCTGGCATTTTAATCTGCAAATTGTGTAAAATTTTTTTTTTATTTTTGTAAATTATAATTTATTTATAAGAAATAAAAAAAAAATTAAATTCCTATAGAAATAAAAAAAAACCTCAGTTGCAGATCCTGTAACTTCTTTAAGATGATTCACAGCCTTCATTAAACTAGATTTAATTATTTTAGAAACTTTACTTGTTATCAAATCTTCAGAGGATAATTGATAAAAAATATTTAATTTTTTCACATCAACATGTGAATCTAATTTCTTGAAATTAACTAATTTTCTTCCTGAAATAACTTTGAGGAGTGGTAAAAGGTCCTCTGCTTTTTTACACATTGGACCGGCTTCAATAATTGTATCCTCATAATCTTCTTCAATCATATTTACACCTTTAATTGATGTTGCACCTTTAAAAAGCAAAAAAAAAACTGTTTTTTTAACGGTTACATTAAACTTACATTAATGTTATATAACGGTTACCAAAGTGTTACCGTTACTGTTACTGTTACTGTTACTGTTACTGTTACTGTTACTGTTACTGTTACTGTTACTGTTATTGTTATTGTTATTGTTATTGTTATTGTTATTGTTATTGTTATTGTTATTGTTATTGTTACTTAACACAAAGTTACTGTAAGTAACACAAATGTTACTTAATTGTTACCTCCACTCGGTTTAAGACCAAAAATCCCATTGGAAAATGCAGGAATCCTAATGGAACCACCGAGATCTGTACCAATTGCAATTGGTGTACCGCTTGCACCTAAAAGTGCCCCATCACCTCCCCCACTACCCCCCGCCGTTCTCGTTGAATTATAAGGATTATTTGTCTGTCCATAAACTTTATTTCTTGATTCAATCCACGAACACATTTCAGGAATATTTGTCGTTGCAATTAATATGCCACCTGCTTCTTTTAAATTGGCAACAACTTCTGCGTCTTCCGTTGCAATGTGATCTTTTCTTGCCAAAATACCCATAGTATGTGGCATTCCTGTTAATATAAAGGAAAATAAATTTTTTTTTTAATTATTCATATTTTAGGTTATAAATTATGCTGTTAAAATCTATTTTACTGTAGAGTTACATAAGTGTTACATAACGTCTACGTAACATTAGGTAACATTTAAGTAACAGTTGTGTAACACTAGGTAACATTCAAGTAACAGTCATGTAACATTTATGTAACATTACGTAATGTACCTACTATTACTTAAATGTTACATAACTGTTACTTAAATGTTGCATAACTGTTACTAAGTTAACTAGTACCTTAGTTAACTACTACCTTAGTTACCTAGTACCTTAGTTACCTAGTACCTTAGTTACCTAGTACCTTAGTTACCTAGTACCTTAGTTACCTAGTACCTTAGTTACCTAGTACCTTAGTTACCTAGTACCTTAGTTACCTAGTACCTTAGTTACCTAGTACCTTAGTTACCTAGTACCTTAGTTACCTAGTACCTTAGTTACCTAGTACCTTAGTTACCTAGTACCTTAGTTACCTAGTACCTTAGTTACCTAGTACCTTAGTTACCTAGTACCTTAGTTACCTAGTACCTTAGTTACCTAGTACCTTAGTTACCTAGTACCTTAGTTACCTAGTACCTTAGTTACCTAGTACCTTAGTTACCTAGTACCTTAGTTACCTAGTACCTTAGTTACCTAGTACCTTAGTTACCTAGTACCTTAGTTACCTAGTACCTTAGTTACCTAGTACCTATACCTAGTGTTATGTAAGTGTTACATAGCTGTTAATTAAATGTTACCTAATGTTACGTAAGGGTTACATAACTATTACGTAACTGTTATAAAACTGTTACATAAAAATTATATAACAGTTAGTTTTGCTGAAATTACTATATTTAAATAACTAACCTTTAACAGTATTACTCTCTTTCATAGTAAAAGGAACACCCAAAAATGGTTTCTTTTCTTTTAGCATTTCCCTATCGACATTTTCGTCTTTCAAAAATTCATCAACTTTTTTTGCCTCTCCAATTGCATCTTGAAAACGTTCATTGGCAACTGCATTGATAATTGTATTCACTTCCTTACATCTTTCAATAAATGCCTTTACAACCTCTTCGGATGTTAAATTTCCATTTCTACATGTACATAAATAACAAAAAAGAACTTAGAAAAAATAAAAATTAAATTAAAAAAACCATTTTAAAATTTTGTCACATTTTACCCCTCCGCCCCCCCCCCCACGCGAGTGTCATATTACCCCATTGCTATTATCACATTACCTCCATTTTTTATTTTGAAACGACATTTTAGATTTTCTTCACACTTTAACCCCAAAATTTAATGATAATTTACCCCGTTTATGTGTCACATCACCCCCACTTGATATATAAAATTGTCCTAAAAAAAACTTTTCTTTTTTTTTTTTACCTGATTTTTTGAGCAAGTGAAATTCCACTTTCGAGTAATAATTGATTTTTTATTGGCGACACTCTTTTAACTTTATTTTTATTGTAATAAAATTCAAAGAACAAATCAATAGCGTAATCGAATAAACAATGAATTTGCACAACGACACATCGTAAAAATTGTAATAAATATTTTTTTACACCTCCACATACACCTTCGTTCGTATCCATGTTATTCTGAAAAATTTAAATTCAATATATTATATATATTATATTATTTTAATAAAAAATATTTTGTTTCGAATTTTAGAAAATTATAATATAATATATAAACAATTATTTATATACAAAATTTACCATACTCACAGTATTGCAACACATATTAATATCTAAACTGAATATTAAAACAACTATATTAAACCGGTTTTATTTTATATTCACAATTTATAACATTATTTACAAAAAAATTATTAAAAAGGAATGTATTATATACTCTATTTATATATATAATTCACTTTTAAAAATATAACATAATTAATTTTTTGAATATAAAAATTGATTATAAAATAAAAAAAAATAAAAAAAAATTTTTTTTTACTATATGTTACGCTGGATATTAATATTATAAAATTCTACTTTGCACATAAAACATTCAAGTTGGTGCAAAGTGCGTGTACCGAATGATGATGAGTATATAATTTCTTATGCAATCACTTATACATTTAGACGAATACAAAAATTGACCAGTCACAATTCAACTCCAACGGAAAATACTATTTTTATCTCTCATATATATATACATTATAATAAAAATCTTTTAATTTCTTCTTTTATACTGCTTGCGTCCTCCAAAACAAAAAAAGAAGAAAAAAAAAGAAAAATCTGCTGAATATTTAAAAATAATTAAATTACGTTTATAGAATTTTAATAACAATAATAATAATAATAATAATTATTATTATTATTATTATTTTTAACATTTATTATATATTTTAAATTAAATAATAATATAATAGAATTTATTACTTGGTAAAAAAATTTTTCAGATGTAAAAATCAATATTCTCCAGGTTATAAATTTTTAATTTTATGTCAATGCGATACAATTGTGTTTAGTTAACTGAAGACAAATATTAATCATAAAATCAATTTATTTATAAAGAAAAAATAATAAGGGTCATTAAACTTTTTCGAAATACAAGATAATAGTTAAATAATGTAACAAAGTATATAAATATAATATATTATAATTTTCTTCATTTCTATTTAAATACCATCACATTAATTTTCGATTAAATAGATATTAGATCCTCCTATTGAAATTTTGACATTTTTTTTTTTGATAATTTTCGAAAATATCCTAATGGCACAATTATAATAAAATTTGTAAAAGAAAAAAATTTATAAAATATAACGCTCCACCTCGCAACTTTTTTCTTCTTTAAAATATTTTCCAATATGAAATTTTATATTTTTCTTTATATTTACTAATCAATTCGATGGCACGCATCTAATAATAAGTATGTTTTTAATTTTTAACACTTGTATTAAATTTTTAATACAATTTTCAATTTTTAGGTTAAGTCTCCACCTCGCGACTTTTTTTGTCTATAAAATCTTCTCTTAGTGTAATTTTGTTATTTTTTTTTTTTTTATTTTCGAAAGTATCTCGATATTGCACAAGTATAAGAAAATTTGCAAAACAAAAAAATTTATAAAATAATAATTATAAAATAATCACTAAAAAAAAAAAAACATTAGAATTTTTAATTTTTCTATGGCGGGGAAACAACAGAGGGAATAGAAGGGGAAACAATAGTGGTAGTAGCAAAAATATTTTTAAAAATATTAAAAAAAAAATTTAACCATCATCAGTAATATTAGAAGGAGGAGTAGTACTAGTAGTAGTACTACTACTACTAGTAGTAGTAAAATCTCCGCACAAGGCAGAGCAAAAAAATTTTTTCCAATGAAAACCAAATTTGGGTAAACAAGCATTACATAAATCTTCTTTAAAATTCAAAGAACCAAATCTTGCTTGATTATCATTGTTCATATCTTGAGATAAAGTATCCTGAAAAAAAAGAAAAAAAAATATAACACACATTAAAAATATTTATTAGTAGAATTTTCATTTTTATTCTCAATTTTTTTATTTTTTAATAATTTTTTGTTATTTATAATAAGATAGAATGTCCAAACATAAACATAACCTAGAAAAAAGATTTCAGCGCGTTTTTTTTTAAAAATTCAATCAATCAGAAATTGTCAAAAAATACTGCGTGATTAGTCGAATTTTTGAAAAAACGCGCCAAAATCTTTTTTTCTAGGTTATGTTTGTTCGGATATTTGCTACTTCGGTCAAAAATCGAAAATTCTATATCATACATAGCAATTTTAAATAATAATTAAAATATAATTATAACAATACAATAATTAATAATAATAATAATAATAATAATAATAATAATAATGAGAATAAAAATAATTATACTAAAAATAGTAATATTAATAATAAAAATAATAACAAAAAACCAAGTACGTTTGAAATATTTGATGCAAGAGAAAAAAAAGTAAAAAATTATTTATATTCTCCTTACCCCAGTGATGTTGAGAACTAATAAAAAGATCCAACAAAGAAATAATGTTAAATTCATCTTGAAATTGAAAAAAAAATAAAAACTACAGAAAATCAGAATTAATACACTGACATTTCTCCTTTTCAAGTGTAATGTGAAAATTTCGAAATTGTGAAGTTGTTTATATACCTTCTTGGCAAAAAAAAAAAATTATAGACATATATTTAAAGAATGAAAAAAAAAACCCAGAAACATGTAAAGAGAACGTATCATGAATGTGCATAGATAAAATATAATTTTTTTTTTTAGAAATGAATTTGAAAAAAAAATTTTAAAACAAAAAAATTTTTTCTTTTTTACATATATTGCGGAATAAAAAGAAAAAAAAAACCCAAATTAAGTCAATGACCTGACAATATTGTATGAAAATTGAATATTTTTGAAAAGACTAAAAACAATAGTCTTTAAAGAAGTGACCGATTTAATATTCTTTTTCTATATGTAAATATTTTTTTTAATATTTATATATACTATATATGGAATAAATAGGACAAAATATTATGAAATTGCCACATAAATAAACGATTGTTATTTAAAAAGAAAAAATTTTTTTTTAAATATTTAAGAGGGAAAAAAATAAGAAAATTAAAAAAATAATTAATTTTTAATAAGCAAAATTTGAAAAATATTAAATTTATCAAAAATTAATTATACAGATGCAAACTTTCTAATATAACAGAAAATAGAGGAAAAATAATGTTAATGACACCATTTGTTGTGCCAAAATAATAGAAATTTATATAAATGTTGACTTTGTTATTTAACACCACTGAGTTACTTGGTCAAGATTTAATATTTAACTATATAAACGAGAAAAATTAAATTTAAACATTCGAAAACTGTTAAAATACCAAAAAACTAGAAATTATCGGTATTCAAAAATGTTTTTCTTCTTTATACTTTTTTATTTTAGTTTTGTAAATTTTATACTTGTACCATTGTGAAGTTTCTGAAAATAAAAAAAAAATTACAAAATTCAAATTAGAATAAATTTTACAGAAGAAAAAAGTCACGAGGTGTGGAGGATAACCTAAAAATTATAAATGTGCTGTGATACTTTTTAAAAATTGTAAAAAAAAAAATTCAAAAACCGATATAAAAAAATATAGATATGTGTGCCATCGAAAAGAATCTGAAACGAAAAGAAAAACAAAAAATTCCCTAATGGGAAAAATATTATTCAAAAATAATTTCCCGAAGTGGAGACTAACCTCAAAATTTGGAAAACTACGTTTTTTTACCTTCTAAAATAAAATCTTGGCAAAAATAAATTATTTTCCAAATATAATTTTTTCACACAAACAAATTCTTTGGCAAATCAAAAATTTTTTTTTCACTAATAAATCGTTTTACAAAAATAATAATGGTATTTAAAAAAAAAAAAAAATTTGTCTTCTAAAAAAACAAAAGTTATTTCGAGTGTATTTTTTTATCGTCAAAATTTTTCAGAAATATTTTGGTGACATTTTCTAATTCCCAATGAAAGATTTATAATATTATTATTATTTTTTTTGAAACATTAAATTTTTATGTGTGACAGGAGAGGGGAGGGGTGGGGGTTCTTTGATTAATGTTAACCTTGAACCAAAAAACATTTCTCTGATGATCATCTGTCGCATGTAATCTTCGATGGTGCCTTAATATAACTCGAAAAGCAAAGTTTCGCGATGCCGGATAGGAGTGGTGGATTCTTGGAGAAAATCTGGGATCCAGAATCCTGCCATCAAGTTCAGTCAATGTAAAGCCTTAACATTGCTAAGAAGCATTAAAAAAAAAAAAAATTTCTTTTATATTATTAAAAAAAATTTTTTACTAGAAAATAAAAATTTATTGCTCCTGTGAATAAAAAAACAAAAATTATTTATTTTTTTATTTAAAAAATTAGTGCAAAAAAATTGCAATTTTTTAGAGTAAGTTGAAAAAAAATTATTTTAAATTTATTACATTTTTTTGTTAACAGTGAATTTTTCAATTAATTTTTTTTTACATTTTCTAAAATAAAAAAATTATTTATTATAAATAATTGTATTATTATTTTTAGAATTTTCATGTTGTAACTGTAGTGAGGAAGAATATCGTTATTTCGTCGAATTATTTGTATTATTATAACAAAAATGGTGGGGTCAATGGTAACGCCAAAAAGAAAAAGTTCCATTAAAATGCCATCGCCAGCGCATGAGACACAAAATATTCTCACGACATATTTGATTCTAATATTATTGCTGATATCACTCTATCTACTCTATTCAGGATTATTTTAGTTCAAGGATTTTTTTTCGTTATGGTGAGTTATTTTTTTGTTTAAAATTTAAAAAATTTCCATTTCACTCCCTACAGTTAAAAAAAAAATACTATTTTACTCCCTAGTGAGAAAAAAAATTAAATTTTACTCCATAGAGTTGGAAAATTTAGTGTTTTACTCCCTAGTGCTGAAAAAATAGAATTTTACTCCCTAGTGCGGGAAAAAATTAAATTTTACTCCCTGCAGTTGGAAAAATTAGTATTTTGCTCCCTAGTGCTGGAAAAATAGAATTTTACTCCCTAGTATTGGAAAAATTAAGATTCTATCGCCAGAGTGGCAAAAAATACCATTTTGCACCCTAGAGTTAGAAAAATTAGTATTTTACTCCCTAAGAGTTCGAAAAAATAGTATTTTACTCCCTGGAGTTGGAAAAATTAGTATTTTGCTCCCTAGTGCTGGAAAAATAGAATTTTACTCCCTAGTATTGGAAAAATTAAGATTCTATCGCCAGAGTGGCAAAAAATACCATTTTGCTCCCTCGTGTTAGAAAAATTAGTATTTTACTCCCTAAGAGTTCGAAAAACTAGTATTTTGCTCCCTAGTGTTGAAAAAGTTTATATTGTCCTTCCTAGAAAAATTTTTCCCCCTAGAGCAGGAAAAATTAGCTTCTTTCCCCTAGAGTCAAAAAATAGCATTTTACTCCCTAGGGTTAATTGAAAATTTTAAATAATTATTTAAAAAATTTTTTTCCAAAAAAAGAATTTCAAAAAATTGAAAAAATAAAAATAGAAAAACCAAATTTAAAAAAAATTCTTATTACAAAAATTATAGAAATTTTTTTTCCTCGCAAATTTATTAATAAAAAAAAAAAAAAAAATTAAATGCTATTTAAATTTCAGGGTTAAGTTATGATGTTCAGTGAATGGAAAGCTTGTCTTTTGCCAAGAGATGAACATCAGAGGGAAAGACCTCAAAAGAGGTGAAGAGATTATAATCGTCATCATCAATCATCATCAAAATATATTTTATTTTATAAGGGAGTTTTAAAAAATCAAAAAAAAAATCCAATTAAATAGCCTTTATATAATATAAATATATGATAATGACCAATTACCATAGTATATTCATAGAGAGAGAGAGAAAAAAAATATTATATTTTAATAGATATATATGTTGTAATATTGTTATAATAAAAAAATATATACGAGCAGTTTGAAAAAAAAAATTTAATAAAATTCTTCTTTTTTTTTACTCAAATAGTAAAAATTGATAATTAATCGAGAAAAAGGTCATATCACCCCATTGGCATTGCAAAATGCATATTTTACCCCACAAGGTTAAAAACGACTATTTTACCCTCTAGAAAAGATTTTCAATCGTAAGGGTAGGAAAAAAAGTCGTTTTTACCCCATTATAGGGGTAAAATATACATTATTTGCTACTCCTCTATGGGTAAAAACGATTATATTAAACCCTAGTGTAAAAAACGGTAATTTTTACCCCAAGGGTTAAAATTAATTTAAAAAAAAAGAAATAAAAGAAATTTGTTTTTTTTAAAACAAAAAAATTTTTTTCTCTTTTTACCAACGAATTTAAAAACAAAAATTTGGGTCAAGTAGTCCATCAAAATGTCGTTATTTAAACACATACGATCATTAAATAGCTATTTTAAAATTCATCTGCAAGAAATTATGGAGAAAAATATTTTTTTAAGTAGAACTGTATATTATTACAATAATTGTTGTAAAAGAAATCAGAACAAAAAAAAATTTCAAAAAAAACATAATAAATACTAAAAAAAATATAAATTTTTTGAAATACAGTAAATTAAAAAAAAAAATTTTTATTTGCAATTTTTTTTTTTTTCTTTTTTTTCGCATGATAAATTAATGATCATTTTCAACTGACACTCGTTTACACGCACCGGAAGCAGCATTAAGAAGAGGAAGATATGGGGTGGAAGGGGATGGCGCGATGAGAAGTAAGAAAAAAAAGAAAATATTTTGACGAATCTTCTTGGCGTGGGCGCGCCACATATTACGTTGAAAATAGCCGATAGTTCCAGCTCTCGTGTGAATATGTTTAAACTTGAAAGAACCCATATAACCGATATTTTTGGTGGGCTCCCTCCAGAAATAGAGCATATTTCGGACCATTGACGATATGTACGATGAGAAAGAGAGAGAGAGAGAGAGAGAGAGAGAGAGAGAGAGAGTGCAAAAATTCCACCTGGAAACTGACGCACGGCAATCATCATTGGGCGTGGCATCAGAAAAAAAACAAAAAAAAAATTAGTACAAAAAAGATATAATTTTTTTTTTATTTTAATTTTTAATTTTTAATAATAATAAATATAATCTTGCTATCGAAATAATTCTAAAAAACGAAAGAAAATGGAAAAATTTTAATTAGACAAAATTTTAAACGAGAAAAAAATTTCGAGGTGAAGACTATAACCTGAAAAAAGTAAAATTACCCTGGGAATTTGAGAAAAGAAGTAAATATTAATAAATAGATGTATATTTAAACTCTTGCCATCGATACGAATCTAAAAAGTACAAAAAATAGAAAACTTTCAATTATAGAATTGAATTTATGAAAGAAAAAAGTTTCGAAATGGGGATTAACCTCAAAAACGTAAAATGGCATCGAGAATTTAAAGAAATAATAATAGTAATAATTATAATAAATAATAGTAAACAAATAACAACAGTAATAATAATAATAATAACAATAATAATAATAATAATAAATAATAATAATAATAGTATAATAAAAATAACAATGTAAAATTCGCCAAAACACAAATGTTTAAATAATTTTAAACTGTTTCAAAATATAAATTACGATTTAGATTATAGATTCTATATATATATCGTTTCAAACCGGAAGTCATATTCAAACATATGCCACATGTTCATTTATCAACTCAGAAGAAAAATAAACTTGAAAATGTCAATTTAGTGATGAATGGTTATATTAATTTTTTTTTACCATTTAAAACTGTCTTAAATAAACTAAAACTAAACTTAAATTATAATTTATAATTTTATTTTAAATACAATAATAAAAAAGGAAATAAAAATGCAAGTCTATTTTTCTTTTATTTTTATTATTCAAAAAATATAATTCTCAAGTATCACATTAAAAGTGGTAATACAATTTTTTTCTTTTAATTTCATTAATAATTTTTTAAAAATTATTAATATTTTTTTAAATATCAACAATTATTTTAAATTATTAATATTTTTTTAAATATCAACAATTATTTTAAATTATTAATATTTTTTTTTAAATATCAACAAATATTTTAAATTATTAATATTTTTTTTTTAATTATTAATAATTTTTTTCTGTCAAATTAAGAATGTTTTGATTTGAAATATTCATTTCTAAGTGATTGATTCATCATTTGACCAATTTTTGTTCTCACCCAAACGGGGGCAATGAGTGTAAAAAATACTTGAATTCCATGTGCCCAATAACCGGAACTTGTATTAATTTTCCCTAGAGTTGAAATTGCATTTTTTGCATAGGTTGTTGCATCAGGCACAAATATATTAGCCACCTGTGGTGAAAAAAAAAAATTATTAAAATTTATTATTATTATTATAAAAGGCAAATTTTTTTCCTCTTAATTATAAGACTCGTGCCATCTAGACGATTCCGAAAAACGAAAGAAAATGGAAAAATTTTGATTAAAGAAAATTTTATGCAAGAAAAAAGTCGCGAAGTGGGACCTAACCTCAAAAAAAGTAAAATTTTATTGCTATTTTTTGAGAAAATTGATAAAAATCGAAAAAAGTAAATGTAACTTTTGATGGTGCCATCGAAATGATGGAGAAAAGCGAAAGAAAGTTGGACAATTTCTATTCGATAAAATATTATGAAGGAAAAATGACACGAGGTGGGGACTAACCTCAAAAATGAAAAAAGGTTGTAAAAAAACAAAAAATAGATGTATCCTTCGACGCTTGCCATCGAAAGAATTTCGAAAAGCAAAGAATAGTAGAAAAATTCCCATTGGAATTAATTTTACGAATGAAAAAAGTCACGAGGTGGGTTTGAAAGAAAAAAATTAAAATTTATGGAGGTTCCATTAAACGCTTGCCACCGCAATTATTCCAAAAAGCAGAAGAAAATAATAAAATTCGGATTAAAAATAATTTTACACAAGAAAAAAGTCTTGAAGTGGAATCTAACCTCAAAATTTGGCAAAAATAGTTACAAAATAAAATGTAACCATCAAAACACGATTCTTACCATCAAAAATATTTGGAAAATTAAAAAAAGAAAATGATTTATCACATGGTATTTATGAAATAATGAAAAAAAAATCGCGAGGTAGGGACTAACCTCAAAATTAACGAAAAATAATTCATAAATAAAAGTTAACCATCAGAACAGATTCTTGCCATCGTGGAAAATTGAAAACAAAAAAAATATTAAAAAAATATCACTTTGCATTTATTATACAAGGAAAATAAAATTCGAGGTGGAGACATTTTCTTCCACCTCATGATTTTAAAATACTTTCCTAGTGAAAGTAAACGGAATTTAGTGTTTTTTTTAAACACAGGAATCAATTATATGCTTAATGGCACAAATATTCCAGTAAAAAAAAATTATTAAAATAAATAAATTACTTGTAATCTTCGACTAAAAGCATTCATTTTTGTAGTGACAAAAAGTGGCGTGAGATGTTGTACGGTGAGTCCATATCGGGAATATTCAGCTCTTAATGCTTCAGAGAAGCTATTAATGTAAACTTTCGTTGCCGCATAAACAGTCATCAATGGAAGTGGTTGTAATTCCGATCCAGATGAAAGATTAACAATGGCGCCCTTTTTACGTTCCTTCATTCCACCAATGACTATTCGTGTCATCAATGTTGTTGCTCCCACGTTGACATTTATAATATCCCATAGATCTTGTTCGGGAACGTCGCCCACAGGCATTGGATAATCATATTGACGTCCCACATTGTTTACTGAGAATTATTTTTAGTTATAAATGTTATTTTTTCCCGATAATCCACCACCATTTACAAAAAAAAAAAAAAAAAACCTCGTGGGATAGAAGAGGAAGAGATGATAAATAAATAAGGGAGGGGGAAAAAAAGGGAATGAAGCATCACACTAGACGCCTGCCACTGAAACGATTCCAAAGAAAAAAAGAAATTGGAAAAATTACGATTTGACACGATTTTAGAGAGGAAAAAAGTCGTGAGGTGGAGGATAACCTCAAAAAAAAAAAATTAGAAAATATTGAAGGGAGTGGTAAAAAATCAAAATCAGCTGTGAAATTCGACGCTTGCCATCGAAACGATTCTGAAAAGCAAAGAAAAATAGTAAATTTCGTAGTGGGGAAAAATTTATAGAAGAAAAAAGTCGCGAGGTGTAGGCTAACCTCAAAAACTATATTCCATTGTAAGAATAGAAAATCAGAATTAGACGCTTGCCATCGAAATAATTCTGAAAAGGGAAGAAAAATAGTAAATTTCCTTTTTGGGAAAAATTTTACAAAAGAAAAAAATCTTGAAGTGGGAACTAAACAAGAAATTTTCAATCGATTTGACCCTCCGAATGATGTATTACACTCTTTGCCATTAAAATGATTCTAAAAATCGAAAGACAAATAGAAAAATTTCAATTCGACTAAATTTTAAACGAAAAAAACTTTTCGAGGTGGAGCCTTTTCTTACCTAACCTCAAAAAACATTTTAAATCGCTTCTTGTAGTCAAACGGGGTTATTTTCAAACGTCAAACAAAAAACCTACTCGATGCCACTAGTCTTATATATTCAAATAGATAAAAAAAAAATTCCTGTAATTTTTGTTTTTGAAATAAATAAAAAATTACTTGTAATCTTGAACTATAAGCAGACATTTTTGTTGAGACAAAAAATGGCGTTAAATGTTGTATGGTGAGTCCAGATTTGCAATATTCAGCTCTTAATGCTTCAGAGAAGCTTTGGATGTAAACTTTTGTTGCCGCATAAATTGTCAACAATGGAAGTGGTTGTAATTCTGAACCCGAGGAAACATTAACAATTGCTCCTTTTTTACGTTCCTTCATTCCACTAATTAAAATTCGTGTCATCATTGTTGTTGCTCCAATGTTGACATTAATTATTTCCCAAATATTTTCCTCGGGAACTTCGTCCACTGGCATTGGATAAGCGTACATACTTCCCACATTGTTTACTAACAACATCATTAATTAATTGGATATAATTAATTAGGTAATTGTTGGGATAAATAATTAGAGGTAATTGTTTGGATATTATTAATTAGTTAATTTTTTGAATAATAAATTAACTAACTACTTACTAATTAATTAATTACTAATTAATTACTTACTAATTATATACTTTTTATTTAAATACTTACTAATTAAATACTTACTAATTAAATACTTACTAATTAAATACTTACTAATTAAATACTCACTAATTAATTACTTACTAAATAATTAATTACTAATTCATTACTAATTAACAAATTAGTAATTAATTAAATATCAAAAACAAATTTTTTTTTAATTTTTACCTAAAATTCCAACAGGAATATCCTTTAATTCATCTTTGATTTTCCCATAAATTTCCTTTCCTTTACTAAAATCGGCGACTATAATTTTAACTTGAATTTTGGGATTAATTTCCAAAATTTCCTCTCTTGTTTTTTCCAATCTCGATAATGTTCGGCTAATAAGAACCAAATTCACATTTCTAATGGCCAATTCTTTTGAATAAGCTTTACCAATTCCATCAGTTGATCCTGTCACGACTGGAATAAATTTTATGTTTTTTTTTTTAAATTTAATAATTAATTAATAATTAGTAATTTAATAATAATTAATTATAAAATAAATAATTATTAATTAATTAATAATTAATTTTGGAAATCAGTTTTATAACAAAAATTAATTAAATTAACTTTAAATTTAGTTTTAAAATAGTAAATTACATTTTTTTTTTTGTTTATAGAAAGAAATAGGATAATTATATTTTAAATTAATGCAAAAAGTATTGAAACTATAAATATATTATTAATAAGGTCAAAATGAGAATTGAAATTGCATATATATGATTAAGAATTTTTTTTTATTATCTTCTTTTCTGTTTTCATCTTTTTTTAAGGAAGTAATTATTAAAGAGGTAAAATATCATTAGTGTGTACTAAAATATTCATTAATCATAGAATACGTTTAGAACAAAAAAAAAATCTAAGTTATAATGAATTTTTTTTCTCCCAATGAATTAATTTTCAATGAAAATAAATATATTATAATTTTGCAATAACATACCAGCCCATTCACCAAACATAGATTTTAGATCAATTGGTTTTGAATTAAAAATTGGAAGAAGAATTTCCAATAGGGCGCGACCAACTCGACTTAATACGTCCAATAATGCCCAGACAATAATTAGGACAATTATCAGCCATGTTGCAACGCCCAAAAACATTTTTTGTTTTTTTCTGAAACATTAAATTTTCATGTCATTAATATTGTACGTATGATAAATAATAATAACGAATTACTATTTAATGAAAATTAAAGAAAATTTTAATTAGTAATTAATTTTTTAAATTTAAAACAAAAAAACAAATTGAAAATAATGTATAAAAGTTTATTAAAAATTTTTTTTTAACAGAATAATATAGCAACAACAAAATATAACAATAGCAATAACAATATCAGTATAGAAATAACAATAACAATAGCAAAAATAGAAATAACAAAAGCAATATAGTATTATCAATAGCAAAAAACATGATATAAGTATAAAAATAGCAAAAACAATAACAAAAATAGCGATAACAAAATCAATAGTATTTACAATTAAAAAAATATAACAATAACAATATCTTTATAACAATATAGTAATAGCAAAAATAACAATAACAAAAACAATAACAATAACAATAACAAAAACAATAACAATAACAAAAACAATAACAATAACAAAAACAATAACAATAACAAAAACAATAACAATAACAAAAACAATAACAATAACAAAAACAATAACAATAACAAAAACAATAACAACAATAGCAATATAACAAAGGAATAGAATTAACAATAGCAAAAAAATAGCAAAAATAAGAATAATATTATAAACAAAAATAGCAATAACAATAGCAAAAATAATAACAACAATAGCAAAAAATAACAATATCAATATAACAATAGGGAAAAAATTGTTAAGAACAAAAAAATAAACATAATAATAATATACAAAAAAAATTACATAATACTGATTTTTTCTTTCTAAGGATGATCCAAAATATTAATAATTATAATTATAATTATAATAATAATAATAACAATTATAATCCAGGATTATTTCGTCTGCCATTAAATACACTGGACACTTGAAAATAAAAAAAAAAAGATAATTAAAAAAAAAAATTTTGATATAATTTAATAGTGTGTGTAAATTTACATATTTATATAAAAAAAAATATATATATATAATTGCAAGACGAGAAGCTATGCAATACTAAAAATTGTAGAATCGATTTAAAGTTTCATATCCACAAAGGCAATCTACTTTCTCCTATAGTAAAAAATTCCCCTTCCACCAATATTCATCATTCCTTCCACTTGACCGTCATCACTGATTGAAAGTGAATTTTTATTTTACCAATAATTCATTATTAATAGTTACAAAAATAAAATTGAAAAAATAATAATTATAATTGTAAATTATAGATATTATAATAAATATTGGATTTAAAAAAAAAAAACAGAATAATATTAAATATATTTAGAAAAAATAAATATATAGAATATTTAGAAATATATCGAAATGACCAAAATGGATTTTTATAAGAAAAATTTTTAAAGGAAAAATTAAATAATATGGAAATCTTGTTTAATATACACACGAAAGGAAATCTAGACCTTGACTTCATTGCCTTCATGTTATAATATGTTGTTACAATCTCTCTCATTCTCTCTCTCTGTCTCTCAATTTTCTTGCCAATTTTTCGCAAATAAAATTTAATATTTTTTTTTTTTTAATTATAATGACTAATCAAATATTCCAATAACAAGAAATTATCTTTTTATTTATGATACCTACATATATATAAACATCATTGTTAATTGTATTCATATATTTGTCATTTATGTGAAAGCAATAATCACATTATTATTTTTATTATTATTATTATTATACGAGGGTAACAAAAAAACAAATTTTTTTTAACTGCATTAATATTAGTATATTTTATTACTATTATTTTTTTTTTGTTATTGTTAAAAAATAAAATTATTTAAACAATATTTGTTTTAAACAAAATAAATTTTTTAAATAATTTATTATAAAATAAACAAATTATTTTAAAAAAAAATTATAAACAAATTATTATTATTGTTATTAATATTAATATATTAACAAATTATAATTAATGAATTATTATTAATATTTTTATTATTGTATTAATTAATTATTTTATTAAACAGTTTCTTTTGAAGTATAAAATATGAAAAATTATTTACCTTTTAAAATTTTACAATTTTTTTTTTTTTTTATGTAAACATTTGTTGATAAATTTTGTTAAATGCAAAAAATGACTCAGCTATCAAAAATAGTTAACAAACAATAGACAGATTTATAAAAAAATTGTTTATAACTATATAAAATCCACACACTTAACAAATTGTAAATGTAAAAAAAATACTATATAATTTAAACATGAACAATATTATAGTATTAGTGTTAATTAAATTTTAAATATATGTGTATATACATATATATAATAATAATAATAAACACGTAATATTATATGAACATACTTGTAGCAAACGCATTGCAACACTGAAGATAAAACTCGATGGACTCTGAGTTTTATTTCATAATTGGCATATATCTTACACAATATAAAAAAAAAGTGACGTACAACATTTTTTTTATATATATAGAACAAACATAACCTCAAAATTTAGGTGGATTTCAAATATATATAAGGAATTCTATATTGAACATAACCTCAAAAAATTAAGATCGAATAAAAAATTAACATAACCTTAAATCTCTACTTTTCGTCTAAGGTTATAAGTGAAACATAACCTCAAAATTTATGTAGAATTATTAAAAAAAAAATCTATTTTTAGACATGTAAAAATTATGCAGATCTTACACTTTTTTTCTACAAAAATTTTTTTAAAAATAATAATAAATATTACTGGCAATAAATATAATATAATAATAATAATAATAATAATATTAATAATAATAATTATTATTAATATATTTATTTCCAGTAATATTTATTATTATAATTAATAATAATGATAATTTTTAATAATATTTATAAATCTGAAAGTGAAAATATCGAAATAATAAAAATAGCAATGACATTATATTTTAAAGAACAAACTGATGATAACACACTATCATTATACGGCAAATAAATGAAAAACGTGATTAAAAAAAATGACAAAAAAATACAATAGAGAATTTTTTAAAAATAAAATTATATGTATATTTTTAAAGTAATAAAATTAAAAATAGTGAATTTAAAAAAAAAATATTTGTAAACATGTTTGTAAAAAAAAAAAAAACTAAAAAAAAGTATAGTTATTAATAATCAGTATTTATAAAAATTCAAAATGGCAGATCCAATATGGGGGAAGTTTTTTTTCCAAATTTCCTCAATTTGGTTGAAATATGGTACTCGGGGGTTTTTAGGGTCGGGTCTCTGATCGCGAATTCGACATTGGTTTTGCAAAATCCAAAATGGCGGATTTTTTTTTTCAAAATTCATCAAATTTGCTTAAAACTTTCAGGGTCGCTGATTATAAATACGATGTTAATTTTTCAAAATTCAAAATGGCGCATCCAATATGGCGGAAAATTTTTTAAAAAATGATCATTTTTACATAAAATTTTGTTTTTGGGGGGGGGTTTTGGGGTCGCTGGTTACGAATATGACATCGGATTTTCAAAATTCAAAATGGCTGACCCAATATGGCGGACGTTTTTTTTTTAAAAATTCGTCAAATTCGCTTAAAACTTGCCACCTAGAGGTTTTCGGGGTCACTGACTACGAATCCAATGTTAATTTTTCAGAATTCAAAATGGCGGATCCAATATGGCGGACGTTTTTTTTCAAAATTTGGCAAATTCGCTTAAAACTTTTGGCACCTAGGGGTTTTTGGGGTCGCTGATTACGAATCCGATGTTAATTTTTCAAAATTCAAAATGGCGCATCCACTATGGCGGACGTTTTTTTCAAAATTTGTCAAATTCGCTTGAAACTTTTGGCACCTAGGGGTTTTTGGGGTCGCTGATTACGAGTCCGATGTTAATTTTTCAAAATTCAAAATGGCGCATCCAATATGGCGGAAAATTTTTTAAAAAAATGATCATTTTTGGCTTAAAACTTGTTTCTTGGAGGTTTTTAGGATCTATGATTACAAATTTAACATTAAATAAGGAAATTGTCATAAATTTAAAAAAAAAAAAAAAAGAAAATTGAATATAGGAGAAAGAGAGGTGGTGAGTCTTTTCTTTTATTTGGTTCTTCTTGTTTTTTTTTTTTTTCTTATAATTTGTGCGTAATGTTGCCTAGTGCATAAAAATGTGTATATTTTCTTTAGCGCGCTCGAATTCACAAGTAAGACGACCAAAGTCCATTCTCTTTTTAGTGCATTCAACAAGATTCCATTTGGATTTTAATTCCCGTCCATCTCCCTCGATGAGAAGACTCACGCAACTCTCTCTCTCGCCATGTGCCATTGAAAATTTAAATATTCAGACAAAACTCAAAAAACTGGTTTTTCACACTATACCTAGACATACGTGTATATATATACATATATAGACACTTGACTAAATTTAGTGCAAAAAAAAAATAAACGATAAAAATTTAATAGAAAAATAAATAAAAAAAAAAAAGAATTTAAAATCCAGTACGATGAATATCAATTAGGTTTGACTATATAAAAGTGATGTGTTTATTAATTTTGAGTTATTTGCAAAAAATCAGGTAAATATACATTTGCAATTTTCTTCTTCTATTTAATAAAATTAAAATTTTTGCTTCTTCATTCAGTTGGGAAAACAAATTTATTTTTATCTCAATGCTAAAATAACATTTATTTGTTTCAGAAGAATTTTTTCAAGAAAAAAAATTTTTTTTCTAGACAATAAAATTTATTTTGTTAAAATAAAAAAAGTAAATATAAAAAAATTTATTTGATTTAAATAAACATTTTTTCTTTAAAACCAAATAAATATTTTGTTTTATAATTTTAATTATTTTTATTTTTTTTATAGTTTTTAGTTAGTTTTATATATTTATAAAATTTGATTTTTAATAAAAAAATTAAAAAATAAATTTCGGATGATTAAAAAAAAAATACAATACAAAATTTTTATGCTTGTACGAAATAATAATGATAATAACAATATAATAATATAATAATAAAATAATGCAAATTTTTGCTACAATTTTTGTTATAATTATCCATAAAAGACAATGTACCAGATAATTATTTTTTATTTCTGTGAAATCATTTAATTATTGACAATTATTTTTAGAACTAAAAATCATGATATTATTTATATAAAAAGAAGAAAACAATTTTTCGTAATTTTCCTGCAATTAAAGGTCAAGGTTAGGAATAAAGAAGTTCTTCCATGACTAGTTGTTAATTTTTTTTTCTTTTTTTTTTTTAAACACGTGTGTTTGGTTATTGACATTGTCTTTGTTTTTTTTTCAAATAAAATTATATTTGAAATAATTATTAAATAAAATTATAACTAAATACCATATAATGATATATTATGTTCTTTAATTAATGTTATAAATAATTAGAATAGATTAAAAATTTGAATAATAAATGAAATAAACGGCTTAATTGGTTTACTATTAAATAAATAAATTGAAAAATAATTAAATTAAATTTTGAAAGGTCACCTGAATCTGTGTTACTTGCTAAAGAATTATATTGCGCGCGTAACTGTCGACCCACTTGTGTGCGCAGCGCAACAGTTAATTTTGTTTTTTTGTTTTTTTTTTTAATCTTTTTTGTGAAATAACTTTCGTGATTATACCGTCTTATTAAGATTTTTCAATGATCAAAATTGCAAAATATTATATACTTGCAATAATTTTTTTTTATAACTTATTTAAGCTTTGAACTATTTTTTCTATTACTTAATAATTTACTATTATTATTGTAATATTTATTATTATTTTTATAATTATGTTATAATTTTTTTTTTTATTATATTAGTATTATTATTTTTACTACTATTTTTATGATTATTAATATTTTTATTACTCTCATTATATTATGGTTATTAAAATTTTTATTTTCACTTTTTAGGCTCACAGCCGAAAAGGTAATCCATGTTTTCTGAGAATTACCATGAGAAGATGGACTGGCACGAGGATTATGATTTTTATCCTCCAGATTTGTTGGACCATTATCCAAGGAGGTAAATATTATTATTTTACTTATTATTAATTTTAATTAATAATATTAATAAATAATAATAATAACAATAATAATAATAATAATAATATTTATTGTATTTAGAGTCGTATGTCGGTAGCAGAGGAGAAATGTCGAAAGAGACAAAATTTACAATGGATTTGGAGAATGAAAAAAAAATTTTTGATATTACTTCAATTTACTCTTGGACAGGACCAAATGCGTTGGCAAGATCGTCACTTATTGAGAGACAGGAGAATTTGCAAAATAATTGTGAAGAATTGCCAGACATTGACAATCGGCGAAAAATCATGGGTCTCGGAGAATTTTCCAATATTTTAGTCGATGAAAAACATAAACTTTTGTACTGTTATGTTCCAAAAGTAAGGGAGTATAAATAGTAATCAAAAAATAATGAAGAAATTTGAAAAAAAAACATTTTAAAAACAATTAAAAAATTTAAAAAACAATTAAAAATTAAAAAAATTTTTTTAAAACAATTAAAAATATTTAAAAACAATTTAAAAATAAAAAAATAATAACAAATACAAAAAAAACAGTTAAAAAATTAAAAAAATAAACAATAACGAAAATAAAAAAACAATTCAAAAATTAAAAAAACAATTTAAGAATTAAAAAAAACAACACAAAATTTAAAAAAAAACGATAAAGAAATTAAAAAAAAATATTTAAAAATTTATAAAAATAATACAAAAAATAATTATAATTTTTTTTTTTTAAATGATTCTAGGTCGCTTGTACAAATTGGAAACGTGTACTAATGGTAATATCAGGCAAATGGAATGGAAATGATCCTATTGAAATACCCGCCGATCAGGCACACGCCACGGGAATATTTCCCCGACTGAGTAATTATACATTAGATGAAATTGAAAATAAAATAATTAATTACAATAAATTAATAGTTGTTCGACATCCATTCGAAAGACTTTTATCTGCATTTAGAAATAAACTTGAAGCAAAACATGAGAAGAGTTCAAAATATTTTCAAGAGCGCTTCGGAAGAAAAATAATAAAGGTATAAGGTGTTTGTTAATTTTTTTTTTTAGTTAACTAATTCAATTATCTAAATTAATTATTTAATTATTGTATTCAATAACTAAATGATATGATATAATTATATTTAATAATTAAATTAATTATATTTAAAATTTAATTTAATTAAAAATTTAATTATACGCAGAAATATAGAGTAAACGCAACGAAGGAATCGATTAGTAAAGGCGATGACGTGACTTTTCGTGAATTTGTCGATTTTATAACGGATACTAAAAAAAATATTAGTCAAAATGAACATTGGCGACCATTTTCCGATTTGTGCCATCCATGTATAGTTAATTACAATCTTGTTAGTAAATACGAGAGTCTCGTGGAGGATGCAACAGAAATTTTAGAAAGAATTGGCGCTGAATCAATAACGTAAGAAATTTTTTCTTCCTTTTTATAAATAAAAAAGAAAAAAAAATTATTTCATACCTTATCATTGGATAAAAAAAATACAACAGTCCAAAGTAGCGTCGTTTATCGATATTGCGCAGGCGCAGCATCAAATTAGGGTGTGTAATCAATCAATTACAAAGCATCTTTCCTTTAGCTATTTTATGGTCTGCGCGCGCAATTTTTCCTTTTGCAAACATTCAAGAACGATAAAGTCGACGCTAGTTGGAATTTTTTTTTTTTTTGAAATATTTAAAAAAAATTATTTTTTCTTTGCAGTTTTCCAGCGAGATCATCGAAAACTCAACCGACATCGCAAAAACTAAATGAATATTATTCAACATTAAGTTTTAAACAACTTCGAAAATTGGCAAATTTTTATAAAACTGATTTAAAGCTATTTGATTATTCCCTCGAGGAAATTGTCGGATTTTCGATAGCATAATTTATATAATTTTCTTTCTCAATACTTTACCTCAATTGATGTGATAATATGCTCAAAAAAAAAGTAAAGCTTGAATAATTATACTCGAAATATATTTAATGTATCTAAAACTATCCAAATGGAGAAAATAATTATTTTACCTTAATTATATTATTAAAAAAAATTGGGTAAATTTTTAAGGTTATGTTCTTGAAAACTAATACAAATAACACGTTTTCAATTTATAACAATATATTTTTCCAGTAATGACAAAATGGAAGATAACATATTCTTCCATCGTATATAATTAATAAGTTATTTTAATTTTTCATGAAACATTATTGAATGAATTAAATATTTTGTTATACAATCATAAGTCAAACGCAGTTTTATGATCAGTAGAAGAAAATTTTTGAACATTTGTCACAATAAAATATTTTCTAATGAAAAGTGACAGGAGGCGGCTTTAGCTTACATGACCGAAGAATTATTTTTTTTCTACAATATTAACAAATATTTTCATTACAAATTTTTGAAATTTCAATTAATTTCAAAACACCTCTACGTATAAAGCCGTCCCTGAAAAGTGAGGTTATTACGCTGTAGTAGCAACGCATTAATTTGACAATTCTTTTTTCGTCGATTACTTTTTTGCATCAAACCCAACGTTTTTAAACGTCAGTTACTGTCAATTAGTGAGAGATCACATATGCACATGAATTATTATTATTATCATTTTAATAATAGGAATAATATTCGTTTATAAATAGGAAGTGAAAAAATGTTAATCATATCAGTAGAAGAAAAAGCCGAAACATTGTTATTTATTGAATTAAATAGCAGTGAAATTACAATTATTTTTCCGCCCAAAAAATTAATTAAAAAAGACAAAAATTTTAATATTAATTATTTACGCAGTCTGTTTTTTTGGAGAATAATTTTTTTTCGTTTCAAATTTTTTTTTGAAAAGTGAGGTTATAATTAACATTTTTAGGCAGAAAAATAATAATTTTAAATAAAAAAAAATAATATATTATCTTTTTTTAAAAACATTATTTAAATATCAGTAGAAGAAAAAGTAAAAACATTTTCAATTGCAGTGAATATAATATGATTCAATTAAAGTTAAAAATAAATGAAAATAATTATTAATTTTTGTTATCAATTAATTGCAAAAAAAGGTATTCAGATCAGTAAAAGAAAAAGTCAAAACATTTTAATTGCAGTGAATATAATATGATTCAATTAAAGTTAAATATAAATGAAAATAATTATTAATTGTTATTATCAATTAATTGTTAAAAAAAAATGTTCAGATCAGTAGAAGAAGAATGTAAAACATTTGTTTAAAATGAAAATAAACCCAAAATGAGGTTCTTTTAAACATTATTTGAAATAATTCAATGGCATTATTAAAAAAAAAATATTTTACAATTATACAATTTACCAGCTTGATAAGACTAATTTTTACCCTAATTTCGAAACTAGTTTACAAAAATTTAGTGACGAGGTTTTTTTTTAGTTGATTGGATAGTAGAGAAAAGAATAAATTTTAGTGAAATAACTTACATTTACAAAAAATCTGAATACCATTAAATTTTACCAGTATCTCGAGCGTTTTATTTTTTTCTGAAACAAAAAAAAATTATCAGCAAAACTAACTAAAAGTTCGGAGTTCAAATTTTTATTTAACACAATTTTATTAAGAAATATCGAATCAAATTTTCAGTTTTAAATTTTTGTTAAGATTTTCTTTCTTCCAGGGGAAAATTTTTTTTTATACAGCTACAAAAATCAGATAATTCTTTTGAAAAAAAAGGAATGTAAACTTACCGCTAAAGTAATTGCTGAACGGTTTGACGAACCTCATCAGAAATAGTTTTATTTGGTTTTTTCTTTCAAGTTTATCATTTTGAAACTTGAATGTACATTCCACAAGTTCCAATTACAGAAGAACATAATGAAACTTTGAAAGAAGAATTATTTTTGTCTTCGGTTAACAATTTCTGAAAAAAAACACAACAAATATTTTTTTTACTAAAAATATTTTAATCACAATACCTGCATTGGAAACAAAATTACAAAGAAAAATTTTCAATAATTTATAATTTTACTCACCAATGAGGTGTTTGATGAAATCTCAAGAGTTAGATCACACAGGAAATGGTAATTTTTCTTCCCAATTTGAAAAATCTGATCAAAACTCTAGCAATTACTGTCACTTCTTTTTTTTTCTTTGGTAAAGTAAAATATTACGCATAAGAGATGAGCTAAATTGTTAGGTACTCAGAATTTTTGTCACATAAACATTAGTACAGTAAAATTTATTACAATAGTAAAAATAATTTTTATCGTTATATTAAAAATAAATTATATATCAAATTGAATAAATAAATTTTATCAAACTGGACGTAACAATCATCAAATTTTTGGTATACAATTAAATGATTTTTATCGGTGATAAATTATGTTTTAATAAATTTTTCTTTACTAAAACTTAACTTAAAATAATTAAACATAAAAAAATGTTACCGGGCATGTGATCTCAAATATAACATAAAAAAGTAAAAATTTTTACAATTTCAATAACGTAGTAGTGAACAGTTAATTACATTATGAAATTATTTATGAAAAATATATTTTTGATTATAATGAAAATAAACAAAAAAAAATTCTTTTTAATGACTGTGTTGGAAAATGATACAAATAAATTGTTAAATTAAATAGTCAATTATAATGATTTTGATTAAAAATTATGAATATAATAATTTCTAAAATACACAATATAAGAAAAAAGTATTTTATAAAAGTGTTTGGAAAATGTTACAAAGGATTGTAGTAAATTTTTTTTTAACAAGGTAAATAAAATATTATTTTACCTATGCTTTTTTGTTGGGATCCTTTTCTTTTGAAAAGTAAGAGGACATCCCATGTTTAGATGAATTAATCTATTGACAAAAAATAAAATAAATATTAATTAAAAGTTTATTATTACTAACTTTATTATTTATTTCTTATTAAATTTTAATTTATCTTAAACTTTTTTATTTAAAAATTTTATTTGTTATAAATTAACTAGTATTAAAAATATAGTGTAATTTAGTGTAAATTAAAAATTCTTTTTTGAAATTAGTTACAAATTATTTTTTCTATTTAAATTAATAAAAATTAAACTTCACAGAAAGTACCTTGTGTTAATATTATACGAAAAAAAAATTTAATAAAATATTAATTTAATTAAAATTTTTAATTTAAAAATTTAATTTCTATTAATATTAAAAATAATGATAAATAAGAAATTAAATATGTACTTACATTAAAATTTAGTAATGCTTGGTAGCGTGGTGGAAAAAATGCCGCAATGGCGGCAAAAGTAGAAGCACGCTAAAATTAGTTTCGCTTCCACTCATGATCCCTTCCACTGGTGAATAAAGATTTCAGTGACGAACGATGAAGAACAAAATGTGAGCGATGCGAACTCATGATAAATTTAAACGCGATCGTGGCGCCTAAAGTAATCCATAAAAGTAATTCTTATTGGTGGACAATTTTACCAAATGAAAGAATTTCATTGGTTTTCCAATAGAACTGGTTTCGTTTCTTTTGTATCTAATTCTGGACAAAAATTGTATCAGTCGATAAATAGTGGACAAGCGTGGGAATTTTGAAAACCATATTAATTCAAATCTTAAAAAAAAATTAAATTTTGAATCACATGAATTATTATTGAGGTTTAAATAAAATTTTAATAAAAATTTTTTACTGGCACTTTTATTTAATCATTAATTGTAAATATAATTTTATTTTCGATATTATAAAACTAAATAACAAATATAGTTTTATAAGATTTACATAATAATAATTGAATTTTATTATTAATTATTTAATTAAATTCTGAAAATCTCAAAAAAATTTTTGTTTTCATAATTAATGAAATAATAATACTATAGTGACGTGTTTTTTTTACATTTTCTCTTTTAGAAAATTTTTCCTTTAATTTCCTCTTTCTTACACACAGTCGTACACACAAGATCTGAAATCACAGCCTTAATCCTATTTGCGCATTTTTTTTTATATATAAAAAAGCGACAAAAAGCGCAAAAAAATTGCAGAGCCTCGAGTTTTCTAAACTCTCTTTGTCTCTCGAGTGTATAGAAATATATTATAAATTATTTTCTTTTTAAGTTAAAACACTTTACAAGAATTGTTCAACTTTTACGACTTCCTAAAGGTGGGAAATCTATGTGTATATAAAAATAATTTTTTTTTTTTGCTGAACATGGAAGCACAATTTTTAAGTATCCCTAAAAAAGGACACTAATATCACGATGATCAGACGAATATTTGCTTCTTGGCAAAAATGGCAAGATTAAAATTTTAAATTTTAATACAAGGCACTTAGTTTTTTTTTGTAAGGTCAAAAATCCTGAAAAAGTATCAATTGATCAGGAGGTGGTGGGGGCTGCGATCGCCAATCAATTTCTGGATAATCGTCAAAGCAACTTGGATCCTCAGGTGCTTTTAATCTTGGACAAATTGGAGGTGTAAGGGCTCTTTGTGGCACCTAAAATTTTTTAAATTCGTTAATTTTTAAAAATTAAAAAATTTTTTTGATTAATTTTTTTTTTTAATAACCTGCGTCCAGTCGACGAGTTTAAACCATCGATGCCTTTTAACATCCTCAGCACCTTGTCTCATATTTCCAAGCCTCTTTGTTCTATCGGTAACTAATAATTTTTTTACTAAGTCTTTAACAATTGGATCCATATGTTTTGGCCATTCGATTCTACCGCTTAAAATTTTTTCATAAATACCAAATGGATTGTCATCGTAGAATGGAGGAAATCCCGCCAACATTTCATAAATTAATACACCTAATGCCCACCAATCAACAGCTTTATTGTGACCCTTGCTTTGAATTATTTCCGGTGCTAAATATTCCGGTGTACCACAAAGTGTCCACGTTCTTGAAATAAAAAAAATGGGAAAAAATGATTTCTAACATCTATAGAGTGTGAAAAACGGTTTAGAATCTACTGCGCAGGTTTTGGGGTTTTTAACAATCTATTGCGCATCTCCTGCGCAGTAGATCACAATAAAACGAATAACATGCGCAATTGATTAGAAATCAATCTGAATGTATTAAATGTACTTTCTACAATCTCTTCATCCAATTTTTTTAAGAGAAAAAAAGGATACGAGCAAAAAAATAATCTCACCTGTCTGTTAGCTTTTTGGAAAAACCAAAATCGGTTATTTTCAAATGTCCCTGAATATCTAAAAGTAAATTTTCCGGTTTTAAGTCTCTGTAGACAATATGTTTACTATGTAGATAATCTAAAGCGCAAACTATTTCGGCAGCATAAAAACAACTGGTTCTTCCAGAAAAACGTCCAGCTGCTCTTAAATAGGAAAAAAGTTCACCACCAGCAACAAATTCCAATAACATATATATTCTAGCCTCGTCTTTACCGCTCCATAACCTAAAATAATTTTGTCATTAAAAAAATTGAATAATAGAGAAAAGTTTTTTTTAACTTACATATTCACGATAAAGGGATGTTTCACTTCTTTTAAAATATTAATTTCATTTCTCACATGATCCACCTGTTTTAATCGTATGACATCAACCATTGAGAGAATTTTCAATGCCAATGGAATTCCCTGATGTCGACACAAAACAACTCTTCCAAATGTTCCAGTACCTGAAAATTAGGTACTTTTTAAAATTTTTGTTAAATTTTTATTGAAAAAACTGTAGAAATTATTCCAGTTAACAAAGTTTATTTATCAGTAGAATGTGAAAAACGGTTTAGGATTTATTGCGCAGGTTTTACATTTTCTAATGATCTACTGCGCAGCTATTTTTAAAGGCTGCGCACTAGATCCTATGAAAACAAAAACGTGCGCAGTAAATTCCAAATCAATATAAATGACCAAAACATCAATTTACATCTTTTTGACAATAATTTAAGAAATTGTTTTTCTTTCAGAATTTGATTAATATAAAAATTCTAGAAAAATTTACTATTATTCGTTAACAAAAAAATAGTAAAGTAAATTCTAAAAATAGTTGTAAATAAATGTTTCCCTCAGTTAGTCGGTGTATATATATATATCATGTTTGTGAATGACTTTCAAAACATTTCTGTCTGCTAAAAATAATCGTGTATATAGTAAATATAGAATATAGGTAAAAAAGGATGAGTATATGTGTGAACGATAATATAATCATTTTAATTTGAAAATTTCCTTCATGATTTATAGGGTCAAATGAATTAAAATTTCAAGGATATATAAATACCAACATTAGACATTTTCTCGAAATGAATTAAATTAAAAAAAAAAAAAAAAATTGTATACGGAAGTTTTTATAAAATAGTTTCCACAAAATTGTAACTTGTGAATTTTCACGAAGCATACAAAATTCACTTGAAGTTAAATATAAATCTCATTGCGTTCCCCTCCCTCTCCTTATACTTCTTAGTGGCCCACTTGCTTATTTCATTTGCCGCCGCCGCTCCCATTTCACCTTCTGGATAAGGCGGTCACTATTGTGCCACCTTTACTTTCACAATCAAACGAAATCAAATTATACTTTTTTTAAAACTCTTTCTCATTGTTTTCCTTCGAAAAATTATTTTTCTATTTAAAACAGTTTGACATGAAATGTCACTATTACTATGGGAAATTGAGAAAATAAGTTATTTTAAAAATGAAAATTTTTCCAAAGGTGACGAAAGGTATACAAAATTGTTCACTCGAGAGAAAATGATTGAAATTTTGACTGACAGTTATTGTTAATTTGGGAAAAAATTCTAAGGTCTTGAAATCTCGAGGTGGAGAGGATAATTCTCCATTTTTCGACTTTTACGGTCTGTAATCCCTATTGTCATATATATCTATATAAATGTATACAATATATTCATTGATAGTATACAAAAGAGTGGAAAGCAGACGGTTTTCTTTTGCTGAGAAATCATAAATCAGATGTTTATCAATAAATCAAGTGATTCACATATATACATATAGAAGTTTCTTTTTGAGACGGAAGTCTGCGCGAGGAACAAATGTTTAATTTGGAAGTAATCCAAAAAAGAATATATGGCAGCAGAGCCCACTATATATAATATATATACATAAAATGACGCACTTGGTATATAACAGGTGCAAAAGATTTTCTCTAATATAATAAACGCATCATCCTTCGCTATACAGTGAGACTAAAAATAGAGACCTTGGGATTTAAAATTATTGCTGAAAATTGAAAACATTTCTATCACTCATATAATGAAAAATGATTTTTCTCTTATTTAGGTATTATAATACCGCGTAACAAGAAACATAACCTAACTTAAAAAAGTTTTTTTTTCAATTTTTATCAATAAATAAATTTTTTTTGTTTCAGGCGAAGGAGGAGAATATAAAAATATGGAAAAAAATTTTTAAAATGTAGCCTAGGTGCTCAGATCTATCTATGAAAAAATAGAAATTCTATTTTGAAAAGGAAAAAGTGCTGTTTAATGACTGTGTTGGAAAATTTTTTAAATTTATTAATTCAGTGTCTAATGATACTAATAATAATAGCAGTAATAATAAACACTACGAATAATAATAATTATTATTATATTTTAACATTATTAAATAGTAGGAAATAAATAAATGAAATTAATGAAATATAATTAATTATTAAATTGAAAAAGGCGTTATTTTTTTGAAAATTTAAAAAACATTAACTATTAATTTTTTTTAATTTTGATTATAAATTCAATAATATATTAATAAATTCTGGATTGTTTAAAAATTTTTTATTAACAATTTTATTGAACGCTGATAAGATTTTCGAGAAAACAATGCATTTCTTTATTATCCAAATTGCAGAAAGTTATATATTTATATATATACCTATAAATGGTTCATCGTTATAATTAAGAACATAACAAAATAACAATGTGTATTTTAATAAATAAATCATAATCTATTTTCTTTTTTTTTTTAATTTAAAACGAAAACTCACCAATGGTTTTGATAATTTCCAAGTCATCGATATCATATCGATCTTCGTCAGAGATCATTTTGTCAGACATCCTTTTTCCTTGTTCGTAAAAATAATAATAATAAAAATAATAATAATTTTTGTTAATTATATCCGAAAAGTAAAATTTCAAAAAAAGAGATCTTTTTCACATACACACACACGATATATTTATATATACATATATATATATATATATTTTATAATAATAATTCTCCCGTCGTGCGCGCGCGACTATTAAACGAATAATCGTTTACTTTCCTCGCGCAGTCTTCGCAGCAGCACGTGGATAAGTGTCTGGTTCAATGATCTACTCGTGTGTGATATTCTTAGATCCCTTATTGCGATGATGATGATGATGATGATGTTTCGTTTGCGCGCGTTCACAACTTCGCTTTTTTGATTAAATATATATATATATATATGTATATATAAAAATTGTGTGAGTATGCTTTTTCATGCTCTAATTTTTTTAATCTTCAGTTTTCTAATTTTCATTTATTTTTTCCCAATTTTGAAAAAATCGATTCTCGGAAAATTGGAAAAATATTTATTTTAAAAAAAGTAATAAAAAATACCAAAATTATTTCGTGTTGGAAAATCCCGGAAATATTTATTAAGAAAAGAAAAATACAAAATTATTTCTATTTTACCTCGGCGAGTCCCGGAAATATCTATATATATATATATATATATATATATATATAAGAAAAAATGAGGGTAAAAAATTATTTTTATTTGAAAAGTAAAAAAATAGAAAAATATTCAAAAATACTTTTTAAAAATAAAAAATATATATATATATATATACAGATATATTTACTTAGCAAGTGTATAACGGTTTTTTGGTTCCGCGGTTTTGAGATCGAATTAAATGGTTCCGGTAGGTTTGCGCGCGTTTTACTATATTATATCCAACAATCTGCGCAAATTTTTTTTTCCCTCGATAGTTTTTCTTTGCCTCGTCGGCATACTACAATCTGACAATGATATCTTGTGTATATAATCTTTATTTAAAAGAAACTAGAAAAATAAAACGCGATAATAAAAATAATTATATTTGTTTTTTTTCCTTATTTTTTTGTTTATTATATATTATAATAATATTATAATTATTACTGCACTACAAATTTTTAAGTATTTTCAATAATATCTTTATTAATTAATAATAATTATTATAGAATTTAGTATTTTAATTAATGGATTTATTAATTATTTTAATTAACGAAATTATAAAGTATTATAATTACTAATAATTATTTCTGTTAATGAAGTTAAGCATTTTAAGTAATGAATTAATAATTAATAAATCCATTAATTATTATAATTAGGTATACTTTCATTTTTATACATAAATAAATTAATAAAAATTATTTAAAATACTTAATAAATTAATTTACTAAAATAATTATTTTAATTAATTTATTACATATTTAAATTAATTAAAAGTAATTAATTCTATTTATTTATTTACGAAAATGTAAGTTAATATAATTATTACTTTTTTGTATTGATTTAATTTAATATCACTTGTTATGTTATGATTTATAATGATAATAATAATAATAATTAAAAGACGATTGTGTGCACATCGCGATTAATATATATATAAAATTTATTCAGCGGTCAAGCACACTCGAAGCGACGCAGATACGGACTGATCGCGGTGAAATCTCAAAAGTGAGACATACTGTCCTTCTCTTACCCCTCTACTCAGGTAAGAAACGATCTCACTCTCTCTCTCTCTCTCTTTCTTTCCTTTTCCATTTTAGTTTTCAGTGTGCTGACATTTTCTGAACAACGCGCCTGAAAGTAATTTTTTACATACAATGTATTTGTATATACATATAATTTTTTTTTTTTTTATTTATTTTTGATCTAATTTTGAAGAATTTTTTGAGGGACACGTCCCACTCGCAGGTAGAGACTAAGTGCAATATAATCACACGTCATATCGTAAATAGCATCGGAAAGTGACTTTTTTTCCTATGACTCGACAGACTCAAAATATTACCTTCTTTCTTTCTTTCTTTATCTTTCATTTTTTATTACTTCACCTTGCATCAGTGTTTATTTTGGTTTTTATCTGGAAAAAATTTTTTTTCTCAATTTTTTTTTCACCTCCTATAACCATAGTACTCCATCTTTTGTGATCTTGAGGAAAAGTGTTTGAACTGCTTTATCGACCGATGTATAGGGATATAGGATAAAAAGTCGATATAGCAGAGGTAGAGAAGGTGAAAAATTTTTTTATATATATATACTAGGTGGCTAAAAAGTTTCGAAAAGAATTAAAAAAAAATTTCCTCATAACTGTTTTTTTAATTAAAAACTAAATTAAATAGTTAAAATTGAAGTAAATATAATTGAAATTAAATTAAATAATTAAATTTTATAATTAAAATTATTAAAATGGATAGAGGGGCAAAAAATTTCTTCTTCCATTCGTTGAAATTTCCTCTAAAGGATATTTTTCGGATTTTTAATTTGTCTTTTAAGGTTTTCAATAAAATCTTTTTGGCCCTATCTTATATATCTATCTTACCTATTTCTAGATGTGAGCAGAACCAGATTGATGCAAAAAATTCCTTATTCGATTCGTTGAAATTTCCTCTAAAGAATATTTTTTGGATTTTTAATTTGTCTTTTAAGGTTTTCAATAAAAATTTTTTGGCCCTGTCATATATCTACCTTACCTATTTCTAGTTGTGAGCAGAATTGGACTGATGCAAAAAAATCTCTTCTTCGACTCGTACAAAATTCCTTCAAAGTATATTTTCCAGATTTTTTTTTTGGCTTAAGAGCAAGCTTCTAAAGATTAAATTCAATAAATAAAAAAAATATTCAAACTCCACCTACTCACAGAGAGCAAGCCAATTTAGATTTTTTGTTCGGTAATCTAAAAAACAGTTTTATTTGCCTCATATTTTCATTAAAGCAGTTTAATATTATTACACATTAAAAATGTTATATATATATATATATATATATATATATATATATATATATATATATATATATATATATATATATATATATATATATATATATATATATATATATATATACGTTCAGGTGGTAATTTGTTATTAATTTTCATTACATTCGTCAATTAAAATATGAAGGAAAAAAATGTAAATATATGATAGGAAACGTCGCGATGCAGAAACAAGTTTTTAATAATATCATGGGCTCAGGAGTAGGCAATTAAGAAATAATTAAAGCAAAGTAACATTAAGATTTCTGCACTTGAAATGCGATGAGGTCCGCTATATCTATATGTATGATGTTAGATAGGTAAAGGCGTATACCATATAGTGCGAGCAAGAGGGGTATATTTATAATATAATATATGTATACACACGTGAAGTAGACACGAATTTGTAAAGCCGGATTCACACTTTGGCGCAACGCGGTGATGTGCAACCAAGCGAAATTTCTTTCGTGAGGTAATTCACGCTGTTGCTCTCTTCTATCGTTATATATCTATATATATACAAAAGAGGACTTGTTATAATTTCAAAGTCCTCGCATATTTAACAACATTAGACTATAAACATTAATTGAAATTCTCTTTAATTAATTAATTATACATATAAACACATTTCGACGAATTAGAACATTGTTTTCACTGTAAATTATTATAGTTATTAAGTCATTTTACCCCATTTTGATAATTAAAAAAATAATTGTTAAAATTTTTTTAAAATTATATTTTTATTGTTTAATAATTTGTTCTTTTAAATTTATTGCATATACTTATTTTCCTTGCGTGATGATTTATTCTTCAAGTACGAAAAAAGACCGCGAATATTATTGGAAATGAGGAAAAAATACAATATTTTTTTTTTTTTTACTGTAAAGCACATGTAATAATTTTTGTTTTAGACACAAAAATATGTGACATAGCCAGGGTCGCCTTTTTATCTAATTTATTACAAATAAAATACATGTTCATTATTCGACTATACATACTTCAAGGTTCTGCTTCAAATAAAATTATATTATATATTTTGAAGCCTAAAAATAGAATTTTTGCCACTATAATTTTTTTTCAATGTGCGATTATTCAAATTAAAATTTACAAACTATTATACATTTAATTATGTAATAATTAATATTTATATAAATTATAATTGAAAATTTGTAACGTTTTTTTTACATATAACATCATATTTTACGGTTTCCTCAATTTCTTCAATTTTCTACAACTTATTATCTTATATGCCTTTTAAACTATTACATTTAATTCCTGTGGGCCCACACCGTTTCCTCTTTCACACTCATTCACCCTATTGTAATTTTCCATTTCCTCTTTTTTTTATTTTTTTTTTAACTTTTTCCGCTTCCATATAGTTTCTCTTTTTTTTCTCCCCTCTAAAAAAGAGCATTTCAATTTTTCAAATTCCCCTCATCCTTTTGTTTGCAGGTGAAGAAATACATTATATTCTATTTTTAACAGCTCTCCTTTTATAACTGTATTATTATATATATAAAATACATAAAGAATACATTAAATCAATGAAGAAGGTATATCATTAAAATTATAGGAAAAAAGAGTGGGAGAAATGAAAAGAGTAAAAAAAAAATAATTTTTTTTCTCGCGCCTGAAAGAACGAAAGAAGAAATTAAATTTTTTTTTTTTATTTTTTTGTTTGTAATGTTCCTCTCTTTGATGATTGTTACGGTGCCTAGGTTAAGGCTAGAAGAGCGAGAGATGTCCGGTTAATGCACCTGCAGTACCTGCATACTCCATGGTTTGTGAACGCGAGTAGAACGAGTTGGAGAACAAAGAATATATATATAGAGGAAGAAAGAATTATTTTGTCATCATTTCTCTAACCCCCCACCCCCGTCCCCCCGGCCCCACCTTTTTTTCATTTTCACTTCGTTCTCTCTCTGACCCTCATCCCTCATCTATATTTTCTTTAACACTATAAAATTTATTGAGAAGATAAAACAAAAAACAAAAAAAAATGAATACATCATCAAAATGATTTATATCTGTAATCACTAACCACATGTATGAAGAATTTTTTTTAGTAGTAATGCTTCAATTTTCTATATAAGTAATAAAAAAAAGTAATAATAATAATAAAAAGTAATAAAAAGTTGTTCAATGTGATTTAAATCTGCCGCTCTATTTATTGAAATTCGATATATCAATTTTTTAATTTGATGTAGATTTAAGTTATAATTCGATAAATCGATTTTTTATTGATACTTCAATATTTGGCTTCAATATATCGATAACTTGTCTCGATAAATATCGATATATTTCTTCGATATATCGATAAATTGTTTCGATAGATCAATTAATTTATTCGATAAATTAATAAATAGATTTTTTTATTTT